TGCATTGATTTAGAAAGGGGGTGGGGAATGACCCAGAGTCTCCCTGGCTGCAGCCATCAGCCCAAGAAAGAGATGCTTCTTTGAGGAAGGGCCACAGATTATTGGGCGAGTATAGACCCTGCAGGGACGCGGGTGGCACTGTGGGTTAAACCACAGAGCCTAGGACCTGCCGATCAGAAGGTCGGTGGTTCGAATCCCTGCGACAGGGTGAGCTCCTGTTGCTCGGTCCCTGCTCCTGCCAACCTAGCAGTTCGAAAGCACATCAAGGTGCAAGTAGATAAATAGGTACCGCTCATGCCAAGCGGTCAACCCACAGTCCTGCCCATGGGTCAATAAAGGAGCCGCTTCATGGAACCTCTTCCTCCATCTCTACCAGACAGCTCTTACAGTCTGAAAGTTTTTCCTACAGTTTAATTGGAACCTCCTTTCTTGTGATTTGAATCCATTGGTTTGGGTCCTACGCTCTGGAGCAGCAGAAAACAAGTTTGCTCCATCTTCCATGTGATATTTGAAGATGGCTATCATATCACATCTTAGTCGACTCTTCTCTAGGCTAGACATACCCAGCTCCTTCAACCATTCCTCATAAGGCTTGGTTTCCAGGCATCATATTGGCCACCCGCCTCTGCACATGTTCCAGCTTGTCAATACCCTTCTTAAACGTCTAAGATTTTTGAGAAAATTTTCAAGACCATTGAAAAACGATGATGAAAATATCACTTCCTGGTGACTTCTTCCGCCCATCCACTTGAAAAGTGATTATGTGAGCCAAGCCTAAGATAGATATGATCTGAGTTATGCCAACAACCTGATCAAATATTTTTTATTTTTTAAAACCCTCTAAAACAAAGAGCATGGATAATGAAATGCAAGGCACTGACAATCAATACCTTAGATACATTATTCATTTCATTGTGGTATTGATATTCTGCAGTTAATTTGCAATCTCCCCTGTTCATTTTACACTACATAGAATTTTATGTGGTTTTCTTTTCCTGTAACACTTCATTTAAACTGGGAGGTTAACTTCCTGCAGTATAAAATAGCAATGTAAATATGAGAGAGGCCAGCACACCAGTGATCACCATCAATCCTGTCGTTGCAATTACTGTTTCCATAACAAATGTGAAAGGCCAATTAAAGTTAGCTTATTGACCATCCAAGCCTGGACGGTGTTTCATACCTGGTATCAAATTCTCAGCTGATCTGCCCCAGCCTGCCTCCTTGACCCTCTTCCCATTTTTTGACTTTTCATCTAAGATGAGTTAGTGACTATTGACAGAGGCTAGTCAGGATTCTAAGGAGGAGGAAACCGATGGGGAATGCCACTTTTGGACTAGTTGTTAGAAAGCAGGCAGGTGGGGGACTAGCTGAAGGCAGGCTGAGTTGGTGGGACAATGCCCCATTGGTGCTAATGGACCAGACTCCACTGTTGCAAAGGCTGCTCCATTTGTATCAACAAGAGTTGTTGGGATTTTGGACTACATGACATTCTGTGCAGCTTCACATAGAGTCAATTAAGCATTGGCTAAAAGCCAAGGATGACTGAGCAGAGAGGAGTTATTCTGCCTAGAGACATGAGACCTTGGATACAGCTCCACCATTGGTTGAGGTCTCACACAGGCATGATGACTTATGACCTAACTGACTGGATAGTATGTTGGTCAGTGTGGTGTTCTGAGAGAGTGAGAGTCTCCAACCAAGTTACTAGTAGCGGTGTCTGATTCTTGCTTCGTCCATCCTGCCTGCAACTGATTGCTTTCTGGAACTCTGCGTATGCTCTGCTAAGGTCTAGCTAAGGTCCTGCAACAGGTCAAAGTTGCAAAACACCAAGAAGAGTAGTACAGTGGTACCTCAGGTTACATACGCTTCAGGTTACAGACTCTGCTAACCCAGAAATAGTACCTCGGGTTAAGAACTTTGCTTCAGGATGAGAACAGAAATCATGCTCCGGTGGTGCGGCGGCAGCGGGAGGCCCCATTAGCTAAAGTGGTGCTTCAGGTTAAGAACAGATTCAGGTTTAGAACGGGCCTCCGGAACGAATTAAGTTCTTAACCTGAGGTACCACTGTAGTTGTATGACTCTTTCAGCCATGCTTCTGTCACATGGAAGATGCAGCAGGCTTGTTTTCTGCAGCTCCAGAGGGTAGGGTTCAAATTGCAAGTAAGGAAATTCTGACTAAACATTCAGAAGAACTTTCTGATGATAAGAACTGTTTTGACTGTAGAACGGGCTACATCAGAAGGTGGTGGACTCTCCTTCTCTGGAGGTTCTAAAGCAGAAGTTGGGTGGCCATCTGTCAGGGATCCTTTAGCACTGATTACTGCATTGCAGATTCTAAGGAGGAGGAAACCTACGGGACCGCCTCTCCTGGTATGTCACACGGAGGACCTTACAGTCTTCAAACAAAAACATCTTGGAGGTCCCGGGCCATAGGAAAGTTAGGCTGGCCTCAACAGAGCCAGGGCACTTTTGGCTGTGGCCCCGATCTGGTGGAACGCTCTGTCACAAGAGACTAGGGCCCTGCGGGACTTGACATCTTTCCGCAGGGCCTGCAAGACAGAGCTGTTCCACCAGGCCTTTGGCAAGTCACAGTCTGACCCCCTCCTTTGGTAATCCTCACAGAACTCTAGCCCAATGGTTGCCATTAATTTGATTTTGAATTGATTTTAAAATGAATTGATTTTAGAATGCTGTGTTACTTTTATTGTTGTTAGCCGCTCTGAGCCCGGCTTCAGCTGGGGAGGGCAGGATATAAATAAAAATTTATTATTATTATTATTATTATTAGGTTTTAGATGCGATGGCCCTTAGGCTCCCTTCCAGCTCTACAGTTCTATGATTCTTTGGCCCTCTCTTCAGTTGCCTATGCTCTGATGGCAAGTTGAAGAGGTGTTCCTGCACTGAGTCCCATGAGCTGTTGACAGGTGAAGAAAGTGCAAGCATATTCAGCAATCTTCAGCCTATCGACTCTGGATGCTGCAAAACAGATTACCTGATAACTCACAGGACACCAAAGTGCACTAGCAACTACCAAGGTAACAATGTTCCAGTGGAGAGGCACCCCATGGTGAACAGATGTGTGGTTCTGCTTTTGAACAGATTGAATGGATAAGTGGCTGGTTAAACGCATCTTCTTCGTGTGTGTGTGTGTGTGTGTGTGTGTGTGTGTGTGTGTCTGCCGGTCTGTGAAATCAAGAGTGGTCATGTTTGCTGCTTAACAGAGGAGCACTAAGCCCCTGCAGTTATAGATTTTAGTACCTCTAGGAAGCACAGCAAGACAGAACATGCTATGAGGCTAAAATCAAATAACATTCTTTTTATTATGATGCAAACGCAAGTTTCAGCCCCTTTTCAACGTGCAATTAAAGGGCAGAGCAGATGGCAGCTCAGCAGATGAAAAGCTTGTAACCACTAAAAGGAACTTATCATGCTAAATAAATTGTTCATTGTTTTACACGGGATCGGATAACTTTAACCAGGTCTAGAGCTCTATTAACATTTATTACCAGCCAATGAGATCCCAGCAAAGGGGCAAGAAGTGCCTTCTGGAAATAATTAGGGGCATGTTCTTGTTAGGGAGGCTGTATTGTGTTAGCAATCATCATTGGTGTCATAATTTCCATAAATTGAAATCCATAAAAAATATTGCTCAGAGCCATGTTCTTGTGTAATGCAAAGCCAATCTCCTTAGGTCCGGTCAATGACAGTCAAGGCTGGAAACTAATAACATGGTTAGATAGAGTTTAGATATGCTGCATTAATCTCACAAGTTCGATTTCCATTTCAGATGTTGCATGGATTCATACAGCTGGAGACAATGCCCAGATCCCAGGCTGCTTAGGACTTTGAAGTTCAAAACCAGCCATTTTTAATGAGCCTGGAAACAAGCTGGAAACCAGAGGAGGTTAGAAATGTGCTGAAATAGCCTTCACATTTGCTGCTCCCTTAAAGACTGTCAGTGACTACTAGCCACAATAGCTACGTTCTGCCTCCATCGTCAGTGGAAATACCGTATTTTTCGCTCTATAGGACACACTGGACCATAGACCTTTTTTCCCCTTCTTGTTCTCCCCCTCTAAAACAAGGTGCGTTCTGTGTGTTCAAGGTGCGTTCACCCGAAGCTTGGAGTTCCCGTTGGGCTCTGGAGGCTTTGGGTTCCTTTTGGCCTGCTCTTTGGGGCTGGCGGGGAGAAGCGCTGCTTTCCCCCACCACCAGCACCAAAGACCAGGTCGGGGAGCAGCGCAAAGGCGGCGCACCGCCTTCCCACTGCCCCCCAAGCTTGTGGGGCTGGCGGTGGGGGGAAGCGTTGCAGCCTTCCCTCCACCTTCGTACAGCCTTCGTAGCCTCCGCAGGGCAGCGGGGTGAAGACACCCCGCTGCCCTGCGGAGGCTTTGCGAAGCCGTCCTCAAGCTAGAACAGCAAGACGGAGAGCTCCGCATCGCTCCGTCTCCCTGTTCTGGCTTGGGCTTAGCCGCGCAGCCTGCATTCGCTCTATAGGACGCACACACATTTCCCCTTAATTTTTGGAGGGGAAAAGGTGCGTCCTATAGAGCAAACAATATGGTATGTTGCTGGGAATCACAAGTAGAAAGAACGCTATTGCACCCAGGTTCTACTTGTGGGCTTCCCATGGGCATATGGTTGGTCACTGTGAGAACAGGATGTTGGACTAGGTCAGTGTTTCCCAAACTTGAATCTCCAGCTGGTTTTGGACTACAGTTCCCATCATCCCAGACCACTGGTCCTGCTAGCTAGGGATCAAGGGAGTTGTAGTCTAAGAACATCTGGAGACCCAAATTTGGGAAACACTGGACTAGATGAACCATTGACCTGAGCCAGCTGAGCTTTTCAAATGTTCTTACTGGTGGTGAATTTAGGGGGCCTTCTTAGAAGGGTTCTTTAAGGGTATTGTTTCAGAACCATGAAGTTACTTTGTGGGGAGTTGTTTACACCACCATGGTAAGCATCCCTTCACTCCAAAATGCCATGAACGATTTTGGTACCTTCCACACACGCAACTGGGGCCTCCTGCATCCAAAGCAGTTGCTCTACCATTGAGCTAATGCCCATCACCAATATCTTTCCCTTGTACTTAGCTACTCTACAGTGAAACAGACTGCACTGGAAGATGGTGGTGTTGAACCACTTATCAGGATGCTGTAGAGATAGGTTCCCTGCACTGACAGAGGGTTGGCATAGGTTATTTCTGAGGTCACCTCAATTCTGTAACCAGAACACAACTGATGGGAAAATATCCCAGCAGAGATCTCAACAGTCCTGGGGGGCAGCTCGCTACTGGCTTTCCATTTGCCTCTGGGGGGCTGCAATGTCTTCCGCATATGCATTCAAAACCATTTTCTTGGAATACACTGACATTTCAAATGCATTGAACAGGAGAGGCTAAGGCTAGATTTGGGGGTGGGCAGGAGGGAGAAATAGTTTTAATTGATTTTATTACGTGCAGAAAAATAGAGCGAGCCGGGGCACTTTTGTTTGGAAGGATAAACACAAAATTATTGGTTGAATACGGCTGAATTAAGCACTTAAAGTTCAGCCTCTCCAGAATGCTGACAATGCAGGTTCAGATCAATACAGAAACAATTTACACCACGAGAACCTGGGCTCTAGCTATTAACTACTAATTATATTAAGTTTGCTACTAAATTGATTTAACTCTTTCCAAAAGCACAGGGGGACCTGTGGCCAAACATGCTAACCACAGAGCAATTGCATCAGCAGACCACTGTCAAATACCTGCATTATAAGTAGCAGGAAGGTGGCCAACCTGGAGACAAACATCATTTGAAGTGTGATGTAGAATAGCCTTTTCCCAACCTTGGGTCCCCATATGTTGCTGAACTACAATTCCCATCTTCCCTGACTATTGGCCAGGCTTGCTGGGGCTGATGGGAGTTGCAGTCCAACAGTATCTAGGGACCCATGGCTGAGAAAGCCTGGTGTAGAACACAGGAAGGTGCCTTAAACCAAGTCAAGCCATTGGCCAATCTAGCTTGGTATTGTCTACACGGACTGAAAGCAACTCTCCAGGGTTTACAAAAGGGCTATCCAAGACATCTAGCTGCTGCTGGTGCAGTAGGGACAACGCTTCCTTAAAACATATGTCCCTACAATGCCCTACATTGCTAACTTTTTGGCAGAGGGTAATAGAAACTATCAACGCGACTGTTCAGAAAAAATCTTAAATTCGCAGAGGAAAACATCCCCTTGAACTATATACACAATCTATGGAACCCAACAAAAGGACAATATGAAAAGGACAAAAGGCTCTCCATGCCCTTGCGACAGCAAAAGGACTGGTATTGATGAACTGGAAAAATAAAAAATTTGGCTCACTTCAACAAATGGATGGAAGATATGTGTAAACTCGCAACATATGAACAAGTCATGTACAAATGCCGACTTGCCATGGATAAATTCAACAATATTTAAAAATCATTTTTATAAACACTGTATTAGGTTTAGGATCATTAAAATAACAATCTTATAAAAAATTTCCCTTTCTTTCTTTCTTTCTTTCTTTCTTTCTTTCTTCTTTCTTCTTTCTTCCCATGTATATTTTAACAATTGTTACTCTTTTCACATCTTGTTTTACCTTTGCACTTATAATTTTACATCGTGCACAAAAATTCATTCTTATTTTTCAATAAAGAATATGTTTTTTAAAACAACTCTCCAGGGTTTCAGACAGCATGAATTCACAGCCTTGCCTGGAGATTCTGGGGGTTGTCCCTGGGACCTTCTGGATGCAAAGCAGATGCTGTATCACTGAGCTGTGGCCCATCCCCAAATAATAAAACAGAGCTTTTCCAAACAAAAATAAAGAAGGGTTAAAAACTTAGGAAGCTGTCTGATACCTAAGGTTGGGGAGGATTTTGGTTCCCTCTGCATTTTTGAGCAAACTTTCCCATTTCACCCGTTCCCTGCTGGACTCACACAGGAACTGGACTGTTGATCTGCAGATTGATCAATGGGCTAAACCCTTCATGGATCCATACTGTCCTTTTGAGGTTGTCTGAGGGCTACTTCACCTTTTAAACATGTTAAGCAGCTCTGCGTGATCAGAAAACCCCTATTAAAAATATTCCAGGAAGTGAATGCAATTATTATTATTGTTATTTATTATATATACCTTTTAATTGCCAAGATGGCTTTTAAGTGGCTTGCGACTCTAAAACCAATAACACATAATTAAAATATGCAATAAAACAATTACACGAAAACATTTAAATAAGCATTCATAATTAAAAGGCATACTAAAAGGAGTCCGTTGAAACAGTACAACAACGGAAGATTTAAAACAGCAATTAAAACAGGATGTTCAAGTCAGGAGAGCAATTGTACAAAGGGGGAAATGGGGGGAAATGGGTGTCCCCATAGATCTATGACTTTGGCATCTGTTGGCCCATGGTGACAGTGGTGAGGGGATGGAACTCACCCTGCCTTGGTGGAGACAATGAGCGATGTTTTGCACCAGCACACGCATTGGGAACTCATCTGAGTGAATATCATGCAGAACATTGAGCTCCAGCCATTCACTCCTGTTTGTATTATGGGTTTAAAACTGTCTTCCTGTTTTCCTGTTTTCTTTATCATCTCTATCCTAACATCTAGATGTAAATCCTTCTTTCATATCCTTTCACTTCACAAGGTTATTCCAGACTCAGCCAGATTTCTGCCCTCGAACCTTGACTTTTGAGGTATTCATTTAGGCACTCCCATTCTTTTTTTTACTTCACTTTTTGGTTTTTGTCTTATTATGTCTGTCAATTTGGCTAATTCTAAGTATTCTGAGAGCTTACATAGCCACTCTCCCCTAGTGGATAACGGATTCCCTTTCCAGTATTTAGCCACCAGGATTCTTGCTGCAGATGTTGCGTATAAGAAAAATTTAGTTTTGTCTTTTGGAATATCGTCATTTAAAATTCCTAAAAGGAATGCCTCTGGCCTTTCACTATATGATATTCTTAATATTTTCTTTATTTCTTCGTGGATCACGCTCCACAATTAAGCAATTTAGTGTTGATATGTCATCATACAGCCTTGTTAGCCACCTTCCTCATTTCCTTTTAAAAGCCTTGTGACTGAGCAGAAAGAGGTCCCCTTTTAAGGACTTAAACTGGTCTAAGTTCCACCAGCTGAGCCCTGAATAGTCTCAACGCAGCCAGGTTGAAGGAGTTACACCAGCATATCCCCAGCAGCCCCAGGATGAGGAACAGCCCAAGATCCATCTCTTGCAAACTCGCTCATCCCAGCAGATCTCGGATTTGTATAGCACTGTCAGTTACCTAAAGGTTTTTGTATGCGGAGCTTATATTGGGCATTCTGGGCCCCTAAGCTATACATCCTCTCCTGCAGATGGGTCGTTTAATAATGCTGACAGATCAAACAGGCAGGTGAATGAAGAGTGTAATGGCTGCTTGAGCATTGTGGCAATCTAAATTTTTAATACTAATAACCAACTTTCATTATCAGCAAACAGAAATTCCAACTTAAGCAATTTGTTTCTGTGACACGTTTTAAAAAGTAGTAACAAACAGCATCAGAAGGTATCTCTTCTGTAATTCAAACCTCTGCATAAGGCTCTTTTACATTTGTGCAGAAGTTTCTCTCCCTTCCTTATAGATATGCAGCAGGGTGGATGAATTACTTGAAGTCTGCTCTGCAAAAGACAAGGTTGCTTTGTTCTCCTGTGTGTAAAATGGGAGCAATTTCCAGAAGCAAATTCCAGTGTTGTCAGGAGAATTGCAGTGTGTTCTTGGCAAAGCAAGACAAGGATGAGCCAAAATGTTGGGAAAAGATTATATATCAGTGTTCCATCTTGACCCCTAGTCTGAGTCAATAGGGTAGGGGCAGTAAAGCAAATGGCCTGCAAGCCAAATGAGGCTTAGCACATTTCCCCATTAGGCCTGTGATGCCATTTGTCCAAGTCATATCCACCTGTCTTACAGGTAAAAATACAGGTAAATAGTCTGTTGGCCTAAAGGAGGTTTGCAGGCCCTGCCAGTCAGCCCATGCATAGTGCTTTGCAAGTCCTTAACTGGGCACTGAAGCTGAAAGGTGTTCTGCATGAAGAGTTGCCCACAGTTGCTTCCAGTGTGGGCAAAAATGGATCACCATGATGCCAGGAGATCAACAGCTTCAGGTGACTCACTTTTGCTCACATTTGGCAACTGTTTGTGCAAGAAAGGTGCAGCACTCTGCAAACTCCAATGGCCAGCTGAGCATGACCCATGGGGGGGGGGAAATACAGCCTACTGCGTGGCCCTCACCCCTGCCATAGAACATGATAGATGCCCCAGGGTAGGTTAGTCAGGTAGACAGCAGGCAATATCAAACTAGAGTTTCAGAACCATGGATAGCTCCAAGCTTACTCTAAGTATGGTGCTGTCAAGGCAGTCTGAGGTGAGCCAGGGGAAGGGAACCATGCATTCTGTCCCAATCTGTAGTCCCAGCTGGGCTCTAGCTCAGGCAGGGGCAGGTGTAAGACATCTAGGTTCCATGACATCACTCCAGGTTCCAGCAAAGCAAGGTTCAAAGAAGCAGAAGGTAGGTCCAGATAAGCAAGGCCAACCAAAGCAGAGACCACTATGTAAAAGTCAAACAACCCCAAGTAGCAACTACCCTATGTTTCCACACAACCTCTTTAGACCCAAAGCAAGACACAGAAACCTGATCTAACCACACACTGTAGCATGGAAGAGCAGATTTTTGAATGGGGTGAAAACTGGGCATTTCCACACCATCAGGAATGAATAAAAACACAAGACCAAAGGTCTATCTAGTCCAGGATCTTGTTTCTTCACAGTGGCCAACCAGATGACTATGAGAAGTCCGCAAGCAGGATACAAAAGCAATCAACCTTTTCTGTCGTTGTTCTCCATTGACTGGTATTCAGAGGGAGAGAGTACACCATCCTCATGACCAGAACCTATTGATAGACTTATTGCCCATAAACCCATCTAACTATTCAATAATTTGACTATGTGCTGTGTGAGGGAGTACTCCCGCCATTCAACTTCATTTGATATTTTAATATTTTAAGGTTTGTATAAGCCTGATGAAATGTTGCTGTTGTTGGAAGAGCTATATTTCCCTGTGCTGTGCTCAAAAATGTACTGAATGCATCGGTGGTAGTGGTGATAAATCCAGACAAAGATCTTAATGTGCCAAAGGGGGAAATTATTCCTTTCTTGAAAGATAAATGGCTACTAAAGACCACCATTTGTATTGGTATCAAATTCGCAAAGGCCTTTCTACCAGGTCATCCATCAGTCCTCTTTCCCATCAATATCTTGACAAGTAGGATGTAGACCAGCCATGGCAAAATTGGAAGATTTTCCCTTCCATACATCATCGTGGGCCCAAGATTTTTTTCCCCTGCCTCAAGCAGAGACAAAAGGCTCTGCCAACCTCCAGTGTTTGTCCCAACACTTTGTGACAGGAATACCAACCTTTTTGGACCATTGGGCACATTTGAATTTTGATGAAATGTCATGGACACCCATCACAAAATGGATGTTGGGCAGGTGTGGTGTAACACAAAATGGCTGCCACATCTAAAAGAGCAGATGAGAGGGCTGCAAAATGGAGCAGGTGTGCCTTCCTTGTCAATGGGAAAAGGCCCCGATATTAGCCACCTCCATGCTCACTCACAGAGATGAAGTTTTTGCACTTCCCTGCTCACAAAAAGGAAGTCCTGACAATGTGCACATGGTTAAAGGGATAGAGATTCAATGTAGGAGATGCTGAGCCAATGATGGTAGAAACTGAGCATGACGTCTCTTGCACATTGTGGATTTATGAGGGGATATTTACCTTTAGTACAGGGACGCGGGTGGCGCTGTGGGTTAAACCTCAGCGCCTAGGACTTGCCGATCGCATGGTCGGCGGTTCAAATCCCCTCGGCGGGGTGCGCTCCCGTCGTTCGGTCCCAGCGCCTGCCAACCTAGCAGTTTGAAAGCACCCCCGGGTGCAAGTAGATAAATAGGGACCGCTTACCAGAGGGAAGGTAAACGGCATTCCGTGTGCTGCGCTGGCTCACCAGATGCAGCTTGTCACGCTGGCCACGTGACCCGGAAGTGTTTGCGGACAGCGCTGGCTCCCGACCTATAGAGTGAGATGAGCGCACAACCCTAGAGTCTGTCAAGACTGGCCCGTACGGGCAGGGGTACCTTTACCTTTTATTTACCTTTAGTAGGCACATTGAGGGGAACTGGTGGGCATTCTGGCAGGCATGGGAGCAGCATTGGCAACACCCTGCCTTAAGAAGTCTGTACAATTCAGACACCAGTTCCTGGCTTCATATTTTCGTCGCTCATGATGCCACTGAAGCAGGTTCCTTCATCCTGCTGTGTTGCAAGACCAGCCTTGATCAGCCCTTCTCAGTAGGCTGCCCACTTCTGTGCCACATGGGAGCAAGTCAAGGAGTACCACTGACTCATTGGGATTTGTGACCAATAATTAGCAGCTGGATTAAAAGTTCTCATTGATTGCATCCTGGAAAAAGGGAGGAATCTGTTGGGTTTTCTTGACATTAATGTGGTCAATGGTGCTACGCAGAGGTGTGTGTTTGTAATTATAACCTGCATGGCAGCACATCTGTGAGCTCTTGACAATTCAGCACACCTGAGGTATCTTAACAATTTAACTAATTAACAGGGGGAGTTTACCTGCTGCACCAAATGCAGCGATGTGATGGGGTAATTGATTATTTTGAAAACTGTATTTAAGTTGACCAAGTGGTGTAGTGTGAACTGTTATAGAATACTGTTAAGGAATGTTGTTGAAGACTGGTGGTGAGAAGGGGTGTTTTGCAGCTGTTTGATTATTATTTAAAAATAAAGATAAGCAAAGATGTTGTGGGCAATATTTTATTCCATCGCCCCAGCCGCTGTGCAAACTCGGTTGGCGAAGAAGGTCCAGCTGAATCCACCTGGGTCCTTCCAGCTCAAGTATGAACTGGAGCTGCAATCCTGCACACACTTATGCACACTTGCTTCTGAGTAAAACATAAAGGATGACCTGAAAGTGTGATAAAGCATCAGAGATACCAGGATTTGAAAGTTATATGTCCAAAGGGGGTGGGGGGAGGAAAATTTACTGATTAGACTATATGGCAGGGAACCAAATGCCTCATGGCGCTCTGTTGACTTGATTGCCAAAAAAGGAGAAGAGATGTCCTACTGCAAGTGGAATGCCTAGCTTTTAATTAGGGAGAAATATTCCACCAGGGCACTCTTTTCCCATGCTTTGAGAAAAAGAGGTTGAGGGAAATAAACACGTTTGCCTTGTCTGCACAATGCCCTTTTGCAAATTCTCTTTCTTGAGCTGGCTAATTAGATTCTGGTGAATCAGCTGGCAGTCCCTCTTACTCGCTCCTCCTCCTCCTCTTTTCAACCATTTTCCATTTTGTTTACCAACAATACAATCACTGCTTTTTTTGGGAGGGGGAGGGTACTCAAGGGCACGCAGTACTGGCATCTTTTCTTTTCCCCTAGAAGAAAAACACTGAATACAACACAGTGGTACCTCGGGTTACATACGCTTCAGGTTACATTCACTTCAGGTTACAGACTCCGCTAACCCAGAAATAGTACCTCTGGTTAAGAACTTTGCTTCAGAATGAGAACAGAAATTGTGCTCCAGCGGCGCGGCAGCAGCAGGAGGCCCCATTAGCTAAAGTGGTGCTTCAGGTTAAGAACAATTTCAGGTTAAGAACGGACCTCCGGGATGAATTAAGTACTTAACCCGAGGTACCACTGTACATCACTAATTGTTTCATTTTCACTCTGTCCCACCCTCCCTGTCCGCCCTGCTCATTGAAGAGTTTAGACCATGGGTAGGCAAACTAAGGCCTGGGGGCCAGATCTGGCCCAATTGCCTTCTAAATCCGGCCTGCGGACGGTCCAAGAATTGACGTGTTTTTACATGAGTAGAATGCGTGCTTTTATTTAAAATGCATCTCTGGGTTAATTTGTGGGGCATAGGAATTTGTTCATTCCCCCCCCAAAAAAATATAGTCCAGCCCCCCACAAGGTCTGAGGGACAGTGGACTGCCCCCCTGCTGAAAAAGTTTGCTGACCCCTGGTTTAGACAAAGCAAATTAGCCTTGCAACAACAATATTTCTTTGTATCAGGGTTAGGGGGCTTGTGGCCCTCCAACAACTCTTGTCATATAATTTATCAAAGAAATATAATTATCAAATTATTATATAATTTATCAAATAAGTTATTTGACAAAGGTTTGGACTGTCCTCCATAAAGTAAGCACTTGTACTTTAACATGATGGGGCTCCTTTCATTCTCTCCCCTCCCCAGATCCTGTGAGTTATTACTGCAAACTTTCCCCAGCGTGGAGTTGTGGAGATGAATGAGTGTTGTCAGACTGCCACCTAGATGTGTCTGAGTAACATCACTGAAGAAAGTCAAGCTTACTTTTCTCTGCTTTTTTCACTCCTCAAGTCATTCAGATCTAAATATGTTGAAATACACATTGGGCTGGATTTAAATTTAAATCATGTATGGGAAGCCACGTGTTGCCTGTTCCTCAAGGTCCCCGGCTTGTGGGGAGTCTGGTTCATCTTCCAGGGACTCCATCTCTGGTCCAGGTCAGGTCTGGGCAGGAAATCTTATTTTCTCAGGTTTGTATGAAAGCAACTAGTTGGAATATGTTGTCACCAACTGTGTTGTAAATAAAATATCAAGGGGGGGGGGGACCTAATCTGGTCAAGAAGCCCACCAAAATCAAACCCAAATAAGCTTATCTGATGAGCCCACAAGGGGAGTGCTTCATAGCATTTTTGCTTCTGTGAATGCATCTTTCAGATCAATGCAATATGATGCAGACAGTTCAGTGTTCCTAGGGGGAACATGAAATAATAACAAAAGATCTATTTCTCATAACCAAAATGCTAAAAGGGCACTTTTGATATTGCAGTGGGATAAAACATTCAATCTTCATATGCCAGGAAAGAATTCACAAACATGCAAACATTCTAGCCCTACAAACACCTTCTGTCTTTCTTTGCTCTTTTCTCATTGATGGACTCAGGCTGACTTGGTAAAATTACTGCAGAAAGGTGAGAACAGCATAGGAAATTAAGCTCAAAACACAGTATAGAATTATAGAATTGTAGAGCCGGAACCCAATCCCAAGGGTCCTCTAGTCCAACCCTATGTGATGCAGGAATCCCTGACAGATGGCCATCCAAACTCTGTCTAAAAACGTCCAATGAAGGGTACAACATATAGATGGATACAGCATATCTGACGAAACAAAACACATTCAAGCAATTTTTCAATTTGGTAAAATTTTTTGAAGCACAGACATATGATGGTATGTCTAAGATAGCATGTCTCTGCTTTCCTCCCAAGCCACCTTTCCTTAGCTCTGCTCATTTTGCTTATCTAGGATGACAACAGCACCATCCATCCTCTTGAACACAACGCATAGACTTGGCTTTTCTTTGGCTCTGCTCTCTCTGTTAGCCCCTTGTCAATCTGGTTCATTGCCAGATCTTGTTGATTTTCTATTTGCAACATTACTAAAAATAAAAAATAATAAAAAATTGCATAGCTTATTCCTGCCCTCTCAGAAAGAACTCTAGCCCATCTCCTGGGCACATCACATCATTATTGCAATTAGGAATGTTTGAATCTGTCAATTTCAGTTTCAAATTCTCATATTTGGGCTTCTCTTACTCTTGTGCCAGGGACGCGGGTGGTGCTGTGGGTTAAACCACAGAGCCTAGGACTTGCCGATCAGAAGGTCGGCGGTTCGAATCCCCGCGACGGGGTGAGCTCCCGTTGCTCAGTCCCTGCTCCTGCCAACCTCGCAGTTCGAAAGCACGTCAAAGTGCAAGTAGATAAATAGGTACCACTCTGGTGGGAAGGTAAACGGTGTTTCTGTGCGCTGCTCTGGTTTGCCAGAAGTGGCTTAGTCATGCTGGCCACATGACCCGGAAACTGTACGCCGGCTCCCTTGGCCAATAAAGCAAGATGAGGGCCGCAACCCCAGAGTTGGTCACGACTGGACCTAATGGTCAGGGGTCCCTTTACCTTTACCTACTCTTGCGCCTTGTGCTTTTCAAAGTGGGTGTGCTCTCCTCACAGAAGATCCCGGGTTCAGACACTTTCCTCTTCAATTCAGCAATTCTCTCTTCTTCACAACTACTGAAAAAGTTCTGGTGTCTTTTGAAGCTGATCTCCCTAGACCTGGGAGCTTTGCCCACCTGAATACACAGCATGTTCCCAGAATTCCAAGCCACTGCTACCAAGAAACACCTCAGGAGAGAGAGGGGCATGAATGTGTGAAGCTGCCTTATACCCAGGAAGATGTTTTATCCATCTAGCACTCATAATTGCCTGCTCCAGATAGCAGTGGTTCAGGAGACCTTTCCTGCCTGAAGATGCCATGGATTAAACCTGGGAAACTAGCTCAGTGGTAGAGCACATCCTATGCATGTAGAGAAGGTCGCGGGACCAGTCCTCTGCATCTCCATGTTGCACCGAGAAAGACTCCTGTGAAGCCCTGGAGAGCTGCTGCCAGTCAGTGTAGACACCACTGAGCTAGACAGAGCCTGACTTGGTGCAAGGCAGCTTTTAATGTTCCTAATTGTGCATGGCAAGCTGGTATCCTGTATGGGGTCTCCTTAACTTTACATGTGGTCTACAGTGGTACCTCGGGTTAAGAACTTAATTCGTTCTGGAGGTCCATTTTTAACCTGAAACTGTTCTTAACCTGAGGTACCACTTTAGCTAATGGGGCCTCCTGCTGCCACCGCGTGATTTCTGTTCTCATCCTGAAGCAAAGTTCTTAACTCGAGGTACTACAGTCATACCTCTTGTTACCAGAAAGGGTTAGTTCTGGGTTTCGCTGCTCGCGCATGCGCAGACGTGCAAAATGACATCACGCACATGTGCAGAAGCGGCAAATCACGACCGGTGCGCAGATTCGCAGACGCGGGTTGCTTTTCTTTCAGGTTGCGAACGGGGCTCCAGAACGGATCCCATTTGCAACCAGAGGTACCACTGTATTTCTGGGTTAGTGGAGTCTGTAACCTGAAGCGTCCGTAACCTGAAGCGTCTGTAACCCGAGGTACCACTGTATTTCTGAGCGGTCGTAGCTGTCCAAGGTCTCCAGCAGAGCTCCTTCCTATTACCTACTACCCATGATCGTTTTGCCCATGGAGATACTGGGAACTGAAGTGGGAACCTTCTGCCTTGGGTATAATTCTATCCTCCAGCCATGGCAGCCGATCTGTCTCCTCTATTCTGGGTGCACTCCATCCTAGCCAAGGTGCAGCAAGGCAAACTCAATGGAGCACTGGCCATGCAATGGGGTGTGACCTTAGCACAAGTGTGATGTTGAGAAGGTGGCAATAGGGGTCCCAGTGATGGGAGGAAAGCATTCCTCTTTATGCATGCAGTGGGGAGGGGGAGAGGAAAGATGAAAATTACAGCAAGGCGCCTCCCTGTTCCTTCCGCGTGCCATTCAGAGAGCTGTTAGTTTGATGGAATAGCAATTGAAGAGGAAGGATCCCTGTAGGGCATTGACACGCTAGTGGCTCTATATTCAGAACTGCACAGCCCACATTTCAGCACAGGCTCCTGAGCAGCCATTCATTTACCAGCCCAGCAACTGATACTTGTTGTCCCTTAGGGGTGGAAAATCCAATTTCACTCATTTCTAGAAGCAGATGGAACCAAAATATGCATGAAATTCCCATCTACTCATCACCCCGACTTGCCTTGTATGGACCCTGGAGGGGAGCGAGATGCAGGACTAGAAAGTACTGCTGCCTTCCATCACTTCCTAGTAGCTGCCGTTACCTCTGGGATACAAAATTTCATAAAAGTTTTGAAGATGGGGGAAATATGTAAGAAGTTGCCATGCTCACAATTGAAATGGCCCATCTATCTTCGTAATGTGTTGACTGTCCGTGGTTTACAGTCAATAGCAAGAGACATATTAGATGAGCCGCTGTCTGCACTTAGGTGAGATCTCACAGCAATCTTGTCAGCGGCGACGTCACCAAAAGCTTGTAATTAAATTATTTGGAATATGGTCTTATCTGGTGCATAATGCATGGAGGCCTTCCAAATCGAGCCTCATTTCCTGGGAAAGTTCTTCAGCTCAGAATGTGAAATGAGATTAAATGAAATGCCTCCATTCAATTGTCGGCAGAGATGTTGCCAATGTTTGTAACTGCCTGGTTTGGAATGCAACTTTTGTCCAGTTCATAATGCTTGGATGTACCGTATTTTTCGCTCTATAAGACGCTCCAGACCACAAGACACACCTAGTTTTTCGATGAGGAAAACAAGGAAAAAAATATTCTGAATCTCAGAAGCCAGAACAGCAAGAGGGATCACTGCGCAGTGAAAACAGCAATCCCTCTTGCTGTTCTGGCTTCTGTGATAGCTGCGCAGCCTGCATTCGCTCCATAAGACGCACACACATTTCCCCTTACTTTTTAGGAGTGAAAAAGTGAGTCTTATAGAGCAAAAAATAAAGTATTTTGAATGGAGTGTCATTTCCCTGTGAAGTTCCCAGCTTGGAATGTTAATTAAATGAGATCTTGCAAATGCACCATTCAAACTGCTTTGTAGGTTCATGTGGAAATGTATGTTCAGGGTGAGAAGATCTTCCCATGAACTGCTGAGCAAATGGAATGAAAACTACAAGTGTGTCTCTGCTTTCATTGTGGCTCAGGATTGCAATACCTCAAGGACTGCCTCTCCCCATATGAACCGACTTGGACGGTGTGATCATCATCTGAGGCCCTTCATTGTGTGCTTTCTCCATGAGACGTCTGGAGGGCGGCAACACAAGAATGGGCCTTTTCTGCAGTGGCTCCCCACTTGTGGAATGCTGTCCCCAGGGAGACTCACTGTAAGGAGCTCGTCCTACACTCGAGTAGGACCCTGGCAGAGACACATGCCCAACTGGCATGTTCTCTCCCTCCTGGTCGATCGTTTCGGAGCTTCAGAAGATTTCTTCAGCCCGAACATCACAGCGACCGATGCCAACAGACATTGGCACACTTAGGGATCCGCAGAGTCTTTGCAGCTTGCGTGACAGACCTCAGCAACTCAGCATTTTGGCTAATCTGCTTTATTTAAATATAAACACACACTGCAACATGGCTCCCTCTCTCTCTAGCATCAGACCGCAAAGAGAAAAAGAACAGAGGACAATAGTCCCACTGCACAAAACACAGTAACACAAACATTCTGTCTCCATCACTTCCCACTCTGTGGAGTCAAAACATACACCATCATGTAATAGACAAAAATCCCATGACTGCAGTCATGGAGCAGGAATTCTAACACTTCATGGCATATCTTTAGGTGCCAGGCAAAAACATTTCTCATCTCCCAGGCCTTTGGCTAATTAAACTCTCTATGGCCTTTTAAACTGCAGGGGGTTTTTGTTTTTGTTTGTTATTGTGGAATGCATTTTTGTGTTTTTATGTTGCATACTGCCCTGTAATCTTTGGATTACAGCCTATAAAACGACAAAAAGTTGCATGCTTAAGCATCTAATCTGCCTCCCTTGCCCATTTCCCCTGGGAATTCTCCTACTTAAATCAGAAGTCATGGCAAATGGAATATAGGCATTCCTGGGGGAGAAATTCAATTCAGTTTGCATTTAAAAGTGAACCTACCTAATTTGCACTTCCTGAAACAACACCCAAACTGAAACTCAGGCATCCTCCTGACTTTACACTTCTCCAGATTTTGCAGTACAGTTCTCCAGCCAAGTAATATGAACAAAGATGCATATATTCAGGGAATACAGTATACATGAAAATGTATATATTAGTGAAAGATAACATCAAAATTGCATTATAGTAAGGGAAATGGCTTGCAAAGATGTGTACATTAGGCAAAACTGTGTACAGTAGGAAAAATTCCCACTAAAATGCTGACAATTTTTTATGAAGACTTTAAAAAAAAACCAGTTTGCAAACTGATGTGGAAATACAGAGAACTTAGGATAGGAAAAATGAGAAATGGAGAAGAACAAAAAGTGGCAGATTCACCCATCCCTAAATATAGAGAACTTGCAAAACAATTAATAATAATAATAATAATAAATTTTATTTATATCCCGCCCTCCCCAGCCAAAGCCAGGCTCAGGGCGGCTAACAACAAACAAATAATCAAACAATCAAATAATCAACATTCTAAAACATTTCATTATAAAATTAATTAAAATCAAATTAATGGCAACCGTTAAGCAAAGTTCTGTGCAGGTTGCCGGAGGTGGGAGTCAGGCTGGGCCCTGACCAAAGGCCTGGTGGAACAACTCTGTCTTGCAGGCCCTGCGGAAAGATGTCAGGTCCCGCAGGGCCCTAGTCTCTTGTGACAGAGCGTTCCACCAGATTGGAGCCGCAGCCGAGAAAGCCCTGGCTCTAGTTGAGGCCAGCCTAACCTCTCTGAGGCCTGGGACCTTCAGGATGTTTTTATTTGCAGACCGTAGGTTCCTCTGTGGGGCATACCAGGAGAGGCGGTCCCGTAGGTACGAGGGTCCTAGGCCGTATAGGGCTTTAAAGGTTAAAACCAGCACCTTAAACCTGATCCTGTACTCCACCGGGAGCCAGTGCAGCTGGTATAGTACCGGATGAATGTGATCTCGCAGCGAAGACCCCATAAGGAGTCTCGCCGCGGCATTCTGCACCCGCTGGAGTTTCTGGGTCAGTCTCAAGGGCAGCCCCACGTAGAGCGAGTTACAATAATCCAGTCTGGAGGTGACCGTCGCGTGGATCACAGTGGCTAGGTCAGGGCGAGAGAGATAAGGGGCCAACTGCTTAGCTTGGCGGAGATGAAAAAATGCCGCCTTTGTTATAGCTGTAATCTGCGCCTCCATAGAGAGGGAGGTATCGAAGATTACACCCAAACTCTTAACGGACGGTGCTGGCACTAATTGCACCCCCGCAAGAGATGGGAGTTGCCCCCCCAATCCCATATCGTCCCGTCCCAGCCAGAGGACCTCTGTCTTCGAAGGATTTAACTTCAACCGGCTTCCACGTAACCATCCAGCCACAGCTTCCAAACATCTGGTCAGTGTGTCTGGGGCCGAGTCAGGATGGCCATCCATCAACAGATAGAGTTGGGTGTCATCGGCATACTGATGGCAACCCAGCCCAAAAGGGGATGTCAGGTGGAAACCATTCATCCCTACAGGTAACCAGCTGACCAAAAGTTCCCCCCACCTCCCTTGATTCTTCTTCATTGGCAAGGATCATCAGCTGCATTCACCTCACACAGCATGCCAGAGTAGCGAGGGACCGTCAGGGGAGTTGGAAAAGTAGGGAATGGAATAATAGCAGCCTGGAACAAAGTCGGCGCTGATCTATAACTGCCCTTCTCTGCTTGACTCAGACGTGAGCAACCCACTGTGAAGACTCAGCTGTGCAGAGGAGAATCTATGCTTCACTCGTCGCCTCTTCAACCTCAGCCGAAGTTTAAAAACACAAACACATCTTCGGCAGTGTCTGACATGTGTCAGCGTCGGCCTCTGTCCCTTTGTTCGAGTCCCGTGTGGGTAGCCTCCGTTGCGATTCTTAATGCAACCATGAAAACACAATCCTGCCCATCAGCAGTTCTGCATCTTGTACATGACCTGCATGGTGACAACCTTCTCCCTGCCACACATCATGGTGTTCTGGAAAACTTGCTTGCTCTAAATACATGCCAGTGCACTCGTTATTATATATATACCATACGTACGCTGGTATTGTGGTACATCTTCATCCTTGTACAATGGACCCAGCGATGTAGGTAGCATTGCGTTTTCTTGAAATGGCCTGCACCAGAACATGAGAAACAGGCTCCATTTTTCAATAAAAATGTTGTTTCATTGCCTGCCCTTTCCAACCATATAAGCCACACCCTTAAAATCCGCTCTTCTGATGTTGGGTGTTCTTGTTCCAACCCCCAGTTTGCATCAATTGTCACCTGTGTCACCATCAAGAGGTGCATTCTCATTTCTCTCTATTCAGATAGGACTAGGTCTTTAACACAGCCAAATAATAGAATTGATTGATCTAATGGCAGCTTACGTCCTGTTATTATTTCAGTGTTGTTTAATATCCTTGTTCAAAAGGTTCTTATCTTAGGGCAAACCCCCACTCCCACCAAGGACCTATGTCTTTGCTTATTGCTATACACTTCCATCATTCTTGCAAGCCATTCATAGAATCCTAGAATTGTAGAGTTGGAAGGGACCACGAGGGTCATCTAGTCCAACCCCTCGTGATGCAGGAATCTTTTGCCAAAGGTGGGGCTCGAACCCACAACCCTGAGATTTAGAGTCTCGTGCTCTACCAACTGAGCTATCTAGCACGCAAGGACAATATGGAAAAGGCAGCTGTGTCATAAAACTGATGTAGCAACCACTGCAGGATTGCAGCACTTATGAGTGGGCAGAAGAGGAGCAAAAAAGGCATGGTGTGATGGCCTGGGAATCTGATTCAGAAGCTGAACCTGAGGAGTCCCAGCCTGCACAGGAGTCCCCGCCTCCAGGGCCGGCTGAGCTGGGGCAGGGGCTTGAATCTGAAGGGCCTGCACCTGTGCCGGAAGCTTAGGAGCAGACACCAGATGTATCCACTCTAGCTCCAGAGGTGACTGAGGACCCATTGCCTGCAGGTGCTCCTCTCCCAGCCCTGTCAGGGGAAGGTGAAGCTGCCCCTGCGTCCATTAACCCTCCAGCCTCTCCTGAGCTGCAGAGGCTCAGGGCAGAGAGGCGGAGGGAACTAAGTTCTCTCAGGAGGAGTGCTCGCCTTAAGGCCAGGAGAGGCGGGTCACCTGTGGGCCAGGACTGCCCCTGGCCTCAGAGGAGATAAAGGCCAGTCAGCCCAGTCCCAAGTTGTGGGAGCAACGTCGCTGGAAATCGGTTTCTGCCAGCACCCAGACCTGTTCTTCCGGAGTTCCCGACCATGCCTGCCTTCTTGCTTTGGACCCCACTTCGCCCTTGGTGGACAGTCTCCAGACCCTCGACCCAGGACCGGACTCTGAACACGCCTCTCGGTAACCCCCCCCCCCCCCGGTTCCAGCACACATGGCAATTCTCATCTTTTTATTGATGTTTCCAAGGATTTGGGCCCCAAATATCTGCAAGATGCCTCCTCCCCCATGTTTTGGTTGGGATGCTATGATCTGCACGGCAGGCTCTTCTTATGGTGCCATCGCCCTTGGAGGGGTGAGGACCTGCATGAAGAGAGCCTTCTCTGTAATGACCTCCCAAATCGTAGAGCTGCCACAGGCCTCTGCTCAGATTTAAATGGCTACTGAAGTAGCATGTCTTCCCCGTAGCCTTCGGCAGCTGGGGTCCTATTGTTAGTGGCCTCCCACATATGATTTGATCTGTTGATATGCATTTACTGCAGGAGTCATGGAATCGTAGAATAGTAAAGTTGGAACGGATATCAAGGGTCGCCTGGTCCAACCCCCTACAAGGCAGAAATCATAGCTATCCCAGCCAGATGGCCTTCCAAACTCTGTTTTTAAAAATCTCTAATGCAAGAGAGCCCACAAACTTCTGAGGTCGTCCATTCCACTGTTGAACAACCTTTTTCAGCTATTGGGCACATTTCAAATTTGGAGAAAGTGACAGAGGCACCAGTTGCAAATGTCTGCCATGGAGGGAGCATGGCATAATACAAAATGGCTGCCATGGCTTATCACAAAATGGCTGCCATGGGGATTGTGGCGTAACACAAAATTAGAGAAACAACCACCCCTGACATCCTTATGCTTACCAAGGGAAGTCAGCTATGTCCTACTGGTCCTGATTATACAGACATACCTGCAACCCTAACAAATTTCTACTCCATCCCAAATCTCAAGTAGTTTTATGAATTTTATGAATTTAAGTCCTGTTCTCACCCACTCTACTCCCTACAACCCCTACCAGTTCCATTCCATTCATTTTGCAATGTGAGAGAGCTATTGTTTAGGGCTTGGTGGACAGTCCCCCGCCCGCCGGCCTCTCCTGCTAAGAAATGTGATTGCTAGTCCACAAATGTGTTTGTGAAAATCAGTGTACTTTCTATCAAAAGCTGACCTCTGCATTTTTTGTTGTATTACATGTACTGGATCTGCAGAGTAACAGAAATTGATTCATTTGTCTAGGGAGTCTGCCTGCCAGTCACCAACAGATTCCTCCTTTTTCTTCTAAACAAGTGAAAGAAGACTCATGGTTCAATTATCACATTTTGCACCTCATCTGTGTAGTCATGGGCCATACCCTCCAACATGGTGAGGCCGAAAAATGGGACGCTTGTCTTCCTGGCAAGTCAAATGACCTGAACGAGAGCACAGAGAGCTCCGTGCTCTCATGCAAGGTCGTGATCTTGCACGTTTTGGGGTGCCATGCTGAGTGCCCCAAAATGGGATGTCCCGGTTTTATCAAGGCAGTTGAGGAGTGTGATGGGGCCTTGTATTCTTATGAGGGCCATCATTTCCATGGTGTTCCAAAGAAGTCAATGTTGATGACTGCTGGACCAATGTGAATGCCAAATATAGTGTTGGCCAGGGCTGGGGAACCTGCGGCCCTCCAGATACCGTTGGACTGCAACTCTCATCATCCTGACCATTGAGCCATGCTGGCTGGGGCTGATGAGAGTTGAAGCCCAACAATATCTAGAGTGCCTGCAGACTAGACACTTGCTTAATACATAGCAATCCACCTGCTGTGCGTCCATCTGCCATGTCCCATCCTCCTGTCCTAAGAGTCCTCATAATGGAGTAGCTGTCAAAAGAACTGTGATTCTGGCCTTTTGATTCTAGGTAAAAAAAGGGGCGGAGGCTACTATTTACATGCATCATCAGATATAAGTCTCAGTATTTAGGGATATTGGGTGGCATGCATTCATTTCAATGGATCTACTTAATTTCCAGCCTCTGTATTTGGCCCTCAGTACTCTCCCTTGGCCACACCCCTTCTCTCTAAGTCACCCCCCTCACCACTCTTCCTTTGTACCCTCCTGAAGTATTTTTGCCTGATGGGAATGTCTCTTTGAACTCTGATAATGCTTCTTAGTTGAGGGATGCATGAGTCAATCAGCTGTCGGATGGCAGAGGATCCAACCCCCATGGCAGTTTGCCAGGAATGGATAAGACAAGGAAAAGTCCTTACCTACTGCTTTTTATTCAATATTCACAGAGAGGCTTGGAAATGCAGCCTCTTGGAATACAGTTATACCTCGTGTTGCGTTTGCTTCAGGTTGAGCGTTTTCAGGTTGCGTCCCGTGGCGACCTGGAAGTACCGGAAAGGGTTACTTCTGGGTTTCGCCTCTGCCCAGTCCCTGACATCAGCACTGGTTGCTCTGCCACCTTCTGGCCCCACCCACCATGGACATGTGATCCCTGAAATGTTGCCCAGAAGGGAATATGGCTCTCAGGCTGAAAAAGTTTCCCCATCTACTGCCATGAGGTCCTCTTGCAGTTGTGGGAAGCTTCTGGTGTGAGGGAAGAGGCTGTTTTCTTCGGGGAGGGGGGCAAGTTGACTGCTGCAAGTAGACCCCAGAGAGGCATGTTAAGGACACCTCAACCTTAATGAGCCTGTACAGTCTCAGCCAGATCAATGCACCCAAGAAAACTGGCTAGCACTTCTCTTCCCCTGCCCTGTTATTACAGATCCCCCTTTTGTTGTGACAGATTTGCAATTCATGCATAGGAAAATGGGAAGCTGTTTTACACTGAGTCAGATTATTGGTCCGCCTAGTTCAGCATTGTCTACACTGACTGGCAGCAGCTCTCCAAGGATTCAGGCAGGAACTGTTTCTTTGATAGAACCCAGTGTTGTACATCCAGGACTGCCTGTGTGTCCAGCCAATGCTCTGCCACTGAGCTATGGCTCTTCCCTGAATGGAAAGCATTGCACCAAAGCTAGATTGGCTAGATCTTCAGATGGTAGCAGATGCAGCCTTTTGCATGAACCTCACACTGTAGCATGAATAGGAAGAAACAGGAGCTACCTGACACTTCCTGGGCAAGGATGATTCATGTTTCTCTGCTACCTGGTCAAGGTCCAGAGGACTCCCGTCAGCTAAATTATCACACTGTCACTTTAATATTTTGCCATCTGCTAAATGAAAGTTCAGAGCGCCTGTTGGGTCTCATAAAGGATCTTATTTATTGTATTACACATGGCAACAGCTGCTGCAAGACTCGGCTAAACTTTGCTCCCTAATTAAACAAACAAATACAATGGTTTCAGAACACAGCTTAATCTCGGTTAGCTAGATAAAAAGGGGGTAAGGATTAAAAACAGGATTGCAGGGTTTAGTCAATTAACTGGTGAGATTAAGCACACATTCAACACGGGTGCCCCCAATTAATCAGGAAACAGTTTTTTAATAAAATAAAATTATTTTTAATACAATTATGTCATGTATGAAACACCATCCATCAGCTGCTTCAGATGTCTTGAAACTACATATCTATTTGCTCAGGTTTTCCCTGACCCACCCAGGGAATCTTGTAGTCACTGAATTTCTGTCTCTGTTTCAAAAAAATACTGATTTACTGTTTTTAGGTTTGCATCACTGTTTGTTTTTGCATGCTATTTTCATCTCCAACAAGATCTGAAGTATAGACTGTGGCTCTACATGCCCCCTTCTGATACAATTCAAGACCTGATATGGCACTTCAGAGCAGCCTTGATCTGACTCAGTTCAGATGCATCCCAGACCTGGGCCCTGAACTGATTTGGGGGCTTCTCACTGTGTTGGTGCTATATGGTGCTGGAGGAGACTCTTGAGAGTCCCATGGACTGCAAGAAGATCAAACCTATCCATTCTGAAGGAAACCAGCCCTGAGTGCTCACTGGAAGGACAGATCCTGAAGCTGAGGCTCCAATACTTTGGCCACCTCATGAGAAGAGAAGACTCCCTGGAAAACACCCTGATGCTGGGAAAGATGGAGGGCACAAGGAGAAGGGGATGACAGAGGACGAGATGGTTGGACAGTGTTCTTGAAGCTACCAACATGAGTTTGACCAAACTGCGGGAGGCAGTGGAAGACAGGAGTGCCTGGCATGCTCTGGTCCATGGGGTCACGAAGAGTCGGACACGACTAAACGACTAAACAGCAACAACACTGTATTTACTTAAGGTTTAAAATTACACACATGGTCAGGGTGGTGGTGCTGCCAGACAGTCCCTTTCTGGCTGTCCCAGATCATTCCAGGTGGACCCACTTCAACCCAGGTGGACCCAGGAGTACCTCAACTTTATCCAGCTGAATCATGGGCTGATGCAAACCGGTGCCCATTTTGGTTCCTGATTCAGGAGTCGGCCAGATCAGTCACATCCCTACATCCCACCCCCACCAACCTTAAAAGGCCTTTAAACAAACAAACAAACAAACAAACAAACAAACAAACAGAGCTTGAACACAGGCAAGCAAAGCCATGTCACAATTACTTGGGGCCATGTGTCACGGGTGTGTAACAAAACTCCAAACCAGCTAATTTCATTATTCTAATGGGCGCCTGTCTCCCATTCATTAGACTGACATATGACTAGTCATTAGTAACAGTTCATTTCCAGAGCCAGGGCGAATAAAAGGTTGATTAAAAATTAACGAGCCCCAACCCCAGGCAGCACATTGCCACATTTCTCGAAGTGAACTTGGCATCGTTGGGCCTAAATGAGAATGAGATGCGATGGCAGGGTTCAGAAGCTGGCGCCCGGGGGCATTTTGTCTGGTGTTTCTCGAGTGCGCATCTTGCCATGAATCGGGTACCACCCTCTCCCATTGCTCCCAAAGACAAATTACTGGATAACAATGGCTATTAATAATTAAATGGCAATGTTGCATTTTTGATGACTGAGCTCTAGGAATCAGACTGGAATGCTGACAGTGGTTTTCCTTTTCCTCCCCATAATGCAAAGGAATGAAAAACTGTCCTCCTAAGCTCAATCAATTAATATCACCAGCGCTTACTACTGTGGGTATAACTTGGGCTATAATTCTGCTGGACCTCAACTCCCCCTCCCCCTATTTGTCACAGTGTTGTTAAATATGCATACATTTTATCGTTGCACCTGAGATGTGTAGATAATAACCTATATCATTAGGCTCTTGTAATTCACAGAGGTTGGGTTCCGGAGTTTATTGCTGGGTTGACATTGCAGTTAATTGGACACTGCTGCTTATTATGTAGCACTCGTTATGCCTTATGTACTATTGCGTCTCTAGCATACATTTCGGAAAGCAGGTTGTCCATCTGTCTGTCTGTTTTCCATAGGCTTGTGTGCCACTCAAGATATTTTCACCAAATTGGTGCGAGGATTGCGTGGCTAGGCCCCTCCCCCATGTGAAATGAAGACACTGGACACGTTATTTAAGGTTAATGGGCATAAATAGGCCACAACTTTATTGATTACAGAAATGAATGGTATTGGCCTTAGGCATTGGCTCCTAACAACTACCCGGCACCCAGACCGGGAAGGGTTAACCACAAACCGTGGGAGTCCTGTTGAAGTACGCCAACTAGGATCCCACGGGTGTCACCGCTCGGGGGCGTGCCGGGGGCCCTCACCTCCCCAGGTTTCGGACAAGGCAACGCCCCACCGGAGTCCTTTACCGGACTACCCTTTTCATGGGGGAAGGTGATGGCGCTTCCTTCCCCCCCGCTCATTTGCATAACAATGAACCCCTGCCAATGCCTAACCGCCAAATACCGATGAAGTTGTGACGATTGCTACGAGGTAGGCGAAAAAACCAACAGGCTGAAGAAGAGCCAACTTGGAAAAATTCCTACCAGGCCCCATACGGCGACCAACCGAGGTCCATAGCAAGGTCGTAGCTGTCTAACCTAAGGGTGGGCGGGATGGGAAAAAACCTGCTCCAGCTGGCGAAGGGAAAGAGGGCGGTCCCCGGGCATGCCTGGCCTTAAGTAGCCCAGGCCACGCCTCCCCAGCCCGCCGATTGGCGGGTTGGATCGCAGGCACGCCCGGGGATTCCCCTGGTCTCGCGGGGGCAAAAGCCCGCCCCCGCGCGTGTGGGAGGGGGTCGCCCGCAACCCCCTCTCCTCGCTAGTTCGGAAATGGCTTTCCCAAACAGGGATGGTGGTCTCCGTTAATGTTTGGATCACATTTTGATTCAAAATAGTGGACCGAAATATGACTTGGCCATGACTTCACCCAATTTTTGGCATGACGGATCCAAACACACAAATTGAACTCTCCATTTAAAATTGCACCACAATATATTTTTGCTTCTACAGATTTTTGGGCAATTCCCCACTAGTCATCTAATATTATGTATTGCTTATTAGTATGAATTGTATGCATATAACTATTTTAACTGTTATGTTTTGTATTTGCAGTATATTGTATGTTGCTGTGTATCATAATATTATAGATTGTAGGTCACACTGAGACGCTTTTTTGGAGGAAGAAACCAATTAATAATGATAATAATAAGTAGTAGTAAACTGCCCTGTAGAAGTTTGACAAAGGGTAATATATAATCATGGGTTGTATACAACTTAATGGACCCAACATGCTTATTATTTGAAATCTTTAAGGTAATATTTTAGTTTTCTGTTAATTATGTTGCTTTGACTGTATACTCTATATTTGACTTTCTTCAGATTATTTTATTGATGTTTTATTGATGTTTTAATATTCTGTAAACCACTTTGAGATTTTTCTTAAAAATATAAAGCGGTATAGAAATTAAATAAATAAAATTTCAATGGGATTACTCTGAGTAGGACTACCATTGGCACAATATAGCAACAGCCTGGCAGTTTGCTTTATTTTGAAATCTACACCTTTTCACTGAGGTCAAGCAAAACGAAAACTTACTGTGCACAGAAGCTTGGAGCACTCTGAGAATTGTTCCTAGGCAATTCCAAGCTTTGCAACACTAAAAAGACGGTGTCTTAAATAACTCTGACTGCCAAAAGAGAGATTTATTTAAGGCAAAAATGACTTACCAGACATTACTGGAAACACTTGAAAAATGAAGAAAACTCTCTATTGCCTTTGAGGATTTATTGAGTGGGGGTGCTATAGCTATAGTTTCAGGGTTGTTTTTTTAAAAAAACTTTAGCAATGGGTTCTGTTTGCCTATCTACAAAAGCTGTAACCTGAAATAAATGGCCTCAGCCAGGGTTAAACAGCTTCATAGGTGCCAGGGCTGGTTCGGAGGTAACAGTCTGTGATGAGCAAGGACCCAGAAGCTGTGTGACAAGTCAGCAGTCTGGGCTGAAGTCAGAGCAAGAGTGAAAGAGGAGGCATCTGCCCTACTTGGATTCCAAACTGGACTCACCTGAACTGACAGGGGCCAAGATCTGCACTTGCCAAAACCAATGCCTCTGGCCCTGCCCACCACTGGTATGCTTCTGTCATGGGCCAGGAGTCAGCTTCACCTGCTGAGCAGCAGCCTGAAGGAGTAGAAGGCAGAGTGACTCCACCTGCTGATGATCAGCCTTCTTGCTCCTGATGAGAACCAATTGGCTCCAGCCTCCTTAAGCAGCGTTTCCAGCTTCAGTCAGTTGCTGGAAACAACATTCATCACTCCTGGCCAGACCTTGCTGCTTCTCGCTTCTCGTAACCCTGGACCCTCTGCTTTCTTGACCCCCAGATCATCTGACTACACGAACTGAGATATTCCTGACCTTATGACTGGACTGAACCTTGCACATGGACTCTGCCTCCAAGCAAGCACCGTATTTTTCGCTCTATAGGACGCACTTTTCCCCCTCCAAAAATTAAGGGGAAATGTGTGTGCGTCCTATGGAGCGAATGCAGGCTCCTTGGCTTCAGTGATAGCAACGCAAAGCCTCCAAAGCGCAGAGGGAGCGCTCCCTCCACGCTCCGGAGGCTTCACGTTGCTTTCGCAGAAGCCTGGAGAGCGAGAGGGGTCGGTGCGCACCAACCCCTCTCGCTCTCCAGGCTTCAGGGATAGCCGCCTGAAGCCTTTGGAGCGCAGCGGGAACTCGCATTGCACTCCAAAGGCTTCGGGTTCCTTTTGCTGAAGCCGGGAGAGCAAGACTCTCCTGGCTTCAGCAGAGAGGGAGAGCTGCGCAGCGCCCCTTCAGCGAAGCCTCCCGCTTCACTGAAGGGGCGCTGAGCAGAGAGGGGGAGAAATATTTTTTTGTTGTTCTCCCCCTCTAAAACAAGGTGTGTCCTATGGTCGGGTGCATCCTATAGAGCGAAAAATACGGTACTCCCCTGAGACTTGGCTGGCTGGCTGGCTACTCCCTCTGCCATGACTGGCAGCACAGGACTACAACAGCTGCCCTTGCAAGGGTGGCCAGAAGGGCACAGGTCCCTTGAGTTAGAACAAGTTCCCCACCCCTGGTTTAAGACAAGGTGGAAGGAGGTTAGCAGGATAAAAATTGCAAAGCTCTCTTGCTGCTTTTTCACCCCCGTTCTCTAATTAAAGATTCTTCAAATATGCCTAATTAGGTGTCATTAAAGCTGAGTGTAAGAACAGTACATGCAGCACATTCAAAATGCTGCTACCATCCTTAGAAAATCAAACTCACAATGGCACAGTCTAGGAAAGGCCAATTAGTAGAAGTATTGGAAAATCATAACTCGGTTCTACACCTGTGCCAAATTTCATCAGGAGGATCGTTTCCTGAGTTTCGATTTTACGTGCTCAATCCCCACAATGCCACAGGATATCAAGGGCAACTTGGAGGATGGAAAGTGATGATAGTTGCTACAGTGGCTTCAGGAGAAAAAGGGAAAAGTTGTGTTACTGCCGCTACTAAATTTTATATATGGATGTCTTATGATGGCCTATATTTGTAATGCCTAATAAAGGTTTGGTGAAGTAAGCAAGCAAGCTAATGAACATAAGAGTTGTTATGTATTCAGTGGTCTGTGTTTGCCTGAACTTGAGTCTGGACTAAGGATTCTGAGCCCTTGTGTTCTGATTCAATATATGATGTCCAATCATAGAACATTTCAGGATTTGGCCCTCTGCCATTGGCCCTTGAACTCTGAGACGTGATTCGCAGCTTGGAAGTTTAGAAAGCCAATCACGTTGGGAGTGGGAGTGACCCAGCCTTTCAAGAATGTATATAAGCAGTTGCTTTTCCCCTGTTTCCCAGTTATGTGGTTCAATAAAAGTTCTTGCTGTTATCGCTGTGTCTTGCTTCGTGGGAACCCACCTACACTTCACTGGTGACGAAGGTGGGATGCTAGGCTAGGTATGCAGTCCTGGCTAGCTTCCACAAGCTGAAATCACTGCTGGGGAAATGTCACGTCAGCTGAGCTGAAATCACTGACTGCAGCCACAAGGCAGGTCACATAGAGCAGACGTCATGGCTACCCAGGGCCACATCGAGGAATTTGACACAATGGTTAGAGGGAAATGGGATTCCTATGCCATCCGGCTTGAGTTCTTCCTCACAGCCAATAGGGTGACTGACCCGGAACTGAAGTGGCTACGCTTCAAGGGTCCTGCTGCATCAGGCCACTGGTCCATAATGTCCATCACCCTAGTCTCACAGTGGCCAGTCAGATGCCCCCAGAAGACTTGAGCACCACAGCAATCTCCCCACCTGCAATTCCCAGCAATTGGTATTCAGAGGTTCACTTCCTCTGACAGTGGAGCATTTCTGAAGCACCTCAAAACCAGCTGGTGGTTGGCCACTTTGGAAACGCTGTGCTTTGTGTGATGCTCAGGAAGCACTGTCCATAGAGCAGAGCAAGCACTTTGAACTGCCTTCCTGCTTAGCCCAGCAGGCCAACTTTGGCAGGTGTCTATCATCTGCCACCAGTTGATTGACTGGTCCCACCCACCTGTTAAAGTTGGCCCGCAGGGTTTGAAGGGAGAGGTGTGAATCTGACCAAAAATGTCCCTCCCCCCCGCCTTACTCTGATAACCCCATTGCAGCATCTACTACTGGGTGCCCCAGACACACCTTCCTGAAAACTTGTTTATTTCTTAACTTTCCTGTCAGAATTGTGGTTCAAATGCCCACAATTCCCCAACTGAATGATGTCACTGAAAAGGATGTAAAAAGAACAGAATGTTCCGTTGCTATGGAGATTAAGCTTGCTTCATTCTGCTTCTGGTGACTCTGCAGCCATATAATTATTATTTGGATTTCAAAATCTATAGGTCTTTCCCAACGAAGCCCCACTGTTCAGGCCATCTATTTATCCAAAGCAGTTCTTAAGAACCATTCTCAATTGACAGGCTGTGCTTTCGCTTGGCTACCCAAGGGCAAAATTCATGGACTCCCTGCTAAGCGCTAAATAGTTGGTCTGCCACACTGGATTCAGCTGAAGACCAAAGCCTTCAACCAAATTTGGCTTCACAATCAATCCCTCTTTCCAGGGAACTCTGGGAATTGAATCTCTGTGAGAGGAGAAGGGGTCTCTTAACAACTCCCAGCATCCTAGAAAACTACAGCTCCCAGAATTCTTTGGGGAAAGCCATGGCTGTTTAAAACGGTACAGGCAGAGGTGCAGTAGTCCAGGATCATATGGGTTGAAGGCCAGTTACTATTTCTGCCTCCAGAGTCCTAGAGCTGCCCAACCAGCATGAAAGGGGAGCTTTTGAGCTACTGAAAAGAAGTCTTCTCACCCTTTGTGCTCATTGTGTAGCCTTTCTAGGCCTTTTAAACCATGGGTAGGAAAATGTTGCACCCGAGCAGGGACGAAAAGGAGCCAAACAACACCAAGGGGTTAAATCCAGAGAAAGAGTTTTTATTCTGCCAACCCGGGTGGGCAGAGGAGCAAGTGTGATAAGTCACAAAAAGCATGCACGAGTTCACAGTCATGTGCACAAGCATATATACCCTTCCAGTTCCCTCCCCCTTTCTCCTCCTCCTTGAAGAGTCCTGCCCATGAGTTCTTCTGAGCATGAACAGAAAGCTGTCTTGGGACTATTGGACTCTTGGCGCCCTTCCCAGGAAAGGGGGGGTGAGAGCCTTGCGTTCAGCATGTTCAGATGTGTTGCAACTGGAATGAGATAAGATTCGTTTCTCAGGCCTGAGTATTCTTGGCAATGACAGAGCCTATTCATTAGCCTTTAAAAGTAACATTTTGCCTATGCACAGCATCTTGTGAGAATAAGCAGAGAAGAGCAGAGAAAAGCTGTTTTGGATTTTTAGAAGACAAAAGGAATTTTGGATAGTTTTGAGGCCTGGGGTGATTTCACAGACAGGATTTGGGTATACTGTCCCTTCAATTGGAGCCAATCAGAGTAAAAGAAAGTGAGTCAGTCCCTTGGGATTGGCTCCTAGGGCCACTCTGGAGAAGGCGCGTGGGAAAACCACCCAAAAAGAGTTGCTCTGTACGTTCCAAAGCTAAGCATTCAGGAACACTGACAACATGAGGAGCTTCCGTTTCAGAAGAATGGTGTGCAAGGTTCTGTTATGTACAATGGAACATCATAGAAGACAAAAGAAGATGTTGCGACACTCCAAATCATTTGCCCATGTATGTGCACAGAAAACAGTAGATCTAGCTGAAAGGCGACACGTGGAGATCAGCGCTGATTGTTGCAATGCATCCCTAATGACTATTGTTGTATAATTGTAAGATTACTGCATAATCTTAGGAGTGTGGCTGTCAGGAGACTGTGGCTGTGATTCTCATGGAGGACCCCTGCACTTCTGAATTTGCCACTACCCTACTGGGTATGATAGTGCTTTAGATGCACAGTGCAGATAGGGGCCACCATCCCTGTTACTAAGCTCCAGCTCTGCACACCTTTCTGCTACTTAACCACCTCACTCGGCAGCATTAACTTTCTCTCAGACGCTCAGCCGATAAATTTGCCTAACAGGCTGCAGATGCCACATGCAAATCCTCATCCGCCATTTCCCCCGGTAACAGAAAACAACCATGTGGTGCCGTTTGTGGGCCGTTTCGGGGTGTTTGCCGCCGTATTTCATTCTGAGAACAAAACCATGCTGGATTTTTAAAAAATAATATCATAATAAAAATTGCTCTCTGCGTCTCTGCTCTCTGCGTCTGCTTTCAACTGCCCCTGGCAGGTGTGTGCACGATTCGCGAGCTCCGGGAATTTCTTGTCGCTTCTCCTTAGCTGCTGTCATCCCCCCCACCCCTCAGTAATTTCCAAAAGGTATTAGAATATTCATAGCAGCCTCCAAACAGATTAGGCGTAGGCAGTAAATCATAGGAGATTAACTTGGCAAAACATTTTTACCCTTTCGTGTGCAGCTGTTCACATTTCTGAAGCTGAGGGAGATGGTTCCATTATAACCTAATGCCCAGGTGCCGTGCCATCGCCAAGAGCAAAGGTGGTGGTGGGGGAGAACACAACTGAAAGCAATGGGGGAGGCAACAAAAAGAGAGGTTTACTACTCCAGAGGCTTCCGGTTAGAAAATGGCGTCTGAAGCAAGTCTCCTGTGAGCCTCAGCAGAGTGAGTATGAGCTTTTAAAAAATAATAAAAAATACTCCAGAACTAGATGAACAGCAAACAAACCACCCTCCTGCCAACTATAATGTGGGGGGGTAGGGGCTATTTATCAGCCTGAGGGCCACATTAGCTTCTGGGCAACCTTCGGAGGGCCACCTGCAATGGAGGCTGCTCCATTACGGCAAATTTATAACATACATGATATGGAGAAAGGTGGATAGTGGAACATTTCTCTCCTTCTCACATAACGCCGGACCTCGTGGAAATCCAGTGAAGCTGACTGTTGGAAGATGTGGAACAGACAGATTTATGCAGCGCATAAACTATGGACCTCGCTACCATGGGAGGTAATAATGACACCCAACTTGGGTATCCTTAAAAGAGGATTGGACAAATACATGGAGGGAAAGGCTATTGATGACTGTTAGTCATGATGGCTAAGCTCTGCCTCCACAGTCAGAGGCAGTAATTATTATTATTATTATTATTATTATTATTATTATTATTATTTATACCCCGCCCATCTGGCTGGGCTTCCCCAGCCACTCTGGGCGGCTTCCAACAAAAGATTAAAATACAGTAATCCATCAAACATTAAAAGCTTCCCTAAACAGGGCTGCCTTCAGATGTCTTCTAAAAGTCTGGTAGTTGTTGTTCTCTCTGACATCTGGTGGGAGGGCATTCCACAGGGCGGGTGCCACTACTGAGAAGGTCCTCTGCCTGGTTCCCTGTAACTTGGCTTCTCACAGTGAGGGAACCGCCAGAAGGCCCTCGGTGCTGGACCTCAGTGTCTGGGTAGAATGATGGGGGTGGAGACGCTCCTTCAGATATACTGGACTGAGGCAGTTTAGGGCTTTAAAGTTCAGCACCAACACTTTGAATTCTGCTCAGAAACGTACTGGGAGCCTATATAGGTCTTTCAAGACCGGTGCTATGTGGTCTCAGCCACTCCCAGTTGCTTCTGAATACCAGTTGCTGGAAGTCACAGGCAAGTAGAGGGCTCTTGTGCTTGGGTCGTGATCAGCAGTTTCCCACAAGCAACTGGGTGGTCACTGTGAGAACAGGATGCTGGACTAGACAGGCCATCGGCCTGATCCAGCAGGGCTCTTCTTACATTCTTATGAACGCGTAGAGAACATATGGACAGACAACTTTCCCAAATATATAATAGAAGGAAAAGAGAAATGTGAGCGCAAAGGGTTTTGTGCTTGCATGGAAGCCCTTGGATACATGCGAGCATATTAGAAAACTTGCACATTTGGGTGATGCTGGTTTGGGAACTGACAGTGATGAAGACGCAGGGCTTTTTTCCAACCAAAAGTGTGAGGCATTCCACGCAGGCAAAGAAAAAGTAAGACAAGTTTCCATGACAACAACTGAAGAATTCTGCCTTCATAAAGGGTAAGTTACTGCTTTTCAGAGTTGAGATGTTGAAGGGATTTACATAATGGTAGACTTGTGGGAGACAATCAAGACCTCCTCTTTTCTCTGCAGTGTAGACAATATCTAGGGAACTCCTTTCCTTGACAGCAGCAATAGAAGTATCTGACACATTCCATTTCACAGCAACTTTCATGAAAATGTGTGAGCATTTGTGGTCACCAGGGAGGAGACAAGCAGGGGGAAATATACTAGATTACAGTGGTGGGGAAAAATCTCCTTCTTCCTCTAGTACCTGCCTAAAAAGCATTTGCATAGTATGTGTGTGGGGTTTTAATCCCTAGAAATGGACAGCATTTTCTGTTCCACCCTGTATTCCTTGCATACATGGTTTCCGTTCTGCTGCAGTTCATCTTCACCAATAGCTATGCTATTGTTCTCGCTGTCCACTAAGGCAAAATTACATAATTTATGTAATCTGTTGTGTAAAATATGTATGCTACATTGTCGTTATGTTATTCCACACCAAACACAATGCAAATTGGCGGTGGGGTGCGTGGGTGTGGGTGGGTGTGTAATCAGTTATGTGATTTCGAAAATTCTGAAAATGACAGTGGTTAAGGATTCAAGCTTGGCCTTGCTGTTATTATTTTGAAGGAACAATTAAGGATCCTTTTGAAGGAGCAATTAAAGATCCTTTGTTTAAGCCATTAATAATCCATTTCCTGGTAGCAGCCCAGATGGATATCATTCTTATGGAGAGGCAATTGTTCGTTAACCATGCAAAACTGGTCTGAAAAGGTTCAGAAGGTTGCGCTTGTAGACAAACATAACACAACACTGCCGAGTAATCAGAGGCAACACTAAGGGAGATGAATTCTATGGTGACTGGTCTCCATTTCTTTCATTAATTCCTCGCCAGAAGAACCTGGACCACATTCTGTTCACTTTTCTTCTTGGAGAGGTATGTTATCCTGAACTTTATCTCAACACTCCAGACTTTCTTTATTTAGATATCACGTCACTAACTCTCTCCAAAATTTGAAGAGTTGAAGTTTGGGAGCAATAAATTGATCCACAGACATAATCCCTAGCAAATGTATTATTCACTCTCCCAGATTTCAGCTTTTTGCCTTTGACTCTTTGGCAAACAGCCGCCCTACCAAACCAGTACACAAGCTGATAAGTCATCTTAATGAATCCATCACTGTGCAGATGGCCTGCAGAAATAAATGCCAATGGTACCAAATCATGTAGACTGATGGATGGTATTTAAGAGCTTTATAACTTACACTTTGGGGTGGTAATTAGATTCTCTCCACCCTGCACACTCTTAATTAAGGAGAGTGGTTGGACAGTTTTTGTCACTTAACAAAATCTTTCCCAATTAAAAGAAATCGCTAACATTCTGCACTCAGATTGGGAGATGTTCTTATTCCAAATGCAAAGACTGAAATGCATAGTAGTAGTTCATCTTAGGTGCTGATTTGACTGCATGGTGCTAGGCTATCACAACTGTATCGAAACATGAACATTAGGATTCTAATATATTTGGATAATATTTCTATATACTACCAAGTCATGTTCAAAGTCCTTGTACAGTGGTACCTCAGATTACAGACGCTTCAGGTTACAGACTCCGCTAACCCAGAAATAGTACTTTGGGTTAAGAACTTTGCTTCAGGATGAGAACAGAAATCGCGTGGTGGCAGTGGCAGCAGGAGGCCCCATTAGCTAAAGTGGTACCTCGGGTTAAGAACAGTTTCAGGTTAAGAACGGACCTCCAGAACTAATTAAGTTCTTAACCCGAGGTACCACTGTATTCATTTACAAAGCCCTGAACAACTTAAGGACTCCCCAAACACTTATATCCCAGCTCAGTTACAGAGATCATTTGCAAGAGCATCATTGGTCATCCCCCAAGTTGGTGAGGTTCATCTGATGGTGACATGACATCAAGCCTTTCGTGCCATCAACCCCGTCTCGTGGAATGCTCTTCAGCACACCTTTGTTTTAAGCTTTAAATGTCTACTGCAGACCCTTCCGTGCCACCAAGCTTATGCAGGCAGTTAAGAAAATATTGTTCTGTAAAGGCTGATGCTCATATCTCTTCAATTTTCACATGGTTTATTTATCACAGAATCATAGAATTGTAGAGTTGGAAGTGACCCAAAGGGTCAATGCAATCCTTTAAACATTAATTACTTCTTCCCAGAGAACTCTGGGAATTGTAGCTCTGTGGTGGGAATAAGGGTCTCCTGACAGCTCTCTGCACCATTAGCAAACTACAGTTCCCAGAATTTGGGGTGGGGGTGGAGCATGACTGTTTAAAGTAGTGTCATGGTACACAAACCTACGTACCTACGGGACCGCCTCTCCCGGTATGCCCCACGGAGAGCCTCAAGGTCCATAAACAGCAACACCCTAGTGGTCCCGGGCCCTAAGGAAGTTCGATTGGCTTCAGCCAGAGCCAGGGCCTTTTCAACTCTGGCTCCGGCCTGGTGGAACGCTCTGCCTCATGAGACCAGGGCCCTGCAGGATCTGATTTCTTTCCGCAGGGCCTGTAAGACAGAGTTGTTCCGCCTGGCCTTTGGCTTGGAGCCAATTTGATTCCCTCCCCCTCTTTCTTTTTCCTTTTTCCTTTCTCCTCCTGTGATGAAGTTGCATTTTAATATTTTAATGTTGTATTTAAATCTTGTTTTTAAGTTGTATTCATTCAACTTGTTTTTATTATTGCTTGTTAGCCGCCCTGAGCCCGGCCTTGGCTCAGGGAGGGCAGGGTATAAATAAAAATTATTATTATTATTATTATTATTATTATTATTATTATTATTATTATCATTATTAAACATTTGGTGTGTATGTGGCCAGAGTGATCAAAACAGTTTTAATTAAAACTGCTCTTACTTGCCTCTGGCACATGGCAAGACTGTGTGGTAGCAATAACATCTTGTAGCGTTCTGATAAAGTTATTGCAGAGAAACCTTGTGGTAGCACCATGCAGAAGACTTTTGCTATTTATGATACCTGATGATCCCACAAGCTAATCTGCTAGGGCTGTTTGGCCCAGGATGTTATGCCATGAAGGAAAGGGAACTGAAAAAAGCAGCCGTGCTAGCTATGACCGTCTAACCAGGGACTCTGAGTATTCTTGCCGTCAATTACTTGCTCCTGTGTGGAGATGCCTTTTTGAAATTCTCCTGGTGGCGACATAATTGTCGCATGCTATAAATTGCATCCCGCAAAGCACCTGCAATAGTCACTGAATGTGCTTTTAAAACAGACAAGCAATCCCAAAGAGAAGCCAGAAGGATGTAATAACCATACAGTAAAAATGGTTTATTGGAAGCACTGCAGCCTTTGCAAATCAAAACATGAGATCATAAAGGCATTGGTGACATGTCCAACTTGGGCAGGGCTGAACTAGCTGCAACCTGAAACTATTAGCATTCAGTGGAGTAAAGACAAAACAATCTCAGGTTAATTCATGGCTCACATTTCTCTTCAACCGCATCAAGTAGTTTTTCTCTTCCCCACAGAGAAAAAAGAAGCGAACCAACAACATTAAAAGGAAGCCAAACACAAATATCATTGTGTTACTAAAGGGGTCATAAGAGAGCTATTCATTTTCATTTCAAAAAACAGGTGGATGACAGAGGGCCATTTAGCCAGGTGCAATAAAGTACCGGTAAGTGGAGATTATGATGTTGCACCAAAAGCCCACCACATAAACAGCTCACTTTTAAGCATAAGGTATAAATCAGAACACTCGACAATAGAACAGATACTTGCAAATAAATCCAGAGCTTTAAAATGTGAAAGAAGTCACCGGAAAACAACAATTTGTAGCCAACATCAGTCCTACATCAGAGTAGATCCAGTGCAATTAATCAACATTGTTAACAGGTTCGTTTATTTCAGTGGGTCTGTTCCAAACAATACTTAGAATCATGGAATCATAGAATTGTGGAGTTGGAAAGGACCACAAGGGTCATTGGCAACGTAGGAATCTCTGCTAAGGTATTCTTGACAGATGGCCATCCAACCTCTACTTAAAAACCTCCATGAAAGGAGAGTCCACAACCTCCTGGTGGTCAAACAGCTCTGACCATCAAAAAGTTCTTCCTGATGTTTAGTCAGAATCTCCTTTCTTGTAACTTGAATCCATTGGTTCAGATCCTACTCTCTGGAGCAGGAGAAAACAAGCTTGCTCCATCTTCCATGTGACAGCCCTTGAGATATTTGAAGGTGGCTTTCATATCTCCTCTCATTCTCCTCCCTTTAAGACTAAACATGCCCAGCTCCCTAAACTATTCCTCATAAGGTTTAGTTTCCAGACACTTGATCATCTTGTTCACGCTCCTCTGCAACGTGTCAACATCCTTCTTAAATTATGGCACCCAGAACTGGACACAGGACTCCAGCTGTAGTCTGACCAAGCAGTACTACTACTTCCCTTGATCTGGACAAGGGAATAATGTCTGGAATAGCATTAGCCTTTTTGCTGCTGTATCACACTGTTGACCTATGTTAAGCTTGCAGCCTACTAAGACCCCTAGATCCTTTTCACATATAAGCAAGCCAAGTTTTCCCCATCTGATATTTGTGCAGCTGGTTATTCCTGCCTAAGTATAGAATGTTGCATTTATCCCTATTGAAATTAATTAGTTAGTTTGGGCCCAGTTCTCCAATCTGTTAAGGTCATCTTGAAACCTGATTCTGTCTTCTGTGGCTGCATCTGCAAATTTGATGAGCATCCCCACAATTCCTTCATCCAACTCATTTATAAAGACAATGAACAACAAGTCCAGGACAGAACCCTGCAGCACCTCACTTGTCACTTTTCCCCAGTATTATAAGGAACCATTTATGAATACTCTTTGGGTTCGGTCAGTCAACCAGCTACAAATCCACCTAACAGTAACCTCATCCAGCAGTCAACCAGCTACAAATCCACCTAACAGTAACCTCATCCAGCCCACATTTTACCAGCTTCTCCACAAGAATATAATGGGGGATTTTGTCAAAAAAGCCTTACTGAAATCAAGATACACTACATTCACAACATTCCCCTGATCCACTTAGCTTGTAATGCTATCAAAAAAGAAATTAGATTCATCTGGCATGACTTGTTTGTGAAACACATGTGCTGGGTCTTAGTAATCACAGCATCCAACTGTTTAATTATCTTTTCTAGGACCTTTCCTGGTATCAGTGTCAAGCCAACACCCACTTAGGCCTTCTTTTTCCCCCATTTTTGAAGATGAGGACAAGATTTGCCTACCTCTGGTCCACAGGGACTCCAAGAATTCTCAAAGATTATAGACAGAAGCTCTGAGGTTTGAATTCATTTAACGTAGCTACGTGTTCCCTCGTCTCCTCTTTTCCTTCTTGAGCTGCAGCTCCCTCCTTGCATCATTTATTCTGTAATCACCAGGTTGGTCACTGCTTTCCTCTGGGACAGAGGCAAAGTAGATGCTGAGCAGTTCCACCTTCTCTCTGTCACCTACCCACATCGCTCTGTCTTCTCCATGAAGAGGACCCACTACTTACTACTACTTCCTCTTCTTTATTATTACTAGATTTAATCTCACTTGCAAGCCTGAGCTCATTCTGACCTTAGACCTACCTGACATTCTCCCTGCAAATGTTAGCTACTCATGTCTACTCTTCCTTCATAACTTCTCCTTTCTTCCATTTCTTAAACATGCCCTTTTTAAATCTCAGCTCATCTTCCAGCTCCTTATGAAGCCACACCGGGGGTTTTATTTTAGATGTCTCCCACTTTTATTTTCTGTTGGAATTGCCTGCATTTGTGCCTTCACTATTTCACCTTGAAGAAACTCCCATCCATTTTGGACTTCCATCTCTTTGATTATTTCTAACCATGAGATCTTACCCAGTAGTTTCTTAAGCTTTTTGAAATCAGCCTTCTTGAACTCCAGAGTGCATGTCTGACTGCACTCAGCTTTCCCTTGCCCCTGTATAATGAAACCCAGAAGGACATGATCACTTCCTCCCAAGGTTCCCAGTACTTCCACTTGGTTGATCAGTTCCTCCCAGGTCCAAGTGAGATGATTCATCCCCTTGCTGCTTGTTACACCTGATGGGAAATGAAATGGTCAGCAAGGCCCACATGACTAACCAACAAGTCTAGAACCCTCACTGGGTGTAAATAAATAAAAGGTCTAGTTTTGTTCCACAAGTGCCTCCTCATTTCTTTGAACATCTGCTTGGGGGATCCTTTACATAAGTGAAACACCTGGCTGCACCTTTGAGACTAACCAATTCAGGCTCCAGTCCTATCTGGGAGCCATTCCCATGAAATATAGTGTGGTTTACTTCTGAATAATGTATGGTTATTGGAACATTAACCCACACTACAAATTGTGGCAGCAAGGACTCCTTCTAAACCAAGGTTAGGCATTTTTCACTTTGCTTAGGTAGGAAGTACTTATACAGCTCCAATGTTTTAGTGTCCACATATTTGCAAGGGAGGGGGATGGAGGGAGACAGAACAACATGGCCCCACTGGTGTTGCCTCCTTGGTCCCACTGATGTGACCTTATTGGCTCCACCTACCTGACCTCCTTGGCCATAGGCCACCCCACCACATCCAGGGCTTACCAGCTGCTACTGGTATTTTTGTATGTTATGTTCAGAAACATATTTTTCACACACTTTACCCTAGAATATCCATTGCTTGGCCGGAGAACTGCCATTTTGCCACACTAGGTGGAAGACGGCTGTGTTTCAGTTGTCATTGCTTTGGAAATTGTGCATCGGGTAATTTGCTCTTAAACACAACCTGAATTGAACTTCTCCCCCTTCCCTGGTGCTAAAAGAGATCTTCCAGAAGTTAAAAGAGATGATTGGAAATGGAAGCTTCTCTTGGGGAAAAATGAAACTAGGAAACAAGCCCATATTCCTTATGCATATTCCCCCCCCCCTTTCATTGTTTCAATGCCCATACATCAATATTTTTCAGTGGCAGATTCAAGCATTTGAGGACAGAAGTTTCCAGACAAGAACATTGTGCAAAGGGTGCCCATGTGTCAGTCATCTGGACTATGATGCCCACGGGAAAATGATATTCAAATTGCATTAATTATATGTAACTGAAAATGGCAGTTTAGTGCTGGACTTCTGGCTTACGATGCCTCTCTGATGTGCCCTCTCCCCCCACCGATCCTGGGCCAATTACCCACCCCCACTGCATTTTACCATTGGTGTCCCTTCTACCTAATGGCACTGGAAAGCTTTCCATTCAGAATGGTACGGCCAACTCCAGGACTCTGCTTTATGAATGACAGATTGGTTTTCTCCCAGCCTATCCCACATAGTCCTCTTGATAAGCATCCTGTAATTTGCTTGGCATGATCTTATACATAAAGCAGCTGGCAGGTACAGTTTTATTATCCTGGCTGCAGCTTCTAATGTGATTGATCACAGCCTGTTATGGTACACTGCATCTGGAGGAAATCGAATTTTCTCTGAACCCATGATGGAGTACTCAGATACACTTTCCTATGCAAGGAATGCACAGAGAAGAGAAGGAGCTGGATATCAAACCAGATGCAAATCTGAGTCCAAGTCAAAGGCAGAAGAAATCTCTTTTCGTTAGGAAGCTTCCTTTAAACACACACACACAAATAAAACCACACACCTACTGAAACTGAATCTTTAAAAATAATTATATGCACACATCTCTACTGGTGAATGGGGAAATGCCCCACCAACCTCATTCTGCCCTCAGCAACCCCCTACCCTTTGGCTTATACCCAGCCCAGAGGGATGACAATGCCTGTTGCTTTCCTCTTCCTTACTCTCAGTGTTGCTTGTTATAGAACTCCACATGCAGGAGGATGAGGACAAAACCAACATGAGTTGGCTCTGCCTAGCATTGCCTTTGGCTCCACCTACTGGTGGGCTCCCTGCCTTCCACCCTACCAGTTTCAACAGACACCACCGCATACATTGGATCATCCAAATTAAATCATCACGAAAAGGACTCTGTGCACAACCATTGCATGTGGATGGCAGTACAGTGGTACCTCGGGGTACAAATTTAATTCATTCCGGAGGTCCATTCTTAACCCAAAATTGTTCTTAACCTGAGGCACGCTTTTGCTAATGCCACTGCACGATTTCTGTTCTCATCCTGGGGCAAAGTTCGCAACCCAAGGTACTACTTCCGGGATAGCAGAGTTTGTAACCCGAGGTACCACTATACTGGATTTGTAAAATGAGAATGGATGATGTTTCGCCCTTTCTGCTCCCTGGTTCAAAAGGTGCAGTTTTAAAGGGAGGGGGAGAGGAACCTCCAGTGATTTGTGGTTCATTTGGGCAACAGGGGCACTACTCTTCCTGCCAAGCTTCCTACTTACAACCAGCTGCCAGCTTTCTCCAATTCCAACTTGGTGTTGCCCTTTGTAGAATTCAGCAGGGAGGAGGATGGGAACAAAACTAGAGGTAGCTGCTTCTGCTTATCATTGGCTCTGGCTGCCTCATTAGCCTCCTCCCTGCCAGTCTCAGTGAGCATCAGCCACCACTCAGGTCCTCCAAATGTTTTTGGGCTCCATCTAGGGAGGAGGAGAAATCTTTTTCTTTTTTTTTATAAGATATTTATTAAGATTTTCAAAATATTACAAAATAAAAATAAAAAAGAAGAAAATGCAAAATAAAAATGGTTAAAAACAACTCAATCTTTCCATTACTTATTTTTCATTAGCTTGTTTCCCGGACCTCCTCACGCCTCCCTTTTTTGTATTCCAGTTCAGTTTGTTGGTTCAGCAAATCCTTACCCTCTTTGTTTATCCTAGTCTTTAATCTTAAAATATTGTAGTGTTAAATTTTTACCTATTAATAATCCATTTTTCATATTCCCTTATAGTATTACAGCTGAAAACCACTTAATTTCTATCCAACATCATTCTAGAAATCCTCATAACTCAGATTCCAGAGTCGATTCACATGATTCAATCTGGGCAATTCATGACCCGCATTGTATCATGAAATCTGCTTTAGAAACTCTAGTACGCTGTAGACCCATTCACCACTCTAAAGGATCCTGCACCGCCAGCCTGCTCTGAGAGCCAGTGTGGTGTAGTGGTTAAGAGGGGTAGACTCGTAATCTGGTGAACCGGGTTCAATTCCCCGCTCCTCCACATGCAGCTGCTGGGTGACCTTGGGCTAGTCACACTTCTCTGAAGTCTCTCAGCCTCACTCACCTCACAGAGTTTTTGTTGTGGGGGAGAAAGGGAAAGGAGAATGTTAGCCACTTTGAGACTCCTTCAGGTAGTGATAAAGCAGGTTATCAAGTCCAAACTCTTCTTCTTCTTCTCCTCTGTCTTCAGTGTGTCCTTTCTATGCATGGAGGGGGTTGTGCGAACCTCCCTCAAGCCAAGGGCAGTCAATCAAATCGCTCTCAAATCAAACCAAGTACCAGATGGGTAACAGTTTGTAGTGCATGGGTGAGGGAATTGTGGCCCTCCCGATGTTGTTGGACTCCAACTCCCATTGACCACAGCCAGCATGACTAATGGTCAGAAATAGTGGGTTATATTCCATGTAGTGCTAAGGCTAAGGTTCCATCAGCGCAGTGATTTCTCCTTCTTCACCGGGACATCCTCCCCACCATTCACAAATCTGGGACTTCTGCCAAGCCTCCAGAGCAGATTTGGTGGTGGTGTGGAGCCAAGCATAATAGGATGGGGCAGGAGGAAAGAGACCCATTGCACTAAGCCGTAGTCCTTGTAAGCCTGCAACTATATCATTGAATGCCACCCAACTAGAGTTATTGTGTAGAAACATCTAGAGGACCATCGGTTCCCCCCAACCCTGATGCAGAAGAAACTTGTGTGAGACAACCCTGCTGCTAATTTATATTATTTCAATGTGGAAATGGGCAGGGTGCATGTTTGGGAAATACTGACAGACTCCTACTCCCATCAGCCCCAAGCTGCCAAAAGGCAAAAGCTATTGGTGCAGGCCATTTTCTGAATTGGAAAGCGCCTATGTTTGGAAAGAGCATTTGGAGCAGAGAAGATGAGGTGCCTTTTCTTTAAATCAGTTACCCACATTGGGGGAGTGGTTGGTTGTAAGATGATGCCTCTGCCCCTGAGCCACAAGCCACAGTCAGACCCACAGTACTGGGAATGGTTTAGAGCAGAGCATAAGGAAAAGCTATGATTTTCTTTTAAAGTGTTGTAAATTGCTTTGAGGGCCTGGAGGGTGAAAAGAGGGGTATTAATCCCTTCTTATCATCTTCGCAGTCTGCATGCATCTTTTCTATGTATTAGGATGTAGCATAGCAATGGTAAAATAAGCCATTATTTTTCAAGGAGAGAGAAGCCATTTCCCATCCAAAGGCAGAAATTCTGGATCAGGAACGTTGCCCAATGGACCAGACAGGTTCCAGGGAAAATATTAAAACATTTCCCAGAAAATCTTTATTCCACAGTTATTCAGTTTCTTTAATAATATTCTTTCAGGGGGATAGATCCCAGAAACCTAGAGGCAATCTCTAAAGGAAATGAAGATATTAAGCAGCTTCATTCCTAGAGGCCAATCACATTACTTATTGTAGATATGATTTTTAAATATGGTAAATTGTGCATAAAGGTTGCTGACAGAAATGTATGATATCAGGATAGATTGTTTTGCAAGATGTTTATATTAGATAAATTGCAGAACCCCCCCCCCCCCAATTTTTTTTTTTTTTTAGATTAGGACAATTTGCACCAACATGCTGGTGGAAATTTCAAAAGGGGTTGTTGTTGTTTTTAGTTTCAAAAAGGCAAACTGATATTAAAATGTGAAGAACTTAGGACTTAAAAAGTGAGAAACTGAGAGAAACTGAAACTGACAGATTCACCCAACCTTACACACTGTCACACACTGGTTTTTGGAAGCCTATGGGGCAAGAACAGCAGGAGGGGTTTTTTTAGAGTAAAAGGGACTATTTGGAGGGAAATTATTTTTGCATATGGGGTGAGGGTCTGGTGGTGGTGCTTTTTAACTAGTTGAGTGCCTTGGGATTTCTCTCAGTATCCTGAAACCTCTGTGGCATATGGGTTGCCCTGTTTTTCCTACAAAGCCATTGGCACAGGTCTACTGAGTTCAGAATTAGAGGGAAATATTAAAGAACATTTTTTTAAAAATCTCAGTTGAATGGTCGCTTATTAATACACTGACTGTGACAATTGCCCTGATCCAAAGCCTAAAATTAGAACCTGGTGCACTCCAAGCAAGGTTGCCAAGCTAGGCTGCTGTTCTCCTTGAGTAAGATGGCAGAGTTTTCTTAATACCTTCCCGGCCCTTCTCTCCCAGGATGTTTTGGAGAGCGAGCGAGGCAAACTGAAGAGACAGGGCTGTCTGTCGAAAAGGTGATCTCTAATGTACTGAAGCAGGTTCCCTGGAGCCCTTTGTCTCCTGTGATTGACAGCTGGTGAAAAAGCAAACCACCGGCAGATATGGCTCTAAATCAAAATTGTCCGCTTGAGCAGGAATGATGTTGGTTCTGATCGCAATGCGAATCTGTCAGTGTCTGTTTTCTGCATTTGCTATTTTCTCTAGCTAAGTTAAACTCTGTCTTGCTGACATGCCATTACAGCAAACAGTGCTTTGCCTTACCTTGTGGGGATGACTCTTGTGCACAATGACCCGGCCGTGCCCTGCAGGATGTGGGCAGTGTTTTGCAGGATCAGAGAAAGAAAGCCTTTCGGCAGGGATATCCCTCCATAGGAACATAGGAATCTGCATTGAGCCAAGTCAGACCATTGGTCCATCTAGCCCACTATTCCCTGTTCTGACTGGCAGTGGCTCCCCATCATTTCCGAGCACAATTCAAAGTGTTGGTGCTGACCTTTAAAGCCCTAAACGGCCTCGGTCCTGTATACCTGAAGGAGCGTCTCCACCCCCATCGTTCAGCCCGGACACTGAGATCCAGCACCGAGGGCCTTCTGGTGGTTCCCTAATTGCGAGAAGCCAAGTTACAGGGAACCAGGCAGAGGGCCTTCTCGGTAGTGGCGCCTGCCCTGTGGAACACCCTCCCTTCAGATGTGAAGGAAATAAGCAGCTATCCTATCTTTAAAAGACATCTGAAGGCAGCCCTGTTCAGGGAAGTTTTTAATATTTAATGCTGTACTGTTTTTAACACTTGATTGGGAGCTGCCCAGAGTGGCTGGGGAAACTCAGCCAGATGGTGGGCTGGGTATATATAAAATTATTATTATTATTATTATTATTATTATTATTATTATTATTTCAGACAGCAGTTTCTCCTAGTCCTACCTGGGGACACCAGGGATTGAACCTGGGACCTTCGGCATGCAAGGCAGTTGTCATTGGACAGTTGCTGAATGGCGATCAGTGGCGCAGCATGGAGGGGACACAGGGGCAGTTGCCCCAGGTGCAAAATTGTCAGGGCAAAAAATTTCAATTGCCTTAATACAGCTGTCACTGGGCCTCTGTTGAAAATGACTTCTCCATGCAAACTAGGAAGTGACCTCTCCAGAAGTGACCTCTGTAGCTGTGATCTCCTGGGTGGCAAGGACACCGTTGGGCAGTTGAATGTGCATGCACCCTTTTCCCTCCCTCCCAGTCTGCATCCGTGTGGCCCCGGGTGCTGGCAATCCATGCTATGCCACTGCTGGGAATGATGGGAGTTGAAGTTCAACAGCAACTGGAGGCACAAAGTTTCCATATGTCTCCTCTAGGGGCACTGAGCTTCTCTTATCAGTTCCCTTCAGCCTCTGCTCTCCCCTTGAATCCATAAACAAAACTGAGGTTTAAACAAATTAAAGAGTTGGTTTATGTGGCACACAGAACCAAATATGAGTCCCATTGTGACTAGGGGTGGGGTAGGGATCCCAGTGGCTATTTCAGATTTCTGTCTTTCCAACATGCTGACTTAAGGCCGTCAGAAGCATAAGGAAAGGAAAAACATATTTGGAAGCCTGCAAATGACATGTTCAAACTAAAATTAAAACCAATGAAGATGTTAAGAGCTGGTACTCAATTAAATCAGACTCTTCTCTCATCTCAAACCTGCGTTTAAACATGTAAACATATCAGCGCACAAAGATTTATCTGATGTTAAATGAGAACACAAGCAATTTTATTCCAGAGGGGCAGATGTTAAAAAACATTGTTATGTACCATTTTCACAGATGTTCCCTCCTTCACTATTTTTAGCGCTGGATTTTAGTGTTTCAAATTTCGCATTTCAAAAGCCGTAGAGAGGAAATGGTAGGTACACTCAAGCCAACGGCATTGGTTGAAAGGCAGTTTGGCAAAGTGTGTGCCCAGGGATCTTTGCCAAGGGAAATGCATTATCGTTCTTCAACCTTGGTCTGTTTGCTTTCCAATCATTTAGGGCTTTAAACCAGAGCTTGTCCAAGACATTTTGGCAACTGAAGCAGACCCCAAAATGACCCCAGGGAACAAGGGGTGAGGAAGTATCTGTATCAGGAACCAGGGGGACATTGGGATCTGCTGTCTCTGTGAATTCTGCCGCCTGAGGCAGTTGCCTCACCTTGCCTCATGGGTGGGCCGGCCCTGCTTTAAACAGTAATGTGAACACCTTGAACTGGGCCAGAAGCAAACTGGCAGTGGGTGCAGCTGTTTTAAAGTAGGGGTTATGTTAGATCTAACCTACCATTGGCCTTCCTGCCTTCTCCCCCACCAGTTTCAATGGGCAGAATATGGGCAGATAGCTGCTGGTTAATACGCAGGGGAGAAATAACTTGGCAGCATTGACAGGGATGAGAGAGATATGTGTGTTTTTTAATGTGAACCTGCCTAATTCACGATTTGGGAATAAATATGTGAATTGAAACACAGCTGTCCTTTGAAATCTGCACTTCTCTGAATTTTGTGATGCAACTCTCCAACCACAAAAATACCCGACGAGTGTGAAAATAATGTACAAGGGGAAATTGCTGCCAAAAATGTGAATATTAGGCAGACCTGCATGCAAATATGCATACACAAGGCGCAACATGCACTCAGATGTGTACAAATTGCCATGAAGGCTTCTTCTTTCTTTTAAGCAAGCTGACGCAGAAATGGGTAATTGACAGATCGATCCATCCCCAGTTTTGAATTACTCGTCTTACCCTTTATGCACACAAGAAACTTCATTCTCCTTGCTACTCAGATGAGCCACAAGGGCCTAATGTGGCAGTTCGAGCAATTAAAATTCAATGAGGCTGCAAATATTTGCAGGATTTAGCCCAGAGTGACTTATTTTAGAGATTTGTGAAGCCTGAATCACTCCTAGCGTGATGCAGTCGTTTTCATGCATAAGTAGAAAAGATATTTGTTCTCTTGGCTCCCCTCCCTGCTTCCTATAGGTAGCAGAAACTACCACAGCCCAGGAGAGAGTCAGATACATACCTGATGTAGCGTTACTCAGTTTAAAGGCTGAGCTGGTATGGGGTGTGGCCAGGGAGGAGGTGTGGCCTCAGGAGAGTTCCAAGGGCCAGATAGAAAGGCCTGGAGGGCCACATTCACCCTGGGCCTGAGGTCCCCCATGCCTGCCTCAGGTTGTTCAACAATAATCCGTAAACAGACCCCTGTGTTGCAATATAGACAAGCTGAACAATATTACACAACACTATTTATTAGTCTATATATAGTGTTTAGTGCCATTGTTACTGGCCATCGTGTTGTGTTATATTGTTCAGGTTGTCCAACAGCTGTTTGGTGGCCTAGGGGAGCACATTGTGAGTGCCAATAAGATGGGGGTCATCATGCAACGCCCTGACCATATAATCTTTAAATTTAAAGTTCCCTCAGTTTCTCATTTTCCACTCAAATTCACTTTTCCACATTTCTGAAGCAGTTTGCATTAAAAGAAAAAATCCTTATGAAAATTCTTCAGCATTTTAGTTTAGTCAGATGTGCACATTTTGCAAGCGCTTTTCCCTAATGTAATGCATATTTGTATGCTATTTTTACCAATGGGTGTGTTTAGATGCACACTCTGTCCAAATCTATGCAATTTTGTACATACTGTTTGGCTGGAGAACTGCAGGCTGAATTCAAAATAGTGTAAATTTCAAAGGGTGGTTGTGTTTCATTTTGCATAGTATTTCAGAAAGTGTGGATTTAGTCAGGTCACTTTTAAATGTGAAGTGAAGTGAAATTCTCCCCCATGCCCAGTTCCCCAACCCACTACCAATCACCAAGTGCAGCCTTCAGAACTGAAAAAACTTACCTTCTCCTTGCTCCCACTCCAAGATATTAGATTTTCCAGAAAGTGATCAAGGTTGTAATCTACACACACATTTTGCTGCCTTCCTCCCAACAGGTTCTTATTTGTAAGTAAGAAAGATCTTTATTCATGAGAATAAAGACTTGGTAGCAGACACAAGGTCAGGGTAACAATTCAGGAGTTCAAGATTCAGTCAAGACATTCAGAACTGCTGAGCCTCCAAATGTCCCTAATTTCCAGGGACAGTCCTGGATTTACAGAAGCTGTCCCGGTTTCTGATTTGATCCCAGAATGTCCCTGGCAACCCAGTCAGGTTGGCAGGGTATAAATAGTAAAGTTATCATCATCATCATGGAATAGGACGTCCCTATTTTCATCAGAGAAATGTTGGAAGGTATGGAAATGTTCATAGGATACAAAAAATGACAGCAAAACATGTAAAAGCAGACCCTCCAAGTGTCCCTATTTTCCAGGGGCAGTCCCTGGAAGGGACAGCAGCCATCCCGGTTTCTGATTTGATCCTGGAATGTTCTGCTTTTCCTTAGGCTGTCCCTATTTTCATCAGAGAAATGTTGGAGATTATGGAACTGGATGGAAGCAACAAAGCCGTCCCAATGGTTTCCACGCCCCATCTGCCAAGCTTTCAAAAATGAGGCATGCCACACTCACTTGCAAGACTCACTTGTTGGGATACTGCCAGGGAGACGGGGGCATTTGGCAGGCCCCCAGCTTGCTCCAGCCACCGGCCGGCAGCCGGACGATCTACGGTACAGCATCAATCAGTCAGCGACTCAAGCCTCAGTAGCCTTCTGAAGCTACCGAGCACGCTAATTAGCAGAGTGAATAAATCTCCACAACGGAAGTGGCGGACAGAGATGTGTGTAAGCATATTTACAAGCGTTTATTCAGCATAGTTCAGCAACAAAGGAAAAAACATGTCTGCTTCCCTTTGTGTCCAGCAAAACAGGAGTATAGCAAAAGCAACATACAACGGACGTTCCCAGCAGACTGTGCTGGAAGTAAACAGGCATGTGATACACAACAGTCATGCCTGACCCTTTTAAGGTGGAATGGAACGATATCCTAACATCGCTCACTTTGCAGGAATGCTGAGATTGCAAAAGCACGCTCTTCCAAGTTGGGCCTGCTCCCATCCATGGAGGTGGTGTCAGGTTCTCTAGGTGACAGTACTGCATCCTCTTCTTTAGGCTCCTGTTCAATCACTGCTGGCTCCTGAGTTGCTTCTCCCCTTTGGCTGCCCACAGCTCTCCCCACTGAGTCTCTCCCCTCTTCTGGGAGGCCTGAAGGACGGAGTCTGCATCCCTGCTCCCCTTTCTGAAGCACAAGTTGAGGAACAAGCAAAAGAGCCTCCCCTTTCCAACCCTGGTCCCCATCAGGCCAGACTCTTAGTTCTTCATCCTCATGCATCAGGCCTGCCAACTAAAGTCTGGTCCCACCAGTGCTGTGGACTCATGGCAAAAATGGAGACCTGGAAGATCAGAACTTCATTCTTGTGCGTTTGCACAGGAATCGTTCAGCTGTAATTGGGCAAGACTAAAACTGTGACTTACGGCTCATTTTCCCCCCTTTCTCCCCAGCAGATGTGTCCATGATTTGTATTCTCCGGGTCTCCAATGAGTTTTCTCCAGCACCTTCTGCAGATTTGATTGATACTGTGCATGAGCACACTCAGTTAAATGATACAGTGTAGATCAAAGCATGAAAGATAATTTTCACCGAAAATGTGTGGCGCTGAGGATGAGTTATGAATCTTTGTTTCACAGCTTATGGAGCACAATTTCATTTAAAGCCTAAATCCATCATTTCAGGAATTGTTCATCAAAATGCATCCAATACAAGCCTGAAGATGAACAGTGTAAAGTCAAAGGGAGAAAAGGGGGGGGGTGTAACAACAACCACCTACAGAGACCCCAACTGCTGCTGCTGCTACTACTACTAGAGAGATGTTGTTTCAAGTATGTAAGAGTAAAAACCAAGAGACAATATCTTGTGATCTGCATGAATATTTCCCAAGAAACGATCCATATGAAACTAGTGGAAAAAACTATTCATTGACAAGTTTGGATGCAGAGAGCAATGACAAGTTCTGTGGAATTGAAGCAGGGCTGTAATGCACCCAAGGCTCAGGGATGCTATTTTTCTGCTCGTAAATCTATATTTGATTACTTTGGTTTATTCATGAGCAAACACAGAGATAATTGCAACCGTGATCTTACTTCCCTTCCCCTTCTCAATCCCTTTTCTTCTCCGCCTTACAGAGTTGCCTGTTCTCAAAGACGCAAGATCTTTTTTCAAAGCATCGCACTGTATCCAGAGCAAGTTTCTCACACACGGAACTATAGAATTGTAGAGTTGGAAGGGACCACGAGGGTCATCTAGTCCAACCCCCAGCAATGCAGGAATTTTTTTGCCCAACATGGGGCTCAAACCCACAACCTTGAGGTTACAAGCCTCAGGCTCTCCCAACTGAGCTGTAGGTGCTGTCAAACTCAATGCGAGAAATTGGGCATAGCTACAGATGTGACAGAATTCCAACAAAAACAGAAACGGAATGGAAATTGCTGGTGTTCACTTATTTGTTCCTTGTCCGGAACAGAAACCAATCCAGCAGATAAAATTGGTATTCATGGTTGTTGCTGCTTTCGGTTCACAAAGGACATACAATTGATTATGCTCACCCCACCCCCACCCACTAACATTCTGTTTTCTTTGCAGTGAAATGAATGGGATTGAACAACATAATGAAAATGTAGCCTATGTAAGTTACATCATTTTGCTACAAATAACATAGCTTTTGGTGGAAGGCAAACAGAAGCAGAACAGAAGCAGCGCTGCATGTGAGGAATGAAGGGAAAACAGAAAACAATGCCTTACCTTCCTATTTGTGACTTGAGCCTCATTACAGCATGACCAAAGTGGAACTCGCTTGCTTGGGATCCAGCCAGTCAGTTGGGGATACTAAGGCATTTTGGCCAAAACCTAGTCATAAATCAAATCATGGAAGAGTTGCAGAGTTGGAAGAAACCATGAGGGTCATCTAGTCCAACCCCCTGAAATGCAGGAATCTGTTGCCCAACGTGGAACCCACGACCATGAGATTAAGAGACTCATGCTCTTACCATGGGTAAAGTTATTGAAGGGTTGCCATATTTTAAAAAGTGAAAATCCAGGCACAAAACTTGTTGACCATTTTGGTAAAAGTTGCTAAGGGAGGGGGTTATCTTTAAAAAAAGGGTCTGAGGGTTTATTTGTTTTTAGGAAATTCAACAACAACAACAACACCAAACTTCTGATTTTTGAAAATTCTGCCCAGACTCTGTTTTCAGCGGACAAATTCCAGAAATGTTCAGCAAATTCCAGACATATGGCAGCCCTCGCTATTGTTTTGGAGTTATTGTCTTGTTTGTTGTTATGATGTGTATTTTATGCTATAAACCGCCCTGTGATCTTCTGGCAAAGGGTGGTATATAAATCTAATTAATAAATAAAATAACTGGTTTTTACCTTGAGGGGGGGCACATGCCAGTGTTGGGTACAGCCAGAGGCACAATCAGGCAGAGTAACCAATGGAAATTTTCCTTTTCTACATTAAGCGAATTTCTGCACACAGCCCTCTCTGATCTCCAAGCAAGCAAAGGCATGGTCAGTTAGACAAAGACAACCACAGCAGCAAATCATGGAATTTGGGGGAGAGTCCCAAGGGCCAGACAGAGAATTTCAGAGGGCCACATTTGGCCGCTGGGTCTGAGATTCCCCAGCCCTGAGTCCTGCCCTCACAGGAGAACCAAATTCTGTCTGAGCCAAGGATCACAACACCCAGTCATTTCTGCTTATAATTCCCTTGCCCCCTTTATCCTACAAAGGTTTTATATATACCCACGCGGGTGGCGCTGTGGGTAAAACCTCAGTGCCTAGGACTTGCTGATCGTATGGTCGGCGGTTCGAATCCCCACGGCGGGATGAGCTCCCGTCGTTCGGTCCCAGCTCCTGCCCACCTAGCAGTTCGAAAGCACCCCTAAGTGCAAGTAGATAAATAGGTACTGCTCTATAGCGGGAAGATAAACGGTGTTTCCATGTGCTGCGCTGGTGCTGGCTCGCCAGAGCAGCTTCGTCACGCTAGCCACGTGACCCGGACGTGTCTCCGGACAGCGCTGGCCCCTGGCCTCTTAAGTGAGATGGGCGCACAACCCTAGAGTAGGACATGACTGGCCCGTACGGGCAGGGGTACCTTTACCTTTACATATATATATATATATATTGCCAGAGAGAAATGGAGAAGGGAGTAGAGAAGAAACAATTCCTAAACCCATCTGAATAAGAAGCATAAATACATTTCGTGGCAAGAAAAGGGGGGAGGATCCACAGGAGAGGGCTTTTGTTCATTGCTAAAATAAATGTGCTAGTTAGCCTGTCAACACACGTATTCATTTCAGGGATGGTTGATTACAGAGAAGTCAAACAAACTGAGGACCATATTTAACTGAGATGCAAAGCAAGGAATGAACTTTTTCCTCTCCAAATACGATGCTTCAGTGGAAGCAAATTTTGATCATTACTGTGCCTAAAACCCCGTGTGAAGCTATAAAAATCAGTGCGCACTCTCGCTCTCTCTGCTTTTTGTCTTGACGCACAAAAGGGAGAGAATGGAATTACTTGTAACTTTGTTTGAAATGACTCCAGGATTCCTGCAGTAGGTAGTTTGGGGGCAGACATCTGTAAGAGACAAGAGACAGAGGAACTTAATTTTCAGTAGCTGACTCTAGTCTATATTTATTTATTTTTGATGCATTCCACCACCACCCCTTTCTGTCTACCAAAACAGTTCCCTGAGTGGCTTTACAGAACAATTCAAAACAAAAAATAACAAGGCAGCCCCAGCCCTCAAACATACAATCTAATTGGGTGGCTCCTGTGGACCAATCAGACTGCTGCATTCTGAATCCTATTGTTCTAGGACCAATCAGACTGCTGCATTCTGAATCCTATTCAACTCGGTACATAACAGGGGGGAAACGAAAGAGGGAGGAGGAGGGAGAAGAAATACAAATACAGTCAGGCACCAGTTCTTGAAGTTACTGCTTTTAGGACATCCAGGTGGGATGGACACCATTCAGGGAGAGGAAGAGCCAAATGCAGCCTGTCTTTTAGCAAAGCTGATGGAGTGGGCCTGCTTCTCTTCTCTTCTCTCCCTCCACTCTGCAGCCTCATGGAATAGCTGCTTCCAGGTGACAGAAGAGCCAAGGCAGCTTGTCTCTCAACAGAGTTGATGGAGTCACTCTGCTATATTTATGGTGCCTGCCCTGACCGCCCCCTCTGGCCATGTTAACATGATGATGACTGCTCTGGGACTTTGTGGGAAACTTTAAATGGTGCTTTCCCTGCTCCTTGCCTCTTCTTAGCAAACAAACACATTACTGAGAAGCCACTCAGCGGAGCTCCTCTGATGACACTTTGGCAAGAGCCCCATCAACCCTGGAGCTGGCTCCAGTACAGACTCTGGAGATACGAGTGAGATTCTATCTATATCTAAGCTGGTTCTGAGTTTTGAATCAATGCCTGAATGCCGGTTACTGGGGGAAGCAAGCACCACATTCTTCTGCATGTGCAATTTTTCTACATGCAATAGGTGTATGGAAAGATGTGTTCCAAATTGCAAACTCAAATATGGCACATGTCCCTACGGGAAGCAAAGATAGCCCTCAACTTGTATGGCTTTAAAAGAATCGTAGAGTTCGAAGGGACCCCAAGGGTCATCTAGTCCAACCCCCAGCAATGAAGTAATCTCAACTAAAACATCCATGACAGATGTCCATCCAACCTCTGCTTAGAAACCTCCAAGGAAGGAGAGCCCACAAACTCCCGAGGGAGACCGTTCCACTGTCAAACAGCTCTTACTGTCAGAAAGTTTTTCCGGATGTGAAATTGGAACCTCCTTTCTCCCCCTCCCCTTTTTAATGTATTTTTATTAAAGATTTTCTTAGTTTACAAAAGTATGTGCAATGTCTCTCTCTCTCTCTCTTTTTCCTCCAAGTAACATTTTTTTACAGATCAGTTTCATTTGTTGAGACATTAGGAAGAAGGGGGAAAGGGGTGGGGGGAGATGGGGTGGGGTGGGGTTGGGTGGCAGTGTTTCTATTATACTTAATATATGCGGGGGTTTGTGTCAGCGTCGCTTGTGCAGGTTCTGTGCTAGTCACTTGTGTTCCTTTGGTGGTGAGAGAGGTTGGGTGTTAAATGGTGGCTAGACATGGCAGACGACACAGCGATCTCTCCAAAGCAGCTCTTTATTTTGTAAGCTGGAACAGAACACAGCAAACAGCTCAGCCGGCCTGCTTTTATAGGCAGCCGGCTGTCAACATTGTAGCAACAACGACCCAGGGTTTCCCGCCTAAATTAACTGACGTGGACCTGAGTGAAAACTATCTACAGTATCCCCCTGCTGGCCCAGGGTGAGAACTTCAGTACATAACATTGGGATTGGCCAAGGTGTGTTTGTTTGTTTGTGATTGGCTGTGGTGATCTTTGTTTTAATGTGTGAGTGGGGTGGGTGGGTGTTTTGGATCAGGAACCTCCTTTCTTGTAACTTGAAGCCATTGGTTCGAGTCCCGCTCTCCAGAGCAGGAGAAAACAATCTTGTTTGCTCTTCCATGTGACAGATTCATGGAGGGCAGGCCATCAGTGGCTACTAGTCATAGAACCATAGATGTGCTGGTCCCGTGGGTTACCCAAGAGGCGAGGTCCAAGTCCAGTCTGTGGTCAAGGTGCAACGGGGAGGCAGTCCATAGTAGCTGAAGCTGGGTGCAGGACAGGGAGCCGGGTGAAGTCAGGAACAGGCTTGCAAGCAGGGAGCCAGGGCGGGTCAGGCGCTCAGGCAGGAAAGCAGGACAGGGTTCAGGCAAGAACTGGTAACCAACAATGTTGCTCCCACAACTTGGGACTGGGGCTGACCAGCTTTTATCTGCCCCGAGGCATAGGGCAGCCCCGATCCTCTCGTGACTCACCTCTCCTGGCCTGGAGGCGAGCACTCCTCCTGTGGGAACTTAGTTCCCTCTACCTCTCTGCCCTGAGCCTCTGAAGCTCAGGAGAAGCTGGAGGGTTACCGGACCCAGAGGCAACCTCAGCTTCCCCTGATGGGGCTGAGAGTGGAGCACCTGCAGGCAATGGGTCCTCCATCAGCTCAGGAGCCAGAGCAGACTCAGCTGATGCCTGCACTTGTGGATCCAGCACAGGTGAGGACCCTTCAGGCTTATGCCCCAGCCCTGGCTCAGCTGGTTCTGGAGGCAGGGACTCCTGTGCAGGCTGGGATTCCTCAGGTTCAGCATCCGAGTCCAAATCCCAGGCCATCACAATAGAATTGTAGAGTTGGGAGGGACTATGAGTGTCATCTAGTCCAACCCCCTGCAATGCAGGGATATTTTGCCCAACATAGGGCTCAAACCCATGACCCTGAGATGAAGAGTCTCATGCTCTACCAACTGAGCTATCTAATCACAGTCATGATTGCTATGTTCAGAAGAGTATTGCAGAAGAATGATGTCAATCAACATTTGACGATCTCCTTCTACCTGTCCACAATAGAAAGTGTCCTTTCATACTCCATCACGGTGTGGTACGCTGGTTTGACATCAACTGATAGGAAATGCCTACAGAGGGTGGGGAATACAGCACAAGATATTATGGGCTGTCCCATGAATCCGCTGGATGAAATAGCGGAAGAACTTTGCCTCAGGAGAGTGAGGAAAATTCTCAGGGATGATTCACACCCTGGCCAGCACTTTCTTGATCTCCTGCCCTCAGGCAGAAGATATAGAAGCATGATTAATCGCGCCAACAGGGTAAAGAACAGCTTCTATCCATGGGCTGTTAGGCTGCTGAGTGAATAGATAACAACAGGGCAAGTGACTTTCGGGTTTGGTGGGAGTGCATCAGTAAACAAGGGGAATTAAGACTAAGAGAGCTGAGTGGGGGGTGCTCGTGTAATCTCACTGTATACAAGTTGTACAAGTGGCAATAAAGTATTTCAATCATGCCTATGAATACCGTTTCTGGGAATCACAGGTGGGCACAATGCTAGTGTACTCTTGTCCAGCTTGCAGTTTTCTCATGGGCCTCTGGTTGGCCACTGTAAATACAGGATGCTGGACTAGATAGGCTGTTGTCCTGATTCAACAAGCTCATATTGTGATCTTAAAGTTCCATTTTTCCTCTTGGACCCATGGCAGACGTCAGCACCAGTTGAACCCGGTCGGGTCCTGCAGTCTTGGCATTTGATGATGGATGCTGGGTGCTGAGGATTCTGGGTCTGGGCCACCACAGTGACTGAAGGCGTTGCCCATCACATCAATGGCCAAAGCACACCTGAGCTTCCCACAGAATTGGGGAGAGTTGCTTGCGCATCGGAACACACCCTCAGTCAGAACTGCTAATGCTCGATTGTCACTCCTGGGGAATCCAGTGGTCTAAATTTATAGACGCAAACTGTTTTGGAAAACATTTATAATTCATTGTGAGTCCATTAATTTTGCATGGCGCTGACGCCATCGCGTTGGATAGGTGACTGTCAAACTAGAAAGGGACCTCTCTTGTCATTACAGGAAGGTCAACATCTGAGACTAGGACTAGGACACAAGGCAACCAGTCAGTCACTCATAACGCCGGAATGAAAAATGACACTCACTGGAGTTGATTCTAGCAGTGGCGTTTGAATTATTCAGCAGTTTCGCTCTCTCTCCCTCCCCCCAACACCACCCACTTCATTCACCTCCCCTTCACTTTCTCATCAAAACCTACAAGGGTTTGCATATTTTTAAATTGTCCTGATAAGCCTCTGGGAAATAGACCAGTGATAAGGCATCAGAATACAGAAAGGGAGCTGGGTTTGCATAACTGCCCGCCATACATCTTCCTGACACGCACTTTCTCTCGAGTCACAACAAGACTGGGTGGCAGCATTTCATGTTGAGGTATGTGCAAGCAAGGGGACAACCCTCCAGTGGTCAGCGGAAGCATTTCACCTCATCCCTTAAGCCAGGAATGGGGAGCCTGTGGCTTTCCAGGGGTAGTTGGACTCCAAATCCCATCAGCCTCCATCTGCATGGCCTTGTTGACAAGGGATGATGGGCACTGGAGGCCAGCAACATCTGGAGGGCCAACGGTTCCCCATCCCTGCCACTGCTTTGCAGGAAAATTTCTCCCACTTTTCTTTTTTTTATCCTCCTCTATCACAGGGGAGCCAACTCTATGAGGCTGAGGTGTCTTTGCCACCCCCCATATCTGTTGGGAGAGGGCCCAATGTTGTGGGGATGGAGGAGGCCAAGCGCAGACCCAAAAGTGGCTTGGCTTCAGTGGCCAGTTCCTCCTGAGTGTGAGAGAGGAGAAGCCACCAGTCATTGAAGCCAATGTCACTTATTCCACACATGATGTCACACACAGGAAATGCTTGCCAGGTGTATGATGTAACACACACGCATCATGCATCTCATGCATGACATCACATCTCTGCCCACTTTGCTATGTGTATGTCATTTTATAAGCTTCTGCCCTTCCACCTCTTGGTCACCTTTCCTCTAAACGAAGACGTCCCAAATGCGACAACCTTTCCAAATGGGGTTGCTCCATCCCCTCCATCGTTTTGGCTTTCTCTCACCCATTTCCCATTGCCACAGCTACCTTCGCCCCCAGACACCAAATCACTTGAACGTATTTCCCAGGAACCTCAATAAACCTGTTTTCATTTGTTTGCTTTTCTTTTTCGGGACTTTAATCATTAGAGGACAGCATTCAGAGAGATTACCACCCCTCATGCCCAATCTTTCTGATAAAGAGCAGCAAGCCTCACCTGCAAGGTCAGGCACAGAGTACAATTCCAATGAAGGGGGGGGGGAGCCGGCAGCGAGAGCCGCAAGACCCAGAGAGATTTAGAAAATGTCAAAGGGGTGAGGAAGATAAATGAAGGCTTTCAAAACTGAAGGAGCTATACACGAGTCAATACTTTCTCATGAATAATGCATTCGTTTTTGGAAAAACACGGGGAAATGTGGCCCGTAGAGGTCCCCTGAAATGGTTGTTTTGAGGGTTTTTATTTATTTAAGCAAAAAAATATTGTTTCACACCACCTCAGTCTCCAAGCGGTGAAAGATTCCAGGGGTTCCAAGCACTCACTAAGGGTTCATGTTTCTTTTTGGCAATGGGGCAAAGCAGAGACTGTGGTATCTTTGAGATATATGGTTTATTTACACATATATACCACCTGAGCCTGCGATGGAGGGGTTCACAGCATTAACACCCCAAAAGAGTCTTGTTTCTCCCATAGCCACAGTCAAACAGACATCAAACATTGCTCTCCAACTTTCTCCAGCTTGCTGCTTTTTCCTCCAGGTCACATCGCTGCTCCAAAACTCTCTACTCTAAATTCTGGCTTTATCTGTTGAAGGAAAGGGCCACACCCATTTTCTGTCTCAGACCAAGCCCCGCCCCTTAATAGCCCATCACCCAGTTTTATCACCTTACCAGGAAACTAGACAAGCTATTCCAAGAATTAGAAGCCTTGGTTAAATTCTAACACTTGCTGGATCCAGAGATTAGAGGGGTCTGGCAGCCAGTTGAACACTCCAAACTCACAACAATATTCATCGACTCCTTTCTAAGCAACGTCTGTTGCAAACAAAATATCATGATGATTATGTTGCATGAAATAGGTTGTAATAATAATAATAATAATAATAATAATAATACCCCGCCCATCTGGCTGGGTTTCCCAATGCAGAGTTGAGCTTTCTTCAGTCTTGCATAGGCTGCATACAAGCCATTTATTTATTTATTTATTTATTTATTTATTTATTTATTTTAAATGATATTTATTAAAATTTCAGAAAAAAGAGTTACATAAAAAACAAGAAAAGCAATAGACAGAAATAAAAATACAAGAAAAATACAAAATACAAAATACAGAATAAAAGAATAAAAAACACTTCCAAAAAAAAAGGGGGGGAAAAGATCAATCTTTCCATACCTTACATTCATATCCTTGTTTCCCTGACCTCCTCATACCTCCCTCTTTTGTATTCCAATTCAATTTGTTAGTCCAACAATTCCTTTCCCTCCTTTTTAGTCCTAATCCTCAATCTTGATATATTGTAACATTAGATTTTTACAAATTAAAAACCAATTTTTCCATATTCTTTTGTACCTATACAGCTAGAAACCACTCAACTTCAATCCAACATCATTCTAACATTCATTTATTTTGCAATATTTCTGTAAGTAGTCTTTAAATTTCTTCCAATCTTCTTCCACCGACTCTTCTCCCTGGTCACGGATTCTGCCAGTCATTTCTGCCAATTCCATATAGTCCATTAGTTTCATCTGCCATTCCTCCAGTGTGGGTAAATCTTGTGTCTTCCAATGTTTAGCGATGAGTATTCTTGCTGCTGTTGTAGCATACATAAAGAAAGTTCTGTCCTTCTTTAACATCAATTGGTCGACTATGCCATATATTTAGAGCATATTTTTCCCCACTCCCAAAAGTATCTTAGGAACTGCAGTTTAGCACTTGCAGAGCTACAATTCCCAGAACCCTAAGCAAACTATAATTTCCAGGATTTTCTTTCAGTTTAGGGTGTGTATGCAGCCAAAATCTATCCTTAAAAAACAAAAACAAAACAGAATTCAGGAAACAGAATTTATCCTGTTCCAAGGACATAATAGAAATGCACACAAGTTCAGAGTTCTACCTGAGATCCTGGACAGCTGCTTCTTACACCCTCGTCTCACAATGATCAGCTAAGATGTCCGTGAGAAGCCCACAAGCAAGACCCAAGTACAACAGCACTCTCCCAGTCACTGGTATTGAATTTAATGGGTTTACTTCTGAGGAGACAAGCACAGAACTCTGTTGATAGGTTCTTTCCAGACAGTACCCAATATTTTAAGAAACAGGCTGACTTAAGGTCTATTGAATTTAGGAAAACAAAACCTTTTGGAATCAAAGCGTTGGAAAGGCTTAAATCTCACTTTGAACACTCGCTGAGGGAAATGAGTATTTAGATTTGATTCACAGAGGTGGAAAATCTCCGATTCATTTCATTCCTCCTAATTTCATTGAATGCTCTGCTACATTTTTCATTTGTTTAGTGTGTTTTTAATACCCAAACTACCGTGTATGAAGGGGGAAGAAATCATTGGAATTATTTTTGTTTCACTTGTTAGCATTCCAAGAGGTTCTTTGACTTGCTAGTAAATGAAGTCCTACCAGTAATAGCCAAGCCTTGAACTTTTGCAGCTTTTGTCTGTTAAATACAGATATCCCCCACCTGCTTCTCTGTGCCCATGTTGCAAATTTCAAGGAGATGAAACTGCATTTCAAAGAACTAACTTAATCAATACCATTCTTGGACCAGCAAGGTCGGGGCAGGTTCCCCAAGTAGCAAAGAATAGGGTGAAGTCAGAAGCTCTGCTAATAATTCAAAATTATTTATAACTGGATGAATAAATGATGGGGAAATGTTAATAGAGAATTTGTTTGTATGCTTGCCTCATACTGGGAATATAACTTTTCAAGAGATGCTGCTGGGAGGGTGTGTCTAGAGGCAAATGGAGCCCACTTTGCACACTTAAAAACCCCGAATTTCAATCACTGCCACTCCCCAGAAACATAGTGCAAAAATGACAGCCCAACAGGCATTCACCCTCATTTTCCTGACCCACAAAATAGGAAGTCTAATAAAGCTGCTAAAATCAGTGCTTTTTTTCTGGGGGTACGCAGGGGTACACATACCCCTAAACATTTTCTGAATCTAAGTTTGGCCTCCTTGAGGGGCAGTATTTCAATATGAGTAGGAGAATGAGAGTACCCCTAAACATCTTTTTTGGGGGGGAGGAAGCACTGGCTAAAATTAAACTTCAAAGAAGAAGAAGAGGTTATATGCCACTTATATTGTATAAATCTTTAATGGGTTCACGTAAAACACACAATTCCAAATAATTATATTATGCTGATACATAGCATAATATCTATGCAATATTTTAAAAAATACCGATTCTCACAACATTAGCAGCATGAAGGGGGGTGGGACAGAAGAGGAGAAAACCAGCAGCAAAATATTGATGAGGTCACCAAAACAAACAGAAAGCTGTGGGAAACTGCATATACAAACAGCTTTCTACATAATTCCAGGCAGGGGTGCCAACTTGAATAAAACACCAGAGGGGGGAGTTAAGCCCCACCCCACATGGTCACATGATACAGCACATGAATACTATTTCAGTGGCAATGCTCATCAATTTTGGAGGGGTCCGGCCCCCTCAAATATTTTATGGGGAAGAGGCTGAAGACCCCCTCAGAACCTAGGAAATGGCTCCTATGATTCTAGGGGCAGCCAACACAGTGGGATGGGGCCCCACCAGTGCCACCCTCCCAACATCAGTGTTATTGTCACTTACTGGGACTGACTGGGCTGAGGGCAAGAGCACATTGGTGGGTGCACATTGCCCCAAGTGCAACACTGCCCTGCCCCATTTCATCCCCGTAAGTGGCAGTGATGCTGCTCTTTGTGGGGGGCAGGTGGTGGTACAACAGCACCCCACTGTGTTGGCCACTCCTGCACAATTCAGAACCAACGATCTGAGCAATGGAAGGGCTGTTGAGTTTCAGTAATGCGCTGGTGTCATTTCAGAAACAAGACCAGGTCATTGGGAATGGAGGCAATGGTGGTATCTTTAGCCTGGGTGAGAGAAGATCGACATCAGGAAACAATGGGGGACTAAAGATCGACATCACGAAATGCCGCCCCGTGAATCCTGCCACATGAGGCAGTTGCCTCATCTTGTCTCATGGGTGGGTCGGCCCTGCTTAGTTGTGAAATATACAAGACACCTTTGAACTGAGACCAGGGGGTGGGGCCTTACACATTGCTACAATCACTCAGTGGTTTTATGATCCTTGTCCACCATGACACATTTGATTCTATGTGGTTAGCCTTGTACATACAAATGATGCACCCAAATCACAGCTTCTAGCCCACAGGAGAGGCTTCATTACAGCTTAATGCACTCATCGCTGGGATAAAAATTATTTTAGGGAAAACGTGTAATATAGCAAAATCCAGTTAGTAGAATAATGGGCTAATTATGCTCTAAAACCCAAATGTGCTTTTTAATGTCACTGTTTCAAAAAGTCAAAACAATTTATTATAGTGCTACCTGCTTTATGGTCACTTACCATTTCCACCATAGAAGAAAAGTGTGTGCGCGCGCACACACACACATACACAGTTTATAGTTCTAATTTGGTCTTGCGGGGAGGGTGAAAGAATTCAATTTGGGAAAGTGGAGAGGGTATTGGGGCTTGTCAACCTGGAAGGGTAGCCCACCTAGGGGTAGGAAAACTCTGATCCTATACCTCTGCTTCCTTGTGGGATATCTTCAAGAGAAGGAAAGGCTAAGGAGTAGGCCCTACACAAATCCAGAATGGAGTCTTAGGACGGTTGGATGGTGCCTTGTACACCTCCTTCCAGCAAGTCCTGCAGCCAAGCTGGTGTAAACATACTGCTTTGCTTTCCTTTGAATCACGTCAGCGGGGCTGGGAGCGGGGTCTTGTCAACTGGGCAGCCCAGGACCACCATCAACACTGCCCAGGCTTGCACCCTGGGGAGGTCACTTCGGTGCTGCTAATGTAGTGGTTTGACTTCACCACTGTAGGCGCACTCCATTGTCTCTCGAGACAGACAGATGCCAACAGCAGCAGGGGAACAATGGTTGGGAAAAGGGATATAGTGGTTCCTCAGGTTAAGCACTTAATTCGTTCTGGAGGTCCATACTTAACCTGAAACTGTTCTTAACCTGAAGCACCACTTTAGCTAATGGGGCCTCCTGCTGCTGCTGCTGCGCTGCCAGAGGTAAAGTTCTTAACCCGAGGTACTACTTCTGGGTTAGTGGAGTCTAACCCGAGGTGTTTGTAATCCGGGGTACCACTGTACAGGAGTGGGCTGGGCTGTAAGGAAAAGGAGGGGACATTTTACCATATGTGGTGGGATTGTAATGAAATTAAAAAGTTTTAGGAAATGATATACAATGAACTGAAGAAAATGTTCCATCTAACATTTGTTAAGAAACCTGAAGCATTTTTGTTAGGGATTGTAGGAAAAGACCTGCCAAGGAAGCTGAAAAATATCTTCATGTATGCAACAACGGCAGCGAGAGTCTTATTAGCACAAGGATGGAAGAACGAGGAAACCCCGACTAAAGAACTATGACAAGAGAAACTGATGGACTACACAGAATTGGCAAAATTGACACACAAACTATGGGACAAGGACAACTGTGACTTTAAAGATGAATGGGAACCTTTTACAAAGTACTTAAAGAAACAACAAAGTGAACTGGACTCCTTGGCGGGTTTTGAATAAACACTCAAACTTTTTATTGACAATAATAAGTCAGATAAATTAAAGATTTATACAGTTTTGTAACATGCAGAGAATAGCATTTGTAGAGAAACCAGAGATTGGAGCTGAGGGAAGTCGGGGGGGGGGAGGAGGTGGGTTTATTTTATGGGGGGGGAAACAAGGATGATATGTATTAAGATAATATGTTTTGTTTAAATTCTTAATAAAAAAATTTTTTTACAAAAAAAAGGAGTGGGTTGGGCAACTTTTCTTGTAGAGTTGTTTTTGTTTTTTAAAAATTTTCAAGCACAATATACATTTAGTAAGCACTGGATCTGGCTTGCATCACCCCTTCCATTGCTGCTCCCCTTCACTCTGGTTCTGGAGTTTATTTTATTTTTGCAAATGGAATGCAGGGGGCAGTTAGAGAAGAAACATTGCCAGCTGAAATCAACAAGAAAAATAGCACATTGATCCTGATGGAAATGTTTAAATTAATATAGGCAGTTCACATTTCCAAACAGGTATCCAAAGGAGTAAGGATATCATCTGACCTCTGAGTAGTGGATAGTGGGTATTCATCCTTCCATCCTTGAAGCCCAAAGCCCATTGCTACCACAAGGGCAGCAGTGCCCACTTTTACTGTCCCTCTATTAGTCCCCACATTACAGGAATATAATTTAAGACTGCATAAAACATCTGCTGGTGTTATGGGTTCCCCACTCCACCCACACAAAAAAAGCCCAAAGGGTGGTAGTCAATTAACTTTTACTTAGAGCAGGCCCATTGAGATTAATGAATTTAACATGAATTTCAACGGAGCCATTCTAAGCCAAACTTAGTTAAATACCACCTATAGTTTATGCGCACAATAGTTTCTGACTAGAAAAATGATACCACTGGCTGTTAACCAGGAGGCTGATGGTTTGAGCCTGTTCAGGGGTGGCTGTGGGCAGGATTCCTACATTGTAGAGGGTTAGACTAGATGACCCTTGGGGTCCCTTCTAACTCTACAGTTCTATTGTTCTAAGGCACACCTACATCATACGTCTCAAAAAGGTGTTATTAGCAACATTTATCTGAACTAGCCAACTCCTTCCTATAGAGGCACTGCAGAACTCACTATACCCAAAGCATCATTTTTTGTTGAATCAATCTCAGTTTTAAATCTAAGATGGATTACAAACAGATGCTAAAGGAGTTTAAGAATCAGCAACTGGCAACCATCAGTAGCCTAAATTAATTTTGCTCTCTTTAGGGTTTAGACTCTCAGGAAAGTCAGGTGATTTCCTCCAACCAATCTAGCAGAGTGCTGGAAGCCAGCTTCATCCGGACTTACACTAACCATAAAATTTTCCAATTAATTCACAACTTCCTTGCCTCAAATGTAAATTACTTTCTTTAATTGCCTTATGTGAATGCATAACTGAAGTGTTTTGACTTGCCCAGAACTAATCGTCTGTCAAAAAGATACTTTGCTGCCAAGCAGATAGCTTAATTGGATATTTAATTTAACTGTGAGCTTTGTTCTTTCAAAATTCACATTTTGTTCCTTAATATTCTCTTTCCTGAGCCCCATCATTCCTCTGTCTGTCTCCCTGCAAAGGTTTTGTCCCTGTTAGGAAACAAGTCTCTATTACTGGTTTCTACCATTTTTAGGTACGTAATATTTTCAGCCACCATTTTCCTCCCAGAACCAACCATGGACATTGGCGGTCACTTTCAGAACTCTCAGATTCAAAACATGAGCTTGTTTTCCCCTTCTCCCTCCCATTCATTTTTCCTCACGTGTCATGACTTTTTAGCTTCTGAGACTTAAGGCAGCAACCATCTTAGAATTGATTTCTGTAAGCCACTTTGAGAGCCTTGGCTGAAAAATCAATGAAAAATAATAAACCATCCTATTTTTGCATGAATCTGTGAATCTTTTTCTAAAAGCCCACATGAAAATTCGTGATGTGTTGTCACCAAAAAAAAGAGTATTTAAATCACTGTTTTATCCCAACGTTTGCATTTCTGAAAATATTGACACCTAAGATGTGTGCTCTTAGAGCCCACTGTATTCCTTGGAATGTAATCTGCTTTGGGGTGCATGGGATGTTAGAGGAGAGGTAGTACCTCTAATGGGGAACACATCGTGCACCTTCTGGGGTAGTTTGTCCACCTTTGGTCCCTATCCTGCACTCACTTGGAGCTCCTAGAAGCTGTCAGCATGTGATAGTGGCCACACCCCAGGAAACAGCTTTGTCTGGCCAGCTAAACCAGGTGAGGGTAGCTGATGGATCTCAAACCTTTGGTGAGTTAGGGACTTCTTCTGCATGCAAAGACAGACTCCAGCAGATGAGAGAATGAGACCAATGGTGGATGCAACGGTCAAGAACACACTTTCTGCACCTGCTGTAGAGGAAGCTAGGGGCAGATGGGACTCATCAACCTATGAAGGAGGCCCATCTAGGAGTAGAAAAACTGGTCCTAAACCTCCACTTCCTTGTGGGATATCTTCAGGAGACGAAAGGGCTGAATAAACCCTACACAAGTTCAGAGTGGAGTCCTAAAATGGTGGGACATAAGCTTAAATAATAATGGGCAAGTAAGTCGATTCTCTTTGCATGAGGCACAATGGCCATTGCAAAGAACATGGGGGGGGGGGGGGAATCAGTAACAAATTTAGACTCTTGCCAGCACAGGCAGGGACAAAACATGGCACTAATAATATACAAGACTAATAATGATCAATACAAACTGAGATTAACAACCTCGGGAGACTATTCTGGATGGCCCTCTTTGCAGTCCACAGCAGACATCTTCAGAAAGATGCAACGGAATTTTTTAGCTGCCACTGCAAAGGTGGCCACCATGTTCCTAATAGTTGTATTGTGGTCTGCTAACAGATCACAAATAATATCATTCACGATAAATAAATAATTGAAATTTTGGTATAGTCAACAACTGTATCACAAGATTTGGAGAAGTGTGAAATCTGAAGAATAATTTAACTCACATGAGTCTGGGAAGTGCAGTGAGGTCAGCTTTTACTGAAGTTTACAGAAATCATATTCCTCATAGAAACAAGGTTTAGCTGCGCTCTTGCAAGTGCACCCTCCAATTACTAGCTTTCTCTTAATGTACCGGCTGTAAAATGCAGAACACCACAGAACATACAAGGGAAAAAGTTATACCCCACAGCATATGGGAAATGGGATAAAGAGCGTGCTAAATTGAATAAATTACATGGGATGAAATGTTTTTTTATTTTATTTTCCGTCTCCTCATAAAGCATCTGCTGTTCACACTGAAGCTGCCTGCCACCAAAAGTCTCCCCTCCATCTGATTAGCACTGCTGTGTGATCCCCATTGTGTAGCTGATTAAACAACATTTGTCTGCTAATAAGTTCCCAGCATTTCGTACACAGTCAGGCATCATTCATCTTTAAAAGCACTTCTAGCTTTCCACAGCTCGAAACTTGTTTGAAGAAAGGTTTTATGTCCCTAAGAATCAAATCCAATGTGAGACAGAATCAGAGGCGCCATGTCCCATTTCACCAGCTGAAGCGAAACAGGAAATGCTACCCTAACCAGCCCCTGCCATCTGTGTTGTCTATACCCTGTCCTGAGCCTTGGGGTACCCGTCACCAAGTCCTGTTGGTGCACACACATTGCAACGTGATTTCCTCGTTTACAATGCCTTTTTGTATGCTCTTTCCACTAGTACAGTGGTACCTCGGGTTAAGAACTTAATTCGTTCTGGAGTTCCATTCTTAACCTGAAACTGTTAACCTGAAACCTGAGGTACCACTTTAGCTAATGGGGCCTCCCACTGCTGCCGCGTCACTGCTGTGTGATATCTGTTCTCATCCTGAAGCAAAGGTCTTAACCTGAGGTACTATTTCTGGGTTAGCGGAGTCTGTAAACCTGAAGTGTCTGTAACCCGAGGTACCACTGTATATGTGTTTTAACACACAACTTGCTCCAGTATGTGCATCTCTGCAGAGAAGTGCTCCCTTCTGCCATTGGCTAGGAGCTGTACTGACATCTCTGAAGCCTGGAGAGACCATGAACAAGAAACTCAAAACGTTTGATTTTTGTGCTCTGCCAGTGACTTCCTGGGTGGCCATTGGGATTGGGTCTTGCTCTGCTCTGCCATTTCGTCTGTTGGTCTGTTTGTGTGTTAAGCAATATATCCTGCCATGAGGATTCTTGGGGGCAGGGGTGGAGGAAGCGGGGTGCAGTGAATGCGGTCCACCCCAGGTGTCACCACTGAGGGGGGTGACAAAATGCCGGGTGGCACTCACCGCGGGGCCTGCAGAGCACCCAAGCCACGCGTCTCAATGGCTTGGGCACACGCAGACCCTGCGCTGCCCAAACAGTCCGTCCGCTGCTTCCCCCCTAGCTATAGGGCAGCTGAGTGGGAGGAGGCAGGCAGACTCCAGAGGCCCCGTGGTGCGCCCCGCCTTCACCCCACCCCTGTGGGTGGCTTGTCCCACCCCAGGCACCCGAGCAGCTTCCTTCACCTCTGCTCGGGGGGAGATACATTCACAACTGGATGTGGAGATGTGAAGAACTGAATTTAAGAGGGAGAAATGGGGAGAAACCAACTTTGTCAGATTGGTCTATCCCTACTGTTGGACGAATGGTTAAGCTACCTTTGGATTACACACACAGCAGCCTTAAGATGGCACCCTAAAGGTACAATATACTCCTTATGTTAAATGGCACTTCATTTTCTTGACTAACTCAGGCATGTCATTTCAAGTAGCAGGTGAATTATTAAGAGGAAGTTGATGAAAAGGATTTGGTGGGGTTTTTTAAAAAATCATTTCCATACTGTGCAACCTCCTGCACCCACCTCAAAGGTGTTGCGATATATATATATATATAATTGGCTTGAAAGCCTCTTGCATTAATATTCATCATCTTCCATTCTGCAGGAGCAGTTTGCAACTCAAAACACAGTCAGCGTGTGTCACTTTGCATATCATCTATATTTTAGCATGAACAAACAACATCAAATTTCAATTACAGGCATCAATCCAAAATCAGCTCTCAAATGAAAATGGCACAGATGATGAACCAAACTGTTCCAAATCATTAGTGCAGGACTTCATAGACTTTAAAGGATGTCATAATAATGTAACGTTTTAAAGGCTTGTTTATACCATCAGAGATATACGAGGTCCTTTCAGAGGCTGTCGACACCAGGCTATTTTCCAAATTTAACCGTCTATATAAACTAGGGGTGTGCTCTGCAGTGTGTGTGTCTTTTTTTCTTGCATTTTAATTTTTTTATTATTATTATTATTTCATATAGTGTGTGTGTGTGTGTGTGTGTGTGTGTGTGTGTGTCGTAAAATTTGGATTCAGTTCATTCTTATTTTGAATTCAAATTTGTGTTTTGGAAACGGGAGACGGTCAGCAGTTGGGAGAAATTTGATTCAGTTCAAATTTAAAGCAAAACTTCCCAATTTGCACTTTCTTAACAGTGCAGTGGTACCTCTGGTTAAGTGCTTAATTCGTTCCGGAGGTCCATTCTTAAGCTGAAACTGTTCTTAACCTGAAGCACCACTTTAGCTAATGGGGCTTCCCACTGCTGCCGCGCTGCCGGAGCACGATTTCAGTTCTTATCCTGAAGCAAAGTTCTTAACCCGAGGTAATATTTCTGGGTTAGCAGAGTCTGTAACCTGAAGCGCATGTAACCTGAAGCGTATGTAACCTGAGGTACCACTGTACAGGAACTGAAACTGAAACATTCTTTGAAATTTGCACGTCTCCAAATTTAGCAGTCCAGTTCTTCACCTGCTAAGTAAGAAATGCATATAATAGGGGGGATGTGAATGTGAAAGGGGTATATAAGTGTATATAATAATGAGGGAGCAGTGGTTTGGGTTCCCCAATTTCCTCCCCACCAGCCCCAATGACCAACAGCTCCGCAAGTTCATAGGATCGTGGCTTCTCCTTTGCCACACACAAACTTTTGGATTAGTCTTCAAGCAAACTGCCACTCTGTTTCCCAAGTGTAGGATGAGGTGATTGGGAAACCCTGTATCTCTGCCTCCATTTCATGTATGTAAAATGGGAACATTATTGACCTACCTCACAGGGTGGTTGCAAGGATGAATAAGGTTTCTTCAAGCTGTTTCTGATGTGCTTGGAGGCTGAAATTCCATGCGCCCTTACTTGAGAATAAGCCACAGTGAATTTAGTGGGAACTTCTTTCAAGTAAACCTACATAGGACTGTGCTGTGAAACTCAGAAATCTAATGGGCTATAAATAATATCCATCTTGCTACTGTGTTCTTTCAGATATCTAATATGGCAAAGTGCTACTTTAAATGCCACTGATGCTCCCGCTCCTACATGTAAAGACATTAATCAGTTTATAAATAAAATAAATTATAACAAGAAAACCAGAGAGATCTGGGTCATTACACCAGAGGATAATTAAATGTGACTTAGTTCGTACGAGCTTTAGAGAAAACACTGATAAAATCTGCTCAGCTTGGATTAAAAATAAATTACTGGGTAAATTAGGTTTCCCGATGTTCTATCTAATTAATCCGCACCCTTAACTCAAATTGGTTGACTTTTTAATTACCAGATAATCTCATCCATAAGGAAAGTGTTTCCTACTCATACTCTCTCTGCATATGTAGAGAGAATTCTCAAAATGTCCTGCCATATGTCATAACTGAGCTAGTTGCCCCTCTTGGCATTCAGTTTAGTCATGTGATCCCTCCTGTCATTGGCCCCATGCATGCTGCCCTACATCAGAGGGGCACAAAGTTGGAAGGGCGGTGGGGGGGGCACCACAACTAAGATGTAAAATATATGGCGAGAGGCAGGGGTGCCAAATTTGGGCATCACACAGGGCGCTGATGAAATTTGAGACCCCAAAGTACACCACTGCCTAGGTAAAGCTAAAGGTAAAGGACCCCTGGACAGTTAAGTCAAAGGTGACTATGGGGTTGGAGCACCCATCTCACTTTCAGGCCGAGGGAGCCGGCGTTTGTCCACAGACAGTTTTCCGGGTCATGTGGCTAGCATGACTAAACCGCTTCTGGCGCAACAGGACACCATGACGGAAACCAGAGTGCACAGAAACACTGTTTACCTTCCCGCCACAGCGGTACCTATTTATCTACTTGCACTTTGACGTGCTTTCGAACTGCTAGGTTGGCAGGAGCTGGGACAGAGCAACGGGAGCTCACCCCGTCGCGGGGATTCGAACCGCCGACCTTCTGATCAGCAAGCCCAAGAGGCTCAGTGGTTTAGACCACTGCACCACCCACGTCCCTAAACCACTGCCTACATGCTATCAAACCAGTCATCATTGGTAACAGGCACTTCTGGCCACTGTGGCTATCTGAGTCTCCAGTGACAGCAGGACCCAGAAGCACCCCCAAACTGCAAACCTTATACAATGCCATCCAGGGTAGGCAACTGACCAATTTCTCAGATATGCGAACTACTCACCCATGGCGACTCTATCTTTCCAGGATTCCAGCTCAGTTTGTTTTTCATCATCCATTTCACCCCTGTGCCCAGGCAAAGGCCCAGGGAATGCATGGCCTCTCCTGATTCACAGAATCATAGAATCTTAGAGTTGGAAGGGACCCAAGGAATCTCAACTAAGGGATCCATGACAGATGGCCATCCAACCTCTGCTTAAATGCCTCCAAGGAAGGAGAGTCCACCACCTCTTGTGAGAGTCTGTTCCACTGCTGAACAGCTCTTACTGTCAGAAAGTTTTTCAGAGTGTTTAGTCGGAATCTCCTTTCTTGCAACTTGAAGCCATTGGTTCGAGTCCTACCCTCCAGAGCAGGAGAAAACACGCATGCTCCCTTCTCCATGTGACAGCCCTTAAGATATTTGAAGATCATAGTCTCCTCTTTCCCAGGCTAAACATACCCAGCTCCTTCAAACGCTCCTCATAAGGCTTAGTTTCTAGACCCTTGATCATCTTGGTTGCCCTCCTCTGCACACATTCCAGCTTGTCAACATCCTTATTAAATTGTGGTGCCCAGAATTAGACACAGTATTCCAAGTGTGGTCTGACCAAGCCAGAATAGAGTGGTACTATTACTTCCCTGCTGTCTTTGTCCATGGAGTTTTCTTGGCAGGGATACTGGAGTGGCTTGCCGGTTCCTGCTCCAGGAATGCCTGACATGCTCTGGTCCATGGGGTCATGAAGAGTCAGACATGACTAAACGACTAAGCAACAATTACTTACCTTGATCTGGGCACTATACTTCTGTTGATGCAGCCTGTTGACTCATGTTAAGCTTGTGGTCCACCAAGACCCCTAGATCCTTTTCACATGTACTGCTAGTAAGCCAGATGTCTCCCATCCTATATTTGTGCATCTGGTTCTTCCTGCCTAAACGCAGAACCCTACATTTGTCCCTATTGAAATTCATTTTGTTAGCTTGCGCCCAGTTCTCCAATCAGTTCAGAAGTTTTGGATAAACAGAAATTACCCGAAATTCCCAGTGACTGCTCTCAGTGGCTTCATGTAGATATTAAATCGCACTGCAGCATCTCATAGCGTAGCTGCCAGGAGGCCAAATGGCACTCTCCCAATGCTACTCTCTGAATTCGGTCTTGAATGCAGGATTAGAACCACTGTAATACAGTGCCTCATACCCTCCAACATTCCTCCAATAAAATAGACATGGGTGGCGCTGTGGGTTAAACCACAGAGCCTAGGACTTGCCAATCAGAAGGTTGGCGGTTCGAATCCCTGCGACGGGGTGAGCTCCCGTTGCTCGGTCCCTGCTCCTGCCAACCTAGCAGTTCGAAAGCACGTCAAAGTGCAAGTAGATCAATAGGTACTGCTCCGGCGGGAAGGTAAACGGCGTTTCTGTGCGCTGCTCTGGTTCGCCAGAAGCGGCTTAGTTCATGCTGGCCACATGACCCAGAAGCTGTACGCTGGCTCCTTTGACCAATAAAGCGAGATGAGCGCCGCAACCCCAGAGTCGTCCGCAACTGGACTTAACAGTCAGGGGTCCCTTTACCTTTAAGATCTGGCCATTAATTCTCCCCACCTTTCTTGTCTTTGGGGTGTTGGAGTTGGTTGGTTCTTAAACTTTGTTTGTTTTACACTGAGTTTATGCAGGTCTATCTCTAGACTGCACAGTTTTGTTTTATGCCAGGTTCTGAGTTTAATTTTGGTTCTGTGTTTTTATGCAATTGGGATCGGGGTTGTTTTATTGAATTGCATTTGTGTATTCCATTGATGTTCTGAAAAGTGGCCAGGGAATCTTGGTTAATAGGCAGCCTAGAAATTTAACAAATAAACAAAGTTGTTCATTTCCCCCCACCCCCACCCCCCGTCGCCCATCTCTCATTGCCATGCTTGCAGTCAACTGTTTGTTGCATGTTTCGGGAAGAGTCAGATAAAACATTCAAGAATTGCTGAGCCTATTTATACACCACATATATTAGAATATCTCAAAGCGATACTATGCGTGAGAGAAGAAGAGTTGTGTCATCTTTTACGCCGCCACCGTGGATCATAAATTAATGTAAATGTTATTTTGCTACAGCAGCCTGCAAAGACCCTAAGTAAATTTGCATACCAAATGGAGTGATTTTTGCACTGGGACAATAGCAGTAAATTGATCCAGTTCAGGCTGAGCCCTGGCGACACGTCGGAAGCCGCAGAACGATTAATGGCTAAAGATTTCTGATGAGCAACAAACTTGGTGGAGGAATTGATATCCGTTACAGCTCTTCCATTTGGAAGACAAATAGAAATGTTTTTCCTTTTTGATATCAGATGGTTTCCCTTCCCCACATAATCAGCCAAGCTAAACTTTTAATATTTCCCTTGTGCGATGTTTCATTAAATTGCTGATATAGTTTGGTCTACATCTCTCCCTCCAATGGATACTAAAAAATAAACAGCAGCCTTAATAATTTATTGGTCTGTTCTGAGATAAATCCCACTTTGAAGAATACAATTTGGGGAGGGAGGAGGATTTGACCATGGGGAAGTAAAAGAGGCTTACGAAGCAGGGCTTATGCATGAAAACAGCACCTCCCAGCTAAGCTACTTCATCCGTGCGCACCTATCATGCCGCAACAGCAATATGAATTGCTCATTTCCACGAGGCCATCAGAGATCAAGCACCACAGGCAGAAATTCCATATGAAATTATTAGCATGTTGTTGTTATTACACTTGTACAGTGGTACCTCGGGTTACATATGCTTCAGGTTACAGACTCCACTAACCCAGAAATATTACCTCGGGTTAAGAACTTTGCTTTAGGATGAGCAGAGAAATCGTGCTCTGGTGGCGCGGCAGCAGCGGGAGGCCCCATTAGCTAAAGTGGTGCTTCAGGTTAAGAACAGTTTCAGGTTAAGAACAGACCTGCGGAACGAATTAAGTACTTAACCCGAGGTACCACTGTATAGTGCAATCAGTGTTGGTGGTGATAGACAGGGCTTCTTTTTGCAGCCGGAACTCAGTTCTGGCACCTCTCAGGTGGGCGCCATTGCCATTCTAAGAGAACAAGGGAGGTGTTCATGGTGAGTTCCGGCACCACTTTCTCTAGAAAAATAGCACTGTGATAGAGAAATCTCAGACTCTGGGATCAAATGCAGCCCTCCAAGCAATCTGGCTCTTGGGACTCTAACCAAGCAGCATCTCTTCCCCAGATGCCCTCTCCCATCTCCCTAGGCCACAACTCTCACCAGCCCTGGTTCACACCTTGCTTGAGGGTGCCCCGTGTTCAGTTCTGGGGACCTCAGTTTAAGAAGGATATTGACAAGCTGGAACGTGCAGAGGTATAGCTGTCAACTTTTCCCTTTTCCTGCAAGGAATCCTATTCGGAATAAGGGAATTTCCCTTTAAAAAAGGGAAATGTTGACAGTTATGTGCAGAGGGTGAGCAAGGTTATCAAGGATATGGAAACCAAGACTTATGAGGAACGGTTGAGGGAGTCGGGTGTGTTTAGCCTGGAGAAGAGAAGACTGAGAGGTGATACGCTAGTCATCTTCAGCTCTCTGAAGGGCCGTCACATGGAAGATGGAGAAAGGTTGTTTTCTGCTGATCCAGATGGTAGAACCTGAACCAGCTACAACACCCAGAGTAGTTTTATAGTTGTAGAATCATAGAATTCTAAAGTCGGAAGGGACCGCAAGGGTCATCTAGTCCAACCCCCCACAATGCAGGAATCTTTCACCCAATGTGGGGCTCAAGCCCACAACCCTCAGTTGCTCTTACCAACTGAGCTACCCTGCTCAATTCTGGGAATTGTACCTCTGTGAAGGGAATGGGGTCTCACCCTCAGCGCCTTAACAAACCGCAATTCAGCTTTCTATGTTCATATCAGATTATTTATCAAGTCTGATACCTGACAGGAGGTCTGTATACAGCTTTCTGGCTCATAAATGGGGCGGTTCTACTAAATATGATGTGGACCTTAATTTGTATCTTATCAGGGCTGGACTCACCCCTTTAGTCAGTGTTTGGGGCTCCAACACCCCCACAGGGCCCACTGCTAATCTCTGCCTTTCCCTGCCCCTTTTTACTTCAGTGGGGTGGCAGTTTCAGCATGAATGCTGAGGGGTTGAGTCTTGGAGCACCATCTTTATTTTGGATAATGCCCACTGCTAAGTTGTGGGTGAACATATCAGACGACACAGCGATTCTTCAAACAGCTCTTGTTTATTCAAAGGCCAGAACAGAACTGAACTGAAGGGTTCAGTCAGCCTGCTTATATAGAGCTCCAGTACAACGTAACTGTAACAATTTTCTAAAACTATCCAATCACTGAACGTCACTTTCGATCCCTTATTTGCATAACTATCTACAGTATCCCCCTGCTGGCCCAGGGTGAGAACTTCAGTACATAACACCCACAATGTAGCACGACTCTAGCAAAGGTGTGGAGAGCCTTTGTTTCTCCAGATGTTCCTGAACTACAACTCCCAGCAGCCCCTAGCAAGTATGGTGAATATACAGAGATGGTGGTGGCTGTAGTGTGTCACTATCTGGACAGCTGCCCTAGGGCATTGTGGGAGGGGGCGTGCCCTGATATTGTGTTGCTCCAGGGCAAAGGGAAGAATTAAATGTTGGCTCCTGGACCCAACCACCTGGCAATCATCAAAGCTGCTGTCATTCCCAGATAAGCTCACCAACTTAGTTAGGAGCCCACCAAGAGGGCAGTTTGCAGAGCGGGCTGCCAAACGTGGATCTCATCACGCTGCCTGTATTATTAATGCGGCATCAAATTAACGCTGAGCTTTTAGGATATTCTTTATGTGCAATGCCAGTCAGATATCTGCTCCAGAAGCTGCCAGGATTGCACAGAGCGACATTTATTTTAGGATTGCGATGAATAATTTATTTATGCAGTACCATCAAATGTACATTTTTAGCACAACCCAGAGAGTATAACTAAATCCCAACAACTAAATTAAGAAATGAATAGAATCTTAAATTGCATTTTTAACTAAGACGGTAGCACTAATTATATTTTACTTGGACATAAATCCAATCAAAATCAATGGGGCCTACATGCTTAGATCGGACCATTAATGTGAAATAGAGATCTTTCCGTTTTGCAGATTATAATAATTATTTCCTCTCCCCCCCCACCAAAAGAATCTTTCTTGTTCTCCAAAAGAGCATGAGAGTCACATTGATGGTTTCTCCCCAAACCATCCCTGCCTTTGTCCTCACAACAGCCCTGTGAGGGTGGCTAGCCTAAGAGACTCTAACAGGCCAAAAACCACCAAGGGAGCCACATGGTTGGGCAGGGATTATTATTATTTATTGAATTTGTATACCCCACCCATCTGAAGATCCCAGGTTGGTTCACAACATAAAAATATAAAACGAGGACACAAAATACATAATAAAACAATAACAAACCAATAACCCCTCTCCTACAAACACATTTAAAAGGCCATGGAATGTTTCATCAGCCAAATAATAATAATAATAATAGTAACAACAACAACAACTTATTATTTATACCCCACCCATCTGGCTGGGCTTCCCCAGCCACTCTGGGCGGCTTCCAACAAAATATTAAAATACAGTAATGCATCAAACATTAAAAGCTTCCCTAAACAGGGCTGTCTTCAGATGTCTTCTAAAAGTCTGGTAGTTGTTGTTCTCATTGACATCTGGTGGGAGGACGTTCCACAGGGCGGGTGCCACTACCGAGAAGGCCCTCCGCCTAGAGGTTTGTTCAGAAAGGAACGCAGTCCTCAGACTGAAAGGGGGGCCCCTTCCCTTGGGATTAGTCCAGTAATGTACATTTACCCAGGCTTTGACATCACCATGTAAGCATCAGCCCCTACAAATTTTATGTACCCAGGATGTCCATCTGACTGAAACCTTGAGAAGCTGTTGCAGTGATTTATAATGTTCATCGTCTCTTTGCAGGCTTGCTGCATTGGATACGGGCCAGAACAATTTAAAAGATAATAGGCCCAGCTATCTCTTGCTGGTAAATATCCATTTATAATGGCTAATTATCCTCCTGAACTTTTACAGTTGCGGGTCATGCACGCATCCTGCCATAGGTAAAGGTAAAGGGACCCCTGACCATTAGGTCCAGTCGTGGCCGACTCTGGGGTTGCGGCACTCATCTCGCTTTATTGGCCGAGGGAACTGGCATACAGCTTCCGGGTCATGTGGCCAGCATGACTAAGCCGCTTCTGGCGAACCAGAGCAGCACACAGAAATGCCATTTACCTTTCCACCAGAGCGGTACCTATTTATCTACTTGCACCTTGACGTGCTTTCGAACTGCTAGGTTGGCAGGAGCAGGGACTGAACAACGGGAGCTCACCCCGTTGCGGGGATTCGAACTGCCGACCTTCTGATCGGCAAGTCCTAGGCTCTGTGGTTTAACCCACAGCACAACCCGCATCCCACACAATGCCATACTAAAGAGCAATTGCAGCAAACAGACAAGCCCCCTTGCCCCAAAGCAGCAGAATGCTAAAGATGGGTGTGAAGCCGTTTCACTGGCTCTTAGTCTCCATCCACATCAGAATCCTGAGGAGGTCAGATTGGCCTCTAGCAGTGCAGACTCGCAGGGGAAGAAGGGGACCTTCTCTTTATTCATATTGTACAGAGGAGCATTCAGTCACTACTGTATGAAATTGTGCTGCCTTGACCCAGGTTTGCAAATTCAGATAGAAATAAGCCCAAGATGACTGCATGATCAATGCAAGATGTTCTCGTCTTAATTTGCATGGTGAAAACCTGGAATCCCAAACGCTGCCCATGGCTATGAGCCATATTCAATACACGTCTTACAAATCCATCACATTCGAACATCTGCTCAAGAGAGCAATATGCATAGCATTAGTATCAAAAGGAAGATGTTTTAAGTTTGGAAGAGAAGGGCAGCGTCATTTCAAGAGCTGGAACCACACACAAACTTCTAAGGCCCATCATTTTCTAGTAAGTGAAATAGTCTGGTCCCCATCCACCCTCCTCTGGTACAGGGAAGATGCAACAAAATTAACTCCTGTCCACCCCCATCAAAGGCTGCCAGCCAAAACGAAACATGACAGATTTACAAATACAGAGAATGTTCCATTTATTATTGAATGCTTGCAATAAATATTTGCATGATCTGACATGGGGAAGAGGACGCTGGTGCGAAAACTCATTTCTTGGCGGATTACATAAAATTGGGATTTTGTATCTGAGGTTTAGTATTTTTGCAAGCAGGAGGTGTGGCGATCAGCCTTGCCCTGTTCACGTGTTATCCACATGTACATCAGGCAGGTGTTGAAGGAGGAGCAGGACCGTGCCACAGCCCTGCTCTCAGCATTGCATGTGACCATCCTGCCCCGGTGATGCCTGTCGCAGTCGTGTGGGTGACATACAGGGGTCCAGCTGCTGTTGAGACATGGGCACAGTTACATATTCAGTGGTCTGCGTTTGCCTGAACTTGAGTCTGGACTAAGGATTCTGAGCCTCTGTGTTCTGATTCAATACGTGATATCCTATCACAGAACATTTCAGGATTTGGGCCTCTGCCATTGGCCCTTAAACTCTGAGTCATGATTCGCAGCTTGGAAGTTTAGACAGCCAATCACGTTGGGAGTGGGAGTGGCCCAGGCCTTCAGAAATGTATATAAGCAGTTGCTTTGCCCGTTGTCCAGTTCTGCTAGTTCAATGAAGGTTCTTGCTGTTTTTGCTGTATCTTGCCTCGTGGGGACCCACCTACACTTCAGGCACCCAAGGGTGTATGAAGGGGGGTGGGGGCGTGCCCCAGGTGCCACCCTGGAAGGGGTGACAAGATGGCCCACTGCCTCCCCCCCAGCTGTAGAGTGGCCTTGGTCCGTACAAGTACAGATGCCACGTGCGGCATCTGTACGGGCGCTGCGCGTGTGCCCCCCACCCCGGGTGCCAGAGAGCCTTCGCCCCCGCAGGCACCTATTTGAATTTGTTGCAGTGAACATGCAGACATCATTATCATTGTAACTTTTAAACTGCTTTTCATATTTTTAAAAAATATTGTCACCTGCCCTGGGATCCTAGGGTGAAGGGTAGGTAAAAAATACAAAATAATACAGTGGTACCTTAGTACCTGAACGGCTTGGCTCCTGAACAAATTGGCTCCCAAACACCGCAAACCTGAGAATGTTCTGGTTTGCGAATGTTTTTCGGAATGTCCGACACGGCTTCCGCAGCTTCCAGTTGAGTGCAGGAAGCTCCTGCAGCCAATTGGAAGCCACATCTTGGTTTTCGAACCATTTTGGGAGTCGAATGGACCCCTGGAATGGGTTACATTTGAGAACCAAGGTACCACTGTAAAAGGGAAAGCAAACATACATACACATCTCACGTTTTCCTCCAAGGGGTCAATTCACCCCCACAACAACCCTGTGAGGTAGTTTAGCATGAGTTTAGAATGAGACACAGTAACTGGCCCCAAGTCACCCAATGAGCTTCACGGTCAAGTGGGGATTTGAACCCTGGTTTCCCAGTCTAACACTCTAACACTACACCACACAGGCTCTTTTTACTGTTCTTGCGTTGCCACCCTCCGGATTTCTCTTGGAGGAGGCACACAAAGAAGGGCCTCAGAGGATGATCGCAGGGTCCAGGTCAGTTCATATGGGGAGAAGTGATCCTTGAGATGTTAAGTTGTGGGTGAACATATCAGACGACACAGCGACTCTTCAAACACCTCTTGTTTATTCACAGGCCAGAACAGAACTGGGCAGAAGGGTTCAGCCAACCTGCTTATATAGAGCTCAACTACAAAGCAACAGTAACAACTTTCTGTAACTATCCAATCACTGAATGTCACTTTCAATTCCTTATTTGCATATGTGGACCTGAGTGAAAACTATCTACAGTATCCCCTGCTGGCCCAGGGTGAGAACTTCAGTACATAACATGACATATTGTGGTCCTGAGCCATTTAAGGTTTCATAGGTCAAAACAAGCACTTTGAATTGGGCCCAGAAACTAATTGGTAGCTGGTGCAGTTGGGCTGGGATTGATGCAATATGCTCAAATCGTCTTGCTCCTGTGAGCTACCTGGCTGCTGAATTCTGCACCAGCTGAAGATTTTTGCCTTCCCTTTCAAGCATTTAGTCCCCAATCCTGAGCTATAAATTTTGTTTAAAGACAGAAATCTTTCAGACTCCTGGCCTGTAAATGTTTGGGTAGCCTTGGAAAGTCTAAGAGGAACACCTGACTAAAGAGGACAACCGCAGTGCGAGGACAAACCAAACTCCCTTCCCTTTCAACACAGTTCTAATTCTCTGAACAATCCAGTGTTCACCCATTAATTTTTAGGTAATGGATGACTGGAACGGGTTTGAAGGTGCCTCGCTTTGCTATATTACATTAATAAAGCACAGCAAAGGGATTCGTTTTTTTATTGCTGAAAGGTTTCTCAAGATAGAGGGCTTATGTGCTTCATCCTTAACATAAATTTCACTCTGTATTACTCATGAATTACAGACAGCTTAATGCCAATCTGTCACACCCTGTAGGAGAAGCAAATTCATCGCATCAATATAATTGGGAAAGCTGTAAATAAAAGCAGGGGGAGGCTGGAGAGAGGAAGTGCATTGGTGATGAAAGAAGGTGTAAATGACAGGCCATCCCATTCATGTCCTTCTCTCATTGGGTGTGAAGCTTTACAAGAGAGTGTTTCAATGGGAACAGACTTTCAGATGGAAACCCAGGGCCCCACTCAACCAAATGAGCAACACAGCCCCCATAATAATAATAATAATCCATTATTTATACTCCACCCAACTGGCTGGGTTTTCCCAGTCACTCTGGGCGGCTCTCAACAGAATATTAAAAACACAATAAAACATCAAACATTAAAAACTTCCCTAAACAGGGCTGTCTTCAGACGTCTTCTAAAAGTTGGAGAGTCGCTTATTTCCTTGACACCTGATGGGAGGGCATTCCACAGGGCGGGTGCCACTACCGAGAAGGCCCTCTGCCTGGTTCCCTGTAGCTTTGCTTCTCGAGGTGAGGGAACCACCAGAAGGCCCTTGGCGCTGGACCTCAGGGTCCGGGATGAATGATGGTGGTGGAGACGCTCCTTCAGGTATACTGGGCCAAGGCCGTTTAGGGCAGGCATAGGCAAACTTGGCCCTCCATGTGTTTTGGGACTACAATTCCCATCATCCCTGACCACTAGTCCTGTTAGCTAGGGATCATGGGAGTTGTAGTCCCAAAACATCTGGAGGGCCAAGTTTGCCTGTGCCTGGTTTAGGGCTTTAAAGGTCAGCACCAACAAATGCAACCAAATTGGCTCCCCACATGTTGAAGTAAGTGAAGTAACACATATCTGAAGGGACTTGAAATGTGCTCTTTCTTCCTTTCTTTCTCCCCAGCCCTGGGGTGGGTGGGTGGAGCTGATCTGGGGGAGAAAGAAAGTTGTGAATAGAGGGGCACTCGCTCAAATATCCCAACATGCCCGCAGGCCTAAAATGGTTGGCAATCCCAGATGAAGTGCCATTTCCAGATGCATTTCTTTAATTTAAAGCCAGGATAAGAACATAAGAACTTGTCGGCTGCAAAAAATGCAAATTTAATCATCAGTGTTCAGAAGCCTGGGCCTCAGATTGTTAGCTTAAATTTAAAAACCACCGCTATTTTCAAATATATAGCTTCAAGTGGACAGATGATTTAATCCAAACACATGCAAAAGGGAGCTTGTACCCAGCCATTCTCTGAATTTATTTCAGAGCTGGCATTTCATATACAACCTACTCTGCGCTCTTATTAACCAGCTATAAATAAAACATTAAAAAATCCTCTCCGCTTTGGCAATTTCTTGCCGTCCATCAACTCTCGCCTGTGATGTTATTAAAATCCATTTTGAAACAAAACAGACACGGCACTTGGGTGTTCCATTGACACTCCCACCTCACAGGAACAACTTCTATTCTCAGTGGTATTAATTACTCAGTTCTCACTCTCCGCATTCACAGCTTCTATTTTCAATCATGAAAGAAACTTTCCCTGGTCTAATCAACCAATGGCAATTCTGCTAGGGCTGGCCGTGGTGGTGGTGGTGGGGAGATAAACTTTCAGCATCCTAGGAAAGGAATATAGGAAGCTGGCTTAAACTGAGCCAAATAATTGGTCCACGTAGCTCACAAATGTCTACACTGACTGGCAGTGGCTCCACAGGGTTTCAGGTAGGGATTATAATATTATAAAACACAACATCCTCAAATAATAATTTGCCACATAGATATATCCAGCAAAGTATCAAAGTGGATAACTAATGTACAGCGCAAACATGAAAAAGGAAGATTTAAAAAAGTTCCAAGAGATTGTTTAAAAAACAAAACAAAACTCTCCACCTGGCACCTAAATAGATCACTCAGGACATATACGCCCTTGGCCCAGTATACCTGAAGGAGCGTCTCCACCCCCATCATTCTGCCCGGACACTGAGGTCCAGCTCCGAGGGCCTTCTGGTGGTTCCCCCCACTGCGAGAAGTGAGGTTACAGGGAACCAGGCAGAGGGCCTTCTTGGTAGTGGCGCCCGCCCTGTGGAACGCCCTCCCATCAGATGTCAAGGAAATAAGCGACTCTCTGAATTTTAGAAGACATCTGAAGGCAGCCCTGTTTAGGGAAGTTTTTAATGTTTGAAGTTTTATCATGTTTTTAATATTCTGTTGGGAGCCAGCCAGAGTGGGTGGGGAAACCCAGCCAGATGGGTGGGGTATAGATAATAAATTATCCTTATCCCACAACTGTATGACCTGTTGTTACTGCTATCCAGAAGTGCAGTGGTTCTGGGTCAAATATCTGTTACTATTTCTGCAGAAAGGTCCCTGTCTCCACCTTCGTAGAGCTGCCCAATCAGCATGAAATGGGATCTTTTCAGACACGGAGAATAATTCTTCTGGCCATTTGTGTTGGTTGGAGCCAAGAGGGGTGAAAGGAGGTGAGTCAGCCATTGAGGATTGTCTCCTAGATTGTCACTCTGGGGAAGATGCACAAGAAAAACACTGAGGAGTTGTTCAGATGCTGAGCCACAGCCGATCTCCTAGATTTCTCCTTCCAGGAAGCTGCAAAACCTTCCGGCTCACCTGCTAGCTTCACTGCTTATGCCAGGGGTCCTCAAACTATGGTCCACTGGCCAGATCCAGCTGCCAGGGTCCTGAACCCGGCCTGTCCGCCGCCGCCGCCTCCACCCTTCCCTTTCCCGCCCTCCCGTCTTAAGCAAAGAGTTCACAACGCTGGCCTTGGCGAGCATCCTATAAGAAGCACTCCTCGCGCCCCTGGCTGAGGAAGAAGGCAGCAGCCAAGACTTCCGGTCTACTGCAGAGGCTATGGCGGCGGGCTTTGTGTCGTCAGAGTAAAGGACGACACAGGTCCGGCAATTTAGGGGTTGAGGGTGCTGCCAGAGTGGGGACCCTGGCCAAGGAAGAAGGCAGCAGCCCCACTGCTTCCACCTCCAGCTTAGCACTCGCTTGGTGCTGGTGCTGGCGCCGCTCTTCCTCGCCAGCAGGAGTCACTCTTTCCCACTTCCTTTGGTCTCAGTGGTGGCAACAGCAGGGAGGGTCCAACTGGGAGATCAAGCGGCGTGGGTATTTTAAAGTTGGTTCCTCTCCCTGCCTCTCTCTTTGCCAGGGCGTTCCTCAAACCCCAGGATCAGCAAGAGTACCAGAGCTCTGTGCAGCAGGCGAAGGTCGCACCCTGGACTTTTGTGCGTGCCCAGGAAATCAGCGAGCGAGGTTTTTGTTTTTTTATGTGTCTGGGTTTTTTCTCCCCTGAGGTGGGGAAATTTCTGCTGCCAAGGTGCGACTCTTCCTCAGTGTACACCCCACGCGCCGCTCTTTGGCATTGCTAAGGCCGCTTTCTGGAAAGCAAGTACGTTTCCGAGCACAATTCAAAGTGCTGGTGTTGACCTTTAAAGCCCTAAACGGCCCCGGCCCAGTATACCTGAAGGAGCGTCTCCACCCCCATCGTTCTGCCCGGACGCTGAGGTCCAGCGCCGAGGGCCTTCTGGCGGTTCCCTCATTGTGGAAGCAAAGCTACAGGGAACCAGGCAGAGGGCCTTCTCGGTAGTGGCGCCCACCCTGTGGAACGCCCTCCCATCAGATGTCAAAGCGATAAATAACTACCTGACATTTAGAAGACATCTTAAGGCAGCCCTGTTCAGGGAAGTTTTTAATCTGTGATATTTTACTGTATTTTTTGTCTTTGTTGGAAGCTGCCCAGAGTGGCTGGGGAAACCCAGCCAGATGTGCGGGGTACAAATAATAAATTATTATTATTATTATTATTATTATTATTATTATTATTATTATTATTATTATATTCTAAAGCTCTCTCTGCCCTCCCATTGAGGAGGAAGGACCTTCGTAATAAATGGGAAATGACTGCAGTGTTGGCAAAAGTCTTGACAGTGCTGCTAAGATAAAAGCACTAGCTTTCTTTTCTTTTAAAATAAAGGCAAGGGACATGAGCGCAGATGTAGGAGCTCATCTGTGTTTATTATCCCTGACTAGGTTTGGAAACCGTTGTTTCTGTCGTACTTCTGAGCTGCAGAAGTTTATAATGCAACTTGCAAAGAGAAATGCACAATGTTATCAATATCAATGTTATCAATATAAATGGAAGAAGCTACATTAGTGTTGCTCATATGGTATTGTCGTGGTGTTTACTTTTGGGGTGATTGTGAAGTGGATTTCTTAATGTTTGAGGTAGCGTTTAATGTTTTAAGCCTTGCATCACTTGCTACGACTAGCAGTGACAAATATGGAACCGGATATTGACCATCTCATTAGCCAAAAGCAGGCCCATAATTCCCATTGAAATACTTATAAGTTTATGTTGATTAAAACTGTTCTTCATTTTAAATATTGTGTTGTTTTTCCTGTTATTTTGTGCACTACAAATAAAAGATGTGCAGTATGCATAGGAATTTGTTCATATTTTTTTCAAACTATAGTCCGGCCCCCAACAGTGTCTGAGGGACAGTGAACTGGCCCCTTGTTTAAAAAGTCTGAGGATCCCTGGCTTAGGCCAACCATTTGTTTCCCCTCAGCTTTCATCTCAAGCTGAGTCTGAGGGTGTCTTCACCACCAGCTCATTAAAGAAACATCTTCCAGCTATTAGGAGCCATTGACTGAGCATCAGCTGCCCATTGGCAAGCAATCACATTGAACAAAAGGGAGATCCGCCTCACCACTTGATGAGATGGTATTTTCAAAAGGGGGAAGAGAGGTATTGTCAAGACCGTGGAGAATATCTAATAGTGTTTGTCTTTTTTACTTTACACAAAATGAGCCTCTAGTGCAAGGAAATGTTGATTACTTATTGCTCTTTGAAGGCTGTTCGGCTAATTTTATTTAAATGACTACCCACTGCCAGGCTCCATTAATGGATTTTATTGATATTTTTTGTGTGTTCTATTTTACCCCAAAGTCAACTTTGCAGAAGCATTATATGAATCAGCTATCTGCAATGCGTGTGTGTTTTACAATTACTAATTTGTTGGGGGTTTTTTATAAGATATTTATTAAGATTTTCAAAATATTACAAAATAAAAATAAAAAAAATAAAAACACAAAAAATAAAAATAGTTAAAAACAACTCAATCTTTCCATTACTTATTTTTCATTAGCTTGTTTCCCGGACCTCCTCACGCCTCCCTTTTTTGTATTCCAGTTCGGTTTGTTGGTTCAGCAAATCCTTCCCCTCTTTGTCTATCCTAATCATTAATCTTAAAATATTGTAACATTAAATTTTTACCTGTTAGTAATCCATTTTTCATATTCCCTTATAGTATTGCAGCTAAAAACCACTTAATTTCTATCCAACATCATTCTAACATTCATTAATTTTACAATATTTCTGTAAATAGTCTTTAAATTTCTTCCAATCTTCTTCCACCGACTCTTCTCCCTGGTCCCGGATTCTGCCAGTCATTTCCGCCAGTTCCATATAGTCAATCACCTTCATCTGCCATTCTTCCAGAGTGGGTAGATCTTGGGTCTTCCAATACTTTGCAATGAGTATTCTTGCTGCTGTTGTAGCATACATAAAGAAAGTTCTATCCTTCTTTGGCACCAATTGGCCGACTATGCCCAGGAGAAAGGCCTCTGGTTTCTTCAAGAAGGTATATTTAAATACTTTTTTCAATTCATTATAGATCATCTCCCAGAAAGCCTTAATCCTTGGGCACGTCCACCAAAGGTTACAATTACTAATTTGTTGCAGATGTTCAGAGTCACAACCTCTATAATAATACCTAGTGTTATGGGGCCACTACCTTTTTAAAGGTAGTGGCTTTATCCCGATGTATATATTTTTATATGCAATTTTGCCTAATATGACGAATGTTGGGATGCTATTTTCACCAATGTATGCATTCTTTACACTAGTACATTCATTTTGTAGATATTACTATACATGTGTTTGCGTGCTATTTTTCTTTATATCCATATTTTTGCAAAGTGGTTTCCTCTGACACAATGCATTTTTGTTCATTATTTTGAGGAAATGGTCTGTTTTTATGCATATTTGACCCAAATACATGCACTTTTGGACACATTCCTTGACTGGAGAACTGGATCGCAAAATTCAGAGAAGTGTGAATTTCAAAAGATGGCTGTTTTGAGGTTTGTTCACTGTTTCAGAAAGAGTGAACAAGGTAAGTTCAGGTTTAAATGTGAACCGAATCGAATTCCTCCCTCATCCCCACTAACAGAAGAAGAGGTCAATCAGAGCATACTTTGCCTAGGGACTTCCCCACAGGCTTTCAATTGCTCTGAGAGGTCCTGCATACATGTGGAACATACTAAGAAGAGTCTCCCAGATCACGCCAATGGGCCATTTGATCAAGCATCTGTCATTGAATTCTACTCAATATTGATCCAGAGTAGATGCCAATGTACAGTGGTACCTCAGGTTACAGACACTTCAGGTTACAGACGCTTCAGGTTACAGACTCCGCTAACCCCGAAATAGTACCTCGCGTTAAGAACTTTGCTTCAGAATGAGAACAGAAATTGTGCTCTGGTGGCGTGGCGGCAGCAGGAGGCCCCATTAGCTAAAGTGGTGCTTCAGGATAAGAACAGTTTCAGGTTAAGAACGGACCTCCGGAACGAAGTAAGTACTTGACCCGAGGTACCACTGTATAGTAAAAACTTAAACATGTTGCAGGATTCCCAAAAAATAGACCAGAGGCAATTACAGTGGACACTCAGGTTGCAAACATGATCTGTGCAGGAGGCATGTTCACAACCCGCAGCGTTTGCAACCCGCAGCACCGCGTCTGCACAGGTTGCAATTCGGCTCTTCTGCGCATGTGTGACTGCTGAAACCCGGAAGTAACCCGTTCCGGTACTTCTGGGTTTCGGCGGGTCCATAACCCAAAAAAACGCAAGCTGGAGCATCTGGAACCCGAGGTATGACTGTATATTTCATCCAGCAGAGCTTTTCTGCTACTGAAAGGAGAGACGCTTGGCTCGAGTGCGCTACAGACCTCGCGGTAAGTGCCGCCTGGCATTTTGTCACCCCCTTCAGTGGTGACACCCAGGGCAGCCGGCACCCACCGCACCCCCTTCCTCCGCCCCTGCCAGAAGAGAAAGTGAAACCTAGGCTCCTTCTGGCCTTGTGCTGGTCCCAGGGGGTTACCGTGCGGCGTGGTCCAAGTCCAGTCTGAGGTCGAGGGTATGGTATGGGGGTTGTCCATCAAGGCTGAAGTGGGGTCCAAGGCAAGGAGTCAGGGGTGGTCAGGAACTCTGGCAGAAGAGCAGGACAGGGTGCCGGCAGGAACAGGTTACCAACAATGTTGCTCCCGCAACCTGGGACTGGGCTGGCTGGCTTTTATCTGCCCCGAGGCATAGGGCATCCTGGTCCACAGGTGACTCGCCTCTCCTGGCCTGGAGGCAAGCACTCCTCCTGTAAGAATTTAGTTCCCTCTGCCTCTCTGCCCTGAGCCTCTGCAGCTCAGGAGAGGCTGGAGGGTTACTGGACCCAGAGGCAACCTCACCTTCCCCTGACGGGGCTGAGAGTGGAGCACCTGCAGGCAATGGGTCCTCCATCACCTCAGGAGCCAGAGCAGACTCAGCTGGTGTCTGTTCCTGAGGATCCGGCACAGGTGAGGGCCCTTCAGGTTCAAGCCCCAGCCCCAGCTCAACTGGTTCTGGAGGCAGGGAATCCTGTGCGGGCTGGGATTCCTCAGGTTCAGCCTCTGAATCCAATTCCCAGGCCATCACAGGCCTCTTTTTATAGTCAGCTTGACCTTGACAGACGAGATAAGAGAACCAATTTAAGCCAGCTGTACTCAGCTTCTCTGAAGGAATAACCTGAACATCACGAACGTTTTGCTCGTTTCTTTCACACAGAGAAGCTTCCAGAAGCTTCCAAAACCTTCTTGAATTAATTAGAATAGGAAAGATCTCTACACATCAGATCAATACTTTCTGCACTAAGAAATGCAAACTGACAGCATCCTGTTCTTACAGTGGCCAACCAGATGCACCAATGGGAAGCTTGCAAGCAGGACATGATTATGAGAGCACTTGCCCCTCCGGTAGTTTCTGGCAAATGGGATTCAGAGGCACTGCTGCCTCCCACCGTGGAGTGAGAACAAAACCGTTGTGGCTAGTAGCCACAGATAGCCTTCTCCTCCATGATTTTGTCTAATCCTCTTTTAAAACCATCCATGGATGGTTTCTAATGCTCCAAGCTGGAGGAGGAACACCAAATGGATGCTTCCTTGCACCAGCTTTAACATCCTCGAAACATAATTGATTAATCCTCCTTCACGTTACTTTGTTTTCATTATAGAGCAATTCAAGCAAGCCGTAATAACCAGAGTACAATACCTTGTGTGAGTCAACCAAGCGGCACATTCAAAGTTGAAAGATATGCTAATGACCCACTTGAGGAGGAGAGAATTTGTTCTTCTGAAAACTTTTTTTTTCCTTCTCCAGCTACAAAAAAACAAAAACAAAAATATCTTCTTGGTGCAATAAACATTTGTCAACAAGAAGATGCCTAGGGAAATTGCACGGCTCTAACATTAACCGAATTAGATGTGTGTTTGTTTGTTTGTTTGTTTGTTTTGTAAAATGCGAAACAAGTAGCAGACCTGCCTAATTAACCATTTTGCAAACAACCGATAAAGAAAAGATTGGGACTCGTTGGAAACTCTGCCTTTTTAAAGGATAAATAAGACAATGGAAATAACACCGATTAGGAAGGGATCAAAAGTAAACACTCCAGAATATTAAAAGGTCTTGAGCATGTGGCTCTGAGCAGCAAAGAGTTGCGGCGAAGAGACTTCATAAGAATGTAAGGGGAGCTTGCTGGATCAGATGAAAAGGTCCATGTAGCCATTAATTAGCCTTACCCCCCATGAATTTATCTATGAGGACATAAGAAATCACCATCCTTTTATCAACTATTGTTCAAACACTGCCCCATCATCTTGGCCTGTCTACTAGTTACCTCCCCCTTTAGCTGCTTGAGAAGAGCAGGGCGACTGTGGCGAATCCCAGAAGATGCCAATTCTCTAGACTCAGTTTGAAGCCTGGTTTTAGTACCAAATGGGTCTCAGCAGCCTTGATAGATGACTTTTAAAAAGAAAGAGGTAAGCGGAAGTCCAGTCCTGCTTCTTCTGCTTGATCTTTCTGTGGCTTTTGATACCTTCACCCAGGACCATGCTGAACTTCCCTGGAGCCCGGGGAGGGAGTCTTGCTAAATTAAAGTTATAAACTCAAACCAAAGAAGGAGCAGATCCCTGGCAGGGCCTCCGAGGCCCAGGGCAAGTATACCCAGCTCCCCCTTCTACACAGGTCTTCCTATGACCATGATTAATTGCTTAATTGCTTGTTCTGGATGATGTTGCAGGAGCAAGTACATGGCCTTAGGGTGTTCCTGGAGTCATCTCTGTCATTCTCCAAATGATCACAGTGGCTGGGAGCACTGTTTAGCAGCTACAGTTAGCATGGTAGCTGCAGCCATTCCTGGACAAGGGATCACATAGCCTCAGTGGCCCAGATTGATTACTGCAATGTGCTATATTTGGGGCTGCCATTGAGGCTTGTCCAGAAGCTTCAGCTAGTGTAGAAACAGAAGCCAAACTTGAGAAGCTGGTCACCATATAACACCACTGCTGAGCAGTGGAGGCCGGACCATTAGGGTGAATGGGACACACACACACACACACACGCACCGCCAACTTCATCCAACCTCAGCCTCATGCTTCATATCAGTCAACTGCCCTGGAAAAACAGGGCATCTCATTTTTTTTCCATGAGAGGACAGCAGTCAAAAAGGCCCTTACGATTTCGGGCTGCACTTTTTTCAGGCGTGATGCCCCAAAACACACATTTTGGGGTGCCCAGTCGTCTGCTCTATAACTACCCAGGGCAGGTTTTTTTTTAAAAAAAAGAATTTTGCTGTGCCCGTTTTGAGAACTTCCTTCCATTTGGACATCCAGCAAGCAACTATAGCACTAGGCTTTAGAACAGGGGTGTGGAACCATTATTTTCTTTTTGAGGGCCTCATTCCCTTCTGGGCAATGTTCCAGGGGCCAGTGAGCAGTGCTTTTTTTCTGGGGAGATGCAGGGGTACACATACCCCTAAACATTTTGTGAATCTAAAGGGAGAAGAAACTAAAAAAAAAAAAAGAATTTAGTTTCTCCTCTAGCATGGTGAATCGTCAGTTCCGTTGCTACCTCATTTCCTGTCACAGTGTTCCCTGAGTCTCAGACGGAAGCGAGCGTTTAATGAGAGTGCCCCTAAACATTTTTCTTTTAGAAAAAAAAGCACTGCCAGTGGGGATGAGTAGGGTCTGAAGCAGCAGCATGCAGAACAATGAATGCCAATTTTAACTTGTACGACAGGCTAATTTCTACACACACTCGCACACCCCTCTCTGTCCTCCATACAGGCTTGCAAGAGGCACAAGCCACATTCAAGGGCACATTCCAGCCAGGCAAAAACACCTAAGGAGGCTGCAGCCCAGGGACAGCAGGTTGGTGTGGCCTGGGGAGAGCCTTGAGAGTCAGGCAGAGAGGCTTAGAGGCCCGAGGCTCCCCTCGGGAGAGCCAGTGTGGTGTAGTGGTTAAGAGCAGTAGACTCGTAATCTGGGGAACCGGGTTCGCTTCCCCGCTCCTCCACATGCAGCTGCTGGTGACCTTGGGCTAGTCACACTTCTCTGAAGTCTCTCAGCCTCACTCACCTCACAGAGTGTTTGTTGTGGGGGAGGAAGGGAAAGGAGATTGTGAGCCACTTTGAGACTCCTTCGGGTAGTGATAAAGCGGAATATCAAATCCAAACTCTTCTTCTTCTTCCTCACCAGCTTCATCTGCTTTCTTACAACCTTCTCCTGCATGCAGATGTTCCCTGCTGTGTGATCCAGCCATGCCTCCTTTGCTATTGAAACACTACACTGTTTTCCTGCCCACCACAAGCCCCCACCCTCCTGTTACAAAATCAATTCCTTCTCAGCCCTGCGAATTGGTTTCCCAGCCTGTGCGTTGCCTGTTTGCATGCTTCAGCACATGACAAACTGCCCGGAGCGTCTTGTGATAACATCCTAGGTGCCAAAAAAAAAAAACCCCAGTCATTGCGAGCCTGAAGATCTCTTTATCTCCAAGATGATTTGTATATTGTGTTTCGTCCTTGCACATACAAATGGCCGCTTTTCTCCCCGTTTGCATTTCCTATCCTCGCCGCAAGGTCATCACACCATTATCAGGCCCCGTCCCATGATAACGCAGTCGGCAAGGCTTTCCATCCATCCTTCCATACAGATTAGGGAGTGGGGGACATGTGTCATTTGGGAACGTAATTCAATACAAAGGGGAGTGCCTACGCTACGTTATCTTGACGTGTGGTGTTTTTAAGCCGCAGTCTTTGATTCGGATCGCTGCCTTTATCATAGCACTGTGCCTTTGCTCCTTTGCATAAGGCACCACCTCATCCAAGCCATAGCAAACTCACTTCCTAATACTTTAGTAACTATCAATACAGATGGAAAGTAATACTAAAAGTAGGGGAGGGCTGGACACTATAGTGTCCAAGCACAATTCAAAGTTTTGGTGCTGACCTTTAAATCCCTAAACGGCCTCGGTCCAGTATACCTGAAGGAGTGTCTCCACCTCCATCATTCAGCTGAGACACTGAGGTCCAGCGCCGAGGGCCTTCTGGCGGTTCCCTCGCTGCAAGAAGCCAAGTTACAGGGAACCAGGCAGAGGGCCTTCTCGGTAGTGGCACCCGCCCTATGGAATGCCCTCCCACCAGATGTCAAAGAGAAAAACAACTACCACACTTTTAGAAGACATCTGAAGGAAGCCCTGTTTAGGGAAGCTTTTAATGTTTAATAGACTATTGTATTTTAATATTCTGTTGGAAGCCGCCCAGAGTGGCTGGGGAAACCCAGCCAGATGGGCGGGATATAAATAATAAATTATTATTATTATTATGGAGCGATTTGAATATGGTGCAATGGGAGAAAGGGCGGAAAGGAACAAATCAGGGATAGCTGGCAGGGGGTGGGTTGCCTTCCCTGCCCCAAGCATCCCAAAATGGTTTACCTTAAAACCAAGTAAGGACCTCTAATAAACATCTAAAAACATAGCTGTACAGCTAAAAGGCAGGACTTACAGATTCAAACCAATTAAAGTGGTCTCATCATTGGCACCCTTCAAATTAAGAGCCATAAGCCCAGTCAAAACACAAAATTATTGTTTGACTCCTAAAAACAGATGAAGATGGCACCCAGGCATCAGGGGTGTCAGTTCTATGGCGCCAATGTGTTTTTGGCTCCTCCCAAATCTGTTGGTAGGGAGACGGGGCCCCTCAATGTTGAGTGGGTGGAGGAAGCCGTGCGTGGAACCAAGCATAATGTGGCTTCAGTGTTCGGCTCCTCCTGAGTGCAAGAGAGGAGATGCCTCTGCTGTACGTGCCTCTCTGGGGAAAGCATTCAACAAGCAGGGGCCACCACTGAAAAGGCCCCATCTTGTGTTGCCACCCTCCAAACCTCCCATGGAGGGGGCATATGAAGAAGGGCCTCAGATGACAATCATATGGTCTGGGTTGGTCGTGAGGGGCGGTTCTTGAAGTACTGGGGTCCTGAGCAACAGAAAAGCTTCACAGGCCAAAACCAACCCTTTGAATAAAGAAGAGACCTACTGGATCAGGCCAATGGCCCATCTAGTCCAGCATCCTGTTCTCACAGTGGCCAACCAGATGCTAGGGGTTTCCTATGGACATCTGGTTGGCTATCGTGAGAACAGAACATTGGATTAGATGAGCCATTGGCCTCTTCTTACATTAACTGAGTCCTTTGCACTCTAGACTTCACTGAAAGCCCTGTTGCAGTGTCCTTTGCACAACAAAAAGCAGCAGAGCAGTACCTTGTGACAAAATAACAGTGATTTATTTTTATATCCTTGGAGCTTCAGAAGTTCTGGTTCAAGGATATATTTCAATGCCCATCTTGTTGCTTCGGCAATTATGATTTTGGTTGTTGGCACCCGTCCGTCTCGAGAGACACTGGAACGGTGCCTCCAGGGATGAAGTGAAACTGCTGTGATAGCAGCACCGAAATCACCTCCCCAGAGCGCAGGCCTGGGCATTGTGTATGGAGATTCTGGGCTGCCCCGGTGACAAGATCGTCCCCCCTGCCCCAGTCAGCCTCTCTGATGTGATCCAAAGGAAAGCAGAGCAATACGTTTGGCACCAGCTTGGCTGCAGGAGTTGCTGGAAGAAGGCATACAAGGCCCCATCCAACAGCCTTCTTAGGGACTCCACTCTGTATTTCTGTAGGGCTTACTCTTCTCCCAAAGATATCCCACAAGGCAGCAGAGGTTGAAGATCAGCACTTTCAGTCTTTCTCCTAGATGGGCTACCTTCCCAGGTGTTGACAAGTAAGTCCCATCTGCTCCTCATTTCCCTCTACAGCACATGCAGAAACCGCCTTCTTCCATGTTGGACCCATATTGGTCTTAACTTCTCAATCTGCTGGAGCTTGTCTTCACATACAGGGGAAGTCCCTAACTTACCAAGGGTTTGAGATCCCCATTGGCTACCCTCACCAGGTTTAGCCAATCAGTCGAAGCCATTCCCAGAGGGGTGGCCGCTGTCGCATGCTGACAGGTGACTAGGAGCTACAGGTGAGAGCTGGTTGCAGCTACAGGTGACTAGGAGCTACAGGTGAGAGCCGGTTGCAGGGTGGAGAACCAAAGATGGACAAACTACCCCAGAAAGAGCATGACGTGTGTCCACCGCTAGAGGTACTACCCCTCCTCTAACAACCCATAATAATAACAATCCCCGAAGCAACAGGTCCCTTGGAACATGCCCTTCCTGTTTGAAGCACCCCAGCTGGGTTTGAATTAGAACTTTTTGACTCTCCAGGGATGCCTTGGAATAATCAGGCATTGTGATTTGCACAATGGTCACAATAGCCTTTCATTTCCCAGAGATGGGTGGGAAGGGCTTTGAATGTCCCCGGCATTTCACGTCAAACAGCGTGTAGCGCTGCTCTCTTTCAAAACATTCCCATTATCAAAGAATCTATCCGCATGTCACCCTATTAGACCGCATTGTGGCTCTAATTTCCTAACATTTTAATGCTTCCAGGTGTTGGACTGAAATAACTAATCTCATTTTTCTGCCTGCTAATGATAGACATTTAGTCCCTTTTTCGGTTTCTGCTTTTTCTTTCTTTTCCCCCCAAAAAGGGGGTGGGTGGGTTGGGGGGAAACGGAGACTCAGATTATCAGCAAATAAAAGACAGCAATTCAAGCACAGAGCCAGCCATCATTAAGCCTTAGATTATCTCCTGCCCCCGCTGCTGCGCACGGTGAGATCCCGACATTTTTTATTGTTATTTCCACAATATGAGCTTCTTTGAAGCAAACGGGGAGCAAGAGCCGATAAAACAATAAGATGCATGGCTTTTATGTAATCCCGCTCCCACTGAACCCCGGTGACAAATGTCCTATTGGCAAGACTGTAATTCAGAGCCACTAAAAATTAATAGGACTGCTGGTGTCAGAGAAAAGTTCAGAGCCAAAAGTGCATCCAGACCTGGAAGAAGAATGAAAGAAATGGGGGGGACGGGACACCAGCAGCAGGGGAAACCACTCATAATTTGAGGGCAGGCTACATATATATTGGGACGCGGGTGGCACTGTGGGTTAAACCACAGAGCCTAGCACTTGCCGATCACAAGGTTGGTGATTTGAATCCCTGCGACAGGGTGAGCTCCCGTTGCTTGGTCCCAGCTCCTGCCAACCTAGCAGTTCGAAAGCACACCAGTGCAAGTAGATAAATACGTACCGCTCCAGTGGGAAGGTAAACAGCGTTTCTGTGCGCTGCTCTGGTTCACCAGAAGCGGCTTAGTCATGCTGGTCACATGATCCGGAAGCTGTACGCCGGCTCCCTCGGCCAATAAAGCAAGATGAGCGCCGCAACCCCAGAGTCAGTCACGACTGGACCTAATGGTCAAGGGTCCCTTTACCTTACATATATATTACCCTTGAGGTTGGATTACTGTAATGCATTCTTTGTGGGGCTGCCCTTGGGATGGGGACTGAAGCTACAGCAGGTGGCCAGACTGCTGGTGGGGACTCATGGCTGACAACCATTGCTAAAACGTCGACACTTGGAGAAGATGGGGTTGAACCTAGGACCTTTTGCATGTGGGGCAGATGTTCTACCTGTGAGTCACTCCTATGGCCAGGAAGGAATCAGCTGATCAAGGAGCAGGGATGTGAAACTCTTGTATATATTTGCGAGTTTGCATATTCTTTTTTTAAAGCATTATTCCCAGTGTCATATCCATTCTGCTTTATTTTGTTTGGAACAGGCCTCTGCGCTGAGAGCAGATAAGATTAATACCGCCTAATCCATGAGAGGATGTAAACTGAAAAGGATATATGAATTCATTTATTTTCATTAAACCAAGACAGCAGGAAAGTGATGTCAGAAGAGAAAGATTAATCTGCAAACAGAATAAACTGGAGGGAGGGGGGAGAGAGAGATGAATGCCCTGATTTGGCAAAGCGATTTTGATAGGAGACAGTTAACCCATCAACTTAAATCTAATAGGGCTGAAAGAATTTTGCTAAGGTTCATGCTCAGATGATTCCTTCCCTCCCCCTCTGAGTTCAGAAGTGTGGAACTCAATCGCTCCTATTTAAATGGATTCAGATGTCCAAGGAAGGTGAACAAAAAGGAAGTTTTCTGGGTGGTTGGAATCTGGCTTTGCCCCTTGAGACCAAAGGCAAGCGCGAACAACTGCGCTTCCTTGTAAATGGCTGCCCAGGAGAAAGCAGCTGTGCTAGGCAGAGACATAGCTTCCCTTAGTCACCTGAGCAAAAAACATTACCTGTACCTGAGGAAATGTGGCATGAAGCCCTTGGCTGCCCACCTTTCCCTGAAACGGGGAAAAGTGCCGCTTGGTGTCATGCAGTCTTAGAGGTGTGAGTGTGACAATTGTTAATTACTTAATTAATCACCTTTTCACATATATGAATCATGGATTGAATAATAGAATTGTAGAGTTGGGTGGGACTATGAGTGTCCTCAGAGTGTCCCCTGAGATTAAGAGTCTCGTGCTCTACTGACTGAGCTATCCCATATATATATATATATATATATATATATATATATATATACACACATACTTTTTTGAAAGATAAAAAGTACATAATTACAAGTGAACAGAGTAAGAGAAGACACTAAAAAGAAAAGAAAAGAAAAGAAAAGAAAAGAAAAGAAAAGAAAAGAAAAGAAAAGAAAAAAGAAAAGAAAAGAAATAGTACTCATGTAGGAAACAAAACAGAACAACAACAACAACAAAATTTATACATTACAAGAAAGGGGGTATTCTAGTTTACCAGACTTTAACCCAATACAGTATTTACACATGGGCAAATTCAGTGATATTTGGAATTCAGTACTCGGTTATTAAGGTGATGCACCAAATGCAAAACAGCAAGGAAAGACCCACTTGAAAACAGAACAAAAATGACAGCGAATGATTAAAAATAAAAACCAGACACACAACCAATACCATACAAAGCAGACATCTGTGACAAAGGCCAAGGCTGTGTACACATTGTACAGAATTCTTTTTTTAATACATTTGAATTAATTTTTTGACATATCATTTCCAACAATCATTTAACATACATTCTTATCTTATACAATATTTTAGACTTCTGTCAGCTACCTCTGAAGATTTTCCACTCTTTATCACTTAATCTGCATTTCTTAATTTCTCTATTACTTTTTAATGTCCTTAACTGATAATTCTCTTCATAGTCTTCCTTGCAATATTTCGCCTAGTCCTCCTTACAAAACTTCTTGCAGTCCTACTAACGTAATCTGTTTCTTACAATTGCTTTTCAAATAGTTCAAATATTTACTCCAGTCTTCTAAGAATCTCTGGTCCCGCAGGTTTCGAATCCTTCCTGTCAGTTTGTCTAATTCTGCATAGTTCATTAATTTCATTTACCACTCGCCTTTCGTCAGTAATTCTTCTTTTTTCCATTTTTGTGCCAATAATATTCTTCACACTGTACAGAATTATTGGAGGGAAAGAGTGTGTTTCGAATGTGCTTTAAAGGTATAAAGTGCGCACAGTCATCTTGCTGAAACTAAAGAAAGTCTCCAACTCTTTCTGGAAATGGCAGGTGAGGGGCCAAACCATGTCCCACTCAGGCCTCTCCACTTGGCCCACAAGGCTGTCTCCACCAAGCCACACCCACTTCCCCTACACCTGGCATCACAGGTGCCAGGCAGGTGAAGTCTCAGATGGGCCAAAAGCAGGTCTGCAGGAACAGTTGATCCTGGTAACTTCCCAAGGGCTGTGTCTGTTGCCTGCATGGTTTGATTTCAACTGGTCACCTGGTGTTATTATAATGTCGGGTGACTGGCAGGTGGGTGGCCCCTTTCTGTCCTCTATCCAGATCATCAGGGGGCATGAACAGAGTTCAAGGACACATTCCAGCCAGAGAAAAACATTTGGGAGAGTTCTGAGGGCCAGATAAAGCTGCATTTGGCCCCAGAACCAAGGCTCCCTCCTCCTGCTTTAAAGTGACTTCTGCACTATATAACCTATATTAATAAGAACCCTGTGGGAAAGTGATTTACGATCAACTGGAAGTTTTTATACACAGTGGTACCTCGGGTTGCAAACACCTCAGGTTCCAAACACTTCGGGTTACAGACTCCGCTAACCTGGAAGTAGTACCTCGGGTTAAGAACTTTACCTCAGGATGAGAACAGAAATTGTGCGGCGGCAGCAAGAGGCCCCTTTAGCTAAAGTGGTACCTCAGGTTAAGAATGGTTTCAGGTTAAGAATGGACCTCCGGAACGAATTAAGTTTGTAACCCGAGGTACCACTGCATTCTTAAACACGAAATCTGAGGTAATCAACCTGCAAGCGGCAATTGTTTTTTCTCATCTCAACGAGGCATTTTCGCCCTCTGAAGGAAGTGGTCTCCTGGAAACATAAAGTCTGAGCCACCAGAAAGAATCAGGTTTTCTCTCCCCAGGCACAGCGGCTCGAACCCTCCCGAGTCTTGTTACTTCGCATCTCAAGCGAAACACATTCCCTGTCTTTCCCCAACAACGCCTGCCGACTCTTCAGAAGCCGTTGGAATTGCCAACCCCCAACCTTGTGATTGAGTCCAGGGGGAGAAATTTTGCATCCATAATGCAACAGGTAGGAAACTTATTAAATTGCTTTCCGATATGCTGCCAATTATTTTACCACTTGCAGAAGAGTCTCTGCCCTCGAGGCTGTCAGACAAATAAGCCTATCGGAATGAGTCTGATGCCACATGAGCTCCTGTTTTACATCTGCGGTGGTTTCTCTTCCCTCGGCTGTTTGAGAAACCAAAGGGGCGAACAAAAAGACAAAACCTTTTACAAACAAACAAGTGGATGGGAAGAGTCATTTCCTGCTCTTCACATGCAGGATAATGGGTCAGTGGCGTAGCGTGGGTTGTCAGCACCCGGGGCAAGGCAAGTAATTTGCGCCCCCTAACCCGTGGATTTTAGCACTGCGAGTGCGAGCACGCCCCCCCCCCCGATGTTGCGTCCGGCACGGCCGGCCCCCCCTGCACCCCCCACCCTATGCCACTGTAATGGGTACCATGGAGACACAGCATAGTCTTCATATTGAGACCTAATTCAAGGACAGTCTTTGAGCATAACTGTCACACAAGAGGCTCGAGGTTGCATTAATGTTCAAATTTGCAGCGAGATCAGCTGTTCAGCGAAATGGTGACATCCAGGAGCTCGATTAAATTTGGGGACTGAAATGAAAGCGGTAAAGAGAAATGAACATTCTGGTTACAGCAAGCGCAAAGATATCCAAGCATTCCAAAGTAGAAAGGGACATTTCGGAAGCAACCTTTTTGACGCATCGAAAAGCCGTGACTGGATTCTGACATGTGGTTGCCGCCTCTCCAGATTGCTTGTGGGGTGGGAATCTACCGTATTTTTTGCACCATAACACTCACTTTTTTCCTCCTAGAAAGTAAGGGGAAATGTCTGTGCGTGTTATGGAGGGAATGCCTACGGGTGGCACGCCTATGGATTTCCCTCCTCTAAAAACTACGTGCGTGTTATGGTCGGGTGCGTGTTATAGAGCGAAAAATACGGTAATTGACACCATCGGTGGAAAATTAAGAATGAAATTATTGCCCCATCAGTATCAGTGATACATCTAGTTCAGCATCCCATTCTCTCAGTGGCCAAACACTTGAAATCTACAAGCAGGATCTGCCACAGTACTACCCGCACTTGTGATTCTACAATTCTATGATTCCCAGCAACTGCAGTTCGAAGGCATCGTACCTCTGACAGAGGAGGCATAACATAGCCATCAGAGGAACATATCCGCTCCTATCGTCCAGCTCAGACACTAAGATCCAGCTCCGAGGGCCTTCTGGTTGTTCCCTCACTGAGAGAAGTGAAGCCACAGAGAACCAGGCAGAGGGCCTTCTCAGTTAGTGGCGCCCGCCCTGTGGAACGCCCTCCCATCAGAAGTCAAGGAGATGAGAAACTATATAACAGGCATCCCCAAACTCGGCCCTCCAGATGTTTTGGGACTACAATTCCCATCATCCCTGACCACTGGTCCTGTTAGCTAGGGATGATGGGAGGGCTGAGTTTGGGGATGCCCGCTATATAACCTTTAGAAGCCTTCTGAAGGCAGCCCTGTATGGGGAAGCTTTTTAAGGTTTAATGTTTTATAATGTTTTTATACGTGTTGGAAGCCACCCAGAGTGGGCAACCCAGTCAGATGGGCAGGGTACAAAAAATATATTGTCATCGTCATTGTCGTCGTGAGTAGCCTTTCATTAGCGTTAACCTCCATGATTTGTCTAATCCTCTTTTAAAGCCATACAAGTTAGTGCCTCTTGTGAAAGCGAATTCCTTAGTTTAAGTATGTGCTGTGCCTGTCCTGAATTTTTCAACGTTCATCTTTGTTGGACGTCCCTTAGTTCTAGTGTGGTGAAAGTGAGAAAAACTTCTCCCCTTGCTGCACCCGACAAGCCAAAGGATCAGACCTAATTCTACAGCACAATGCCCTGAAAGGGATATACCAAAAGTTGACCAACCATTCTGCCCTCCGTTTCCTAGGCATGAGCATCTAACAAATTTATATCCCTGTTTCTGCCCATGAAACAAGCACTGTCTAGATTGCTGTCATTTCAGTGTGCTTCCCCCATCTGTATCGCAAAGAGAGAAAAGTCGGTGGTTTTCCATGGTTGTCAAACTGATCTCTCTCCAGAACAGAAAGGAGTTGATTTCCTTCCCATGAGAACACAACTGTGCTCTGATTGAAAGCAAACCTCACTCCTTGCTTTTTTTAAAGGGGGGAATAAATTCCCAGTCAGAGAAAGTGTCTAATTTTAATTTGCTATGCACCGACAATTGACTTCATGCTGCAATTTAATGCATGTGAAGTTTTATTATAATTTACCAGGCAAAAAAGTGAACCAGAATCGAGCTCTTCATTCCAATGTCTCATTAGAATGCCTCTTCCTTCAAAGTTCACATGTTTGGAATTATAGAGATTGTTTGGTTTATTAATTAATATTTATTCATCATCATTGTCATCTTTGCAAATAAGGGTTTGCAAAGTTGAGTAAAGAAAGGGGAGAAAAACAAGCAGCTCAGGAACAGAGGAAGCTGCCATATTCCAAGTGAGACACTGATCCATTTAGCTCAGTATTGTCCACATTGACTCTCCAGGTTTTCAGACTGATGTTTCTCCCAGTCCTTACTGGAGACATTGGGGACTGAACCTGGGACCTTTTGCATTCAAAGCAGGTGCTGTATCACTGAGCTATGGGTCTTCTATAGCTTACAGAACCACCCCTATACATGTTTACTCATAAGTAACTCCTGCCCTTTTCAACAAGGCTTACCCCTGGGCAAGTGTACACATGACTGTAGTTTTATACTACCACTGTAATGGAGATCTGCATTAAATGTTGCAAAGCACCCCTAATTATTATTATTGTGTAGTTATAAGATTATTGCAAGATCTAATACAGTGGCATAATGTTAGGCAGGGTGTGGTTTTGACAACCATGAAGGAGCTGAGCAATTCTGAATTTGCCAGCACACTAATGGGCACCGTTTGATCTGTTATGATGAAACAGACGACACTATAAACATTGAAAACCAGTAGGTGCAGACCTTTGGAAATGAGCAGGAAATAAATATTTGCCTATTAGGAAGGTAATTCTCCCTCTCCTCCTCCAGAGCAGGCGAGAGACATACAACTTTCCTGCGGATGAATGCTGCTGTTTTGTCCAGGAGGATTTTGCGATGAACATGTAAATTAAGCAGGAGAGGGTGATCCATGAACTGCTTCTTCCCCTGCTTTCAGTTCACGCGAATCCATTTATGCTATAAGGAAAAGAACTCTAGGAATTTGCAAGAGGCTTTTTCCCAGTAGGCCTTTGGCTTAGAAGCAGAATCTTAACAAATCCCAGTAACAGAGCATTCGGTGAAGAGGCAGAATGTTGATAGCCAAGCAGCCTATACCGAATCGGAGAACTTTAAGAGAGGATTAGGCAAATTCGCAGAGGATGAGGCTAACCGTGGCTACCAGCCATTGTAGCTAGGCGCTACCTCTGCAGTCTCAGGAGAAATGGTTATGTTTTGCTTCTGCTATAAGAGTCCATATGTCTCTGAAGGCCAGTTAAGGGGAATCACAGGTGAGGAAAGGACCCATCGTGTCTCTTGAGTGACTGGATGGGAGACAGAGAACAGTGTGTGGAGAAAGCAGACTCTCCAAGAGTCCCTGTTTTCCAGGGACAGTCTCAGATTTACAGAAGCCGTCGCAGTTTCTGATTTGATCCCAGAATGTCCCGCTTTTCCTTAGGACGTCCCTGTTTTCATTGGAGAAATACTGGAGGGTATGGAGTTATGTGAACCCCGAGCCAAAGAGATAAGTAACTAGACAACCTTTAGAAGACATCTGAAGGCAGTCGTGAATAGGGAAGTTTTTAAATGTTTTATCTATGTTGAAAGTCACCCAGGGTATAAGAAAATTAAAAAATCATCATCATTCCCTATTCTAGTACTTCTAATAATAATAATAATAATATTAATAATAATAATAATAATAATAATAATTTATACCCTGCCCATCTGGCTGGGTTTCCCCAGCCACTCCAACCAAATATTAAAAACAATACAGCGCCAGACATTAAAAATTTCCCTAAACAGGACCGCCTTCAGTTGTCTTTTAAAAGTAAAACAGTTGTTTATTGCCTTGACACCAGAGAAGGTAATATTGCCTTTCATCAGAAAAATGTTGGCAGGTATGAGGAAGTCTCCTACCCTACAAAGGTAATAGTTAACACTCGTTGCTCCACCCCTTTTGGCCACTGCCCCCACCTGCCAGTAGCATGTGGCCCTCAGAAGGTTGCCCAGAAAGGAATGCAGCCCTCAGGCTAGAAAATGTTCCCCACCTAGAGGGCTAGAGACATGGCAGGCATTTTGATGGGATTCTGCTGTTGATTTGAAGCAGACTCCCCTTGCCTCTCACAAGAGGACTGTCCTCCCTAAAGCAGGGCACATGGCCACCTCATTACAAATTAGAATCAAGCGCTTTGGGGCCAGTGACACAGACACATTTCCTCTGGATAAACGCCATCTCCTTTTCTGGTCCACATGAGCTCCGCTATCTTTGATTACTAATTCACTTGCTTGTAAGACTTTCATTGCGCAAATGATAACCGATACCAACACCATTGTTACTTAGCAACCTGAACAGTGCTTTGGATATTTCGTTTTTTTAAAAATAATGTTGTTGTTTTTTAAAAAACAAAAAACACCACAGCACTTAATCTATCATCTGTCTAATAAAAAGGACATATTATGAATCAAACATGAATCATCTGCTATAACCAGCTTGTAAACATTCGGTATTAATGATCCCTTTCATTCACAAGTGAATTCTGAAACGCCTGGAGTGTTGCACTACGGCAATCAATTTCCTCCTCACAAAGTGAGAGGGAAGACAGCCGTAGGGGGAAGAATTGGGGGCAGTAAAACACCAATAGCCACTTTTGCAGGGAGCCTGATCTGTGTAGCCTCAGGGGTGGGGAACCTTAGGCCCGAGTGGACCTTGGCCAGCCACACACCCTCTCCCCAGAAAACGCACCCCTCGAGTGGTTTTGCCTGGCTCGGATGTATTTCTGGAAACTCCGATAGTGTCTCTCTGGCTTGTCTGAATGGAGGATAATACAAAGATGATACTAATGTCATGCCTCCATTTGCCTCTGGTCCTGCTCATGATCCTGCATGGGAGTCCCCTATGGCTGCAGAGGGGACCATGGTCCTTGGGAGGAAAGAACTTCCCCATCCTTGCTGTAGCCTATAAGGGAGAGATAAGACCATTGACGCTTCTCCCACCCAACAGTTGCATTTGCAGAGGCAAATTCCTAGTTGTAGCCTGTCCAGTGGAGCAAAAAGATGTCACATCAGGTATGTTCCTCTTTTTAACTGACTATACATAGAACTGAGATATTTATGATGGATAGCTTGGTTGGTAAAGCATGAGACTCTTAATCTCAGGGTTGTGGGTTCAAGATTTCTGCACTGCAGGGGGTTGGACTAGATGACCCCTGTGGTCCCTCCAACTATACTATTTTATGTCAGCTGGAAGAGAAAAAACCCCTCACGAAGGCATGGTTGTCCCAACCATGTTGCTCTTAATTATTGGCTCCGTCTAAATTTAAATCTACCCAGTCTACTGCCCTTAGTGACACAAGACCCCATAAAAGTTCGTGGTTTAAAGTTGTGCACCAAAAACTCCTCTCCTGCGGACTCCACCCACATCAGCTTCTCATGACAGGCTTTATTAAAGCAAAAGGGCTAATTGGACAGCATCTGAAGGTCTTAGAGCAACAGAACAATCTGGCCCAACCATGTTGAAGCCTTCAAGCATGTGCAGCGTCAACAGATGGCTACCCATCTGCACAGGCATCCTGCATGGTGGAGCAGTGGCAGTGTTCACCTGACCTCCTGACAGACCATATGCTGCTTCCTTCCCATGAAGGAGAGGGGGAGGTCAGCGTGATGCTAAGGTGTCAGCAGGCATGCTAGATGGGTTCAACTGGTGTGTTTGCACTGCACTGCACCAACCTCCGTCCCCCCCTTAGCGTCAAGCAGCAGTGGCAGCAACCCCACGATCAGGTGAGCACCGCCATCCCAATATGGCCACCAATGCTGAGCTTGCCTGTGTTGGGGTCCACTGCAATCATGCAAACAGGACTGCATTTGTTTTAGTATGTTATCCTTAAGTACGTTTTGTTCTTAGGATGGAGAAGGGGAAGGGGCGTACAGAGTTTAAGTGAAACGACACAACACTACCAAAGGTTTGCAATGGTAAAATATTAAAACTGAAACCAAATTGAACAGCCTGGGAGGCGAAATCAGGTTTTATTGGCTGCCATTCTTGTAAAACCGAGGCAAAATATAATAAGGTGTTATCTCCAATAAGTTCCCCCCGCAACTGCCTCCAGTGAGGATGATGTTCTCCGTATCAAAATCCTGTTGGTTCATCGTCGCTGTTTTTTAAAAAAGCAACTGTGATATTCCATCTGGGATGGAACCCTAATGTAAACAAATGCCTTCCTCAGGTCCCAGGATTCAGTCCTGTTTAGGAGCTATGCTGGTCGAAAACGCCATGACTCTAGCACGACAGGAGCTCTTTTCGCCTCATGTCCGCCTCATCTTCTGCTTCTTGGCTTGCCTCTTCATGTCCTCAAGGCTCCCTGCGTCAGAACCTGCCTGCCCCAGCGTCCGCACCCCTTGGAGACGGCTGGTTAGCTGGAGCAGCAGGGGGATCAGCTGGAGAGGGGGCAGAAAAATGCAGATGACCATGATGGACCATTACAGCAACAATGGCATGATATAATCATTAAAGACAGGGTGAGGAAACCTCTTTTTTTTCTTCAGCCCAAGAGTCACATTTCCTGCTGAGCAGGGGATATGTGTCAGCAATGGGTGGGGACAAAGGCAAAAGTGGGTGGAGCAATTAATGTAAATTTTACCTTTGTTCAATAGACTACTGCTTCCAATGACAGCCCCTCTCTACCCTCCCATCTAGGCAAGTGAGGGGCATTAACAAACTTCAAGGACATATTCCAGCCAGGCAATGCCACTTTAGCATGGTGCCAAATGAGGCTGGTGAGGCGTATGACCTGGGGAAAGTGGGGGAGTGGTGGTCTGGGGAGAGTTCCCAAGCCCCAGACAGAGAAGTCTAGAGAGGTCACATTTGGCTCCTGAAAAGAGTAAAACTGCAGAACTACTTACACTTACACACAGAGAGACATTTTACCTTATCATGGTTGTAACCAGCTAACAGAAGCAGCAGCGTTAATGGCAGGGCGATGTAAGATCCTTGCGCAATATCCTGCTCAGGCAGCTTTCTCTGTAAACAAGTCAAAGGTGCGTGGCTGTTAGTTCCTACAGAACACTCTTAGTACGATTCGTCCCTTTGTTTAAAAAAATAAATTTTTAAAAAGGTATTGTGTAGCAGTTTTCCTCCCTCCCAAAGTGTGATTGCCCTTTCGAGTAACCTTTCCCAGTCTTTGGTCTGTCCATGTTTTTAGTCCTATAATCCCTGACCACTGGCCCTGCCACTTAGGGGTGATGGGAGCGGTAGTCCAACAACATCTGGGAACCAAAGGCTGGGAAAGGCTGCTTTGGAGTTTTGTTGCGGTTGCTCAATGGAAAGGTCAAGAAGTATGTGCTTGACAGCCGTTGCTCCTCTTCCCCTGAAATGCACACTTGCAGGGCAGTTGCTTAATTTCATCATCATCATTATCCATTTTGGAAAGCTGCTTGTTTGCTATGTATTGGGACACATCTTAAGATATTGTAACAAAATGTTGCATGATGCTTTCGGAGATCGAGGAGCAAGTTTTCATTTATTTTGGATATGATCGGATTTCATTTTGAATCCGCTGTTTTGAAACTTTTGGGTGGGGGGCAGCGGTTTCTTTGAATTGAACCAGGTACCTGGCTGTTAGATCACTTATAAAGCGCCAAAAATCTTCCCTTGGAAACAAAGCAAGACCCAACTTTATTGAGAGCTAGGAAAGCAGAAGAGCTGGAAATGAAAAGGGAACCCCAACAGAATTTTCCCTTGCACATTTGCAGAACAGGCTGGCCAGAAGATGCTTACCGTAGGATTGAAAACCAAGGTGATGTGTTTATGGTACCCGAGGGTGGTGAATGAAACTTGAGGCAAGGTGTAGTCGTATTGGGACCTGGAAAGTGTCGAGTCCAAAAGTACCACATAATTCTGCCAATGAAAGAACAAGAGGGAACTGCTAGCATTCAGTTTGGGGGGGTGTACCCAGCCATGAGGGGAAAGCAAACAGGTTGTGGTGAGAGTTGGCAAGGAGAGAAGGCCCCATTCTGCTGCTCCCCAAAACCTGGAGCCTGCATCGCTTGCATTCCCAACCTTGAGTTAATGGGCCAGCAAGATAAATACCACAATGCAAAGCTGAACAGGAGAACCACGATCTTCCAGTTTGTCTGTGCACTTGGCCCTAAGTCATGGGTCTTCAATCTGTCAGGATGCCCAGTTGGCTCCACAAAGCCATCCCAGCCGGGTCACGGTAAAGCTGTTGTTGCCAAATGGGACTCCGGCTACAGCTAACCAAACGAAAAAAGCACTCCCTGTGGCGTCTGGGCTAGACACATTCTTCTGATGAGAAACTCATTTCATCTATTTCTACGAGTGCTGCAAAGCGTCAAGAGACTTCTACAACCAGAAAGATATTTCTGGCTACTCCTACAGTAATGTGTGTAGCCAGGGAGTTCTCTACGGAGCAGGGATAGAAGCGTCCACTGAGGTGGGAAGCTTGGTTGTGTAGCATTTGCCATCTTGAGTCTTGTTTTTGGAAAAACCCCAAATCACTGGTTTTCAATAGCTTCTCCATTGTTTGGCTAGGGACAAGTGTAAAAGACATCTGGTTTTCATTTAGTAGCAAAGCTAGGGCAACACTACGGAAATGGCTCGGGGAACTGCCATTTGAGGATTAATAATGTGCCTTATTTACACTATTAGGTATAAATCAAAAGTGAGTATGTGAAAGTAGGCCCTGTGCTGTAGGCTTGGGAGTCAGAGGTGGGCCTTGGGTATGGACCAGTTGAAGACCACTGGGGTTGACAGTGCTGAGCTAGATGAACCAGTGGTCTGCCTCAATATAAAGCACTTTCTGATCTAATAATAATAATAATAATTTATTATTTATACCCTGCCCATCTGGCTGGGCTTCCCCAGCCACTCTGGGCGGCTTCCAAAAAAATATTAAAATACTTTAATACATCAAACATTAAAAGCTTCCCTAAACAGGGCTGCCTTCAGATGTCTTCTAAAAGTCTGGTAGTTGTTTATCTCTTTGACATCTGGTGGGAGGGCGGACCACAGGGAGGGCGCCACTACCGAGAAGGCCCTCTGCCTGGTTCCCTGTAACTTGGCTTCTCGTGCTCGGGGGTCGCATAACTAGGTAGAAAGAAGGAAAATAATACCTCTCTGTCCCGGAGCAATGGTGGAAAGTGGAAGAACAGAGACTGGCCTAGCGAGACGGTGTGGACTGGGTTGTCAAGGTTCTCACTTTTGTAAAGCTTCACCTGTGAGGGGAGAAGACAGAGAAAAAGGCATACAGCTTTTACTGGGATGGTTAAGATGGCGGCAATCTCATCCCCCTCCTCAGTTCTGTCTCTTCCCAAGGCCCTTTGGCTCTAACTGCAGAGTTGCCAACGTGGTACGCATGGGCACCAGGGCCCCTGCCAATACCTCTTCTGGTGCCCACAAAAGGCCCCAGAAAATATTCCCTCAAAAATTCACAATGCACAAGAATGAAGAGGGATTGCCTTTAATAAATCCATGCCCGGGGGGGGGGGGGGGTGTCACACTGAGGAATCTCAAAAACAACTGGAAAGAGGTGCACTCACCCATAAGGTAGGCAGATGCTCCGAGGAAGTGATCACGTTGCCACTTAGATCAAATTGGTTAATTTGGCGGAAAGCGATGATATTCACGTCCTCAATGTCATTGCTGCCAACCTACAATATGGAAGGTGGGGTGGGGGGGAAGGTTCCTTTAACACCGGCCAGATGGAAGGCTTCGGATTAAATATGCTGCTCATATCAGCTCTCTGATCAGCTCCCTCGGCCGTAAAAATGAACATTCACGCTGCATTTCAGGCACTGCTGAAAAATATGTCCTCCTTCGTGTATGGGGGGGGGGGGAGGCCATGCACAAATCAGCTTTTTTGGAGAAGAACCGGGTATGAGTTCCCTGAAATGTATTCCTCAGACTCAACTCCTAAAACCGAAATAAGGAATTAGGCAGCAATTGCCGGTGATTTCCCCACCTCTGATTCCATCACAAAAGGGCAGTGATTTAGAATGCTAAAGCGAAAGAATGATACTCCCTTAATGCTAGAACCCAGGAAGATAAACGATACGATTGTCTGTGATCATAAAATAGTAGTTGTTGACGCAGAACATGAAGTATAGAATTTGTTATTGCTGGACTTGGTGATTGTCACCAACGTGGATGTCTTTTAAAGGGCATTGATTCATGGAGAAGAGGCATACCAATGGCCGTTAGCCACAATGGCTACACAGGAAGCTGCCTTATCACAACTCAGCAGATTAGTCCACCTGGGACAGTCTTGTCCACATGGACTGACAGCAGGGTTTCACAGAGTGGGGTGTCTCCCAGCCCTACCTGAGATCCAACTTGGGACCTTCTTAGATGAGAAGAGCAACTGCTGGAACAGGCCAATCAGGTGCCTGCAGGAAGGCTGCAACCAAGATCTCAGTGCAACAGCGCTCTCCCTGCTTGTGATGCCCCACAGGTGGTATTCAGAGGCGCAGTGACTCTTGACAGTGGAGGCAGAACTTTCGTCACCATGGCTAGTGGATACCAGCAGGCTCAGCCTCCCTAAATCTGTCTAATCCTTTTCTAAAGTGATACGAATCGGTGGCTGTTCCTGCATCACGCGGGAGCGGATTTCAAAACTGCTGCAACGCACCTTGAGACAGCAGGGAGGAGAAGGATATAAACAGAACGTCGATTTCATCTCCCTCTGCCAGAATGGGTAATTTCTTAGACCAGAGGTCCCCCAACCTCTGCTCATGGGTTATGGGTGGAGAAGGGAGAATAAAATCCTCTTGCCCACTTTTGCCATGCATGATAAACCATTTTATAAACCTTGTGCCACTCTGGGCAACTTCCAACAAATATAAACGCCTAATAAAACATCAAACATTAAAAACTTCCGTATACAGAGCTGCCTTCCAAAAGTTGTATAGTTATTTATCTCTGATGCTCTGATCTATTCTGCCTGCCCTTATTCCTTACTCAGTGGGCCTCTGCAAATGACTAGCTTCCCAAACAGCGATTATAAATGGTCTGTATAATTCCTGATGTTTCTCCCTCTCTCTCTTTTTTTATGGTCTGAAAACTCTGCATGAAACTAAATAGACCGTGAATCCAGTAGTCCAAAAACTGTCTTGTTGTTTGACCAGGCTGAACAGAAGCCTCTTGCATGGAAAAACTGTTTGGATGCAGAAATACAGTCCTTCCTTGCTAGTGACCTGTGAAACCATCTCCCCCGCCCCTGTCCTTTGGTGCCCATTTAAGTTGGCTTCTGTGGAGTGGCCTTATTACGCCAGTTAAGTAGATGCTGGGAGATGATTCTGTCCATTGTAGCAAAAGCAGAGCCCCGAATTCACTCAGAGTCTAAGATCAGGCTTCCCCAACCTGGTGCCCTCCAGATGTTGGTGGACACTTGAGTGCATCCAGCCCAGCCAGTGTGGCCGATTGTCAGGGATGAGAATGGCTGGGAATCCAAAGTGATTTGGGTTGTAGGCACTAGGTTTTAACTTAAGAACTGAAATGACTGGACCTTAGTCATCTTTATTCCTTTCAATGGGTTTACATGGAATAGCTCTGGATACAACCCTTGGAAGTCATCCAGGCCCCATCCACATGGAACATTTAAAACAGTATCATAACACTTTAAACTGCTTTGGCTTCCCCGCAAAGAATCCTGGAAGTGTAGCTTGGGAAGAGTGCTGAGAGATGTTAGGAGATCTCCTATTCCCCTGACAAGAGTTAGAATTCCTGGAATAGTTTATCAATCCCTCTTCCCAGTGAACTGTGGTGTGATTCTGCTTTTAAATCACATATACTGTGCTGTTATGGGTAGCAGTATTCCCTTAACCCAGAAAAGCAGACCTTTGGTTCCAAGGGCAGCTTACCTCGATTGCAAAGTGCTGCGGAAGGGCTCTTTCGATGTGATCGTTGCCTTCAGCCTTCAGCTGGATGTGATACACACAGGCCGGCTTAAAAGAAAAAGGAAGAGGATCAATCCGAAGTGACATTTATTTAAACAATACCGTAAAGGGGGGAAACCCAACGATTCCAATTCTTAACAACCAATGACAGCCATCAGGTTTCTACCCAAAACATAACTGAAGAAACTCAAATTTCTCACGGCCATCCAGTGTTTTTGGGGAAGGGGCAGAGCACCTGCTTGGCAATCGGAAGGTTGTAGGTTCAATCCCTGGCATCTCCAAGTTGGGCTGGGAGAGGCAACTGCCATTATCCTGGCCATTGGAAATACTGGCTGGCTGGAGGCCCTAATTCTTCAAGGGATGAGACTGAGTGAATTGGTTGAAACTGAGCTCCACCCACACGACACATTTAAAGCACTAAGATACCACAGTCAGGGATCCACTTTCAGAATCCTGGAAACTGCAGTTTGCAAGTGTGAAGGGAGCTGTTGTTAGCAGAGCCCTATTCCCGCCCCCTCAGAGCTACAGTTCCCAGAGTTCACAGGGAAGAGGGAGTGACTGTCAAACCACTCTGGGAACTGTAGCTCTGTGAGGGGACAACTCTCAGCACCCTTAACAAACTACTACCCTTAACATAATACAGGCAACTCGGCCCTCCAGATGCTTTGGGACTACAACTCCCATGATCCCTAGCTAACAGGACCAGTGGTCAGGGATGGTGGGAATTGTAGTCCCAAAATATCCAGAGGGCCGAGTTTGGGGGTGCCTGACAAAATACTTTTGAGGGAAGCCATGGTAGCAGAGAATCAAAGTTTGAAGGGATCCTGAGGATCACCTCAGGGATATGCAGCTGCCCCATCTGGGATGCAAACCTGCAACCTTGGCGTTATCAGTACCATGCTCAAACCAACGGAGCTATCCAGGCCTGGATACTGCTTTGAACGCATAGTGCAGATGGAGTCTTAGCCAGGCACAAATCAAGTGGTCTAAAAATCAATCCCTCTTCCCAGGGAACTCTGGGAATGGTAGCTCTGTGAGGGAAGAAGGGGTCTCCTAACCACTCTCAGCACCCTTCAGAAAACTACAGTTCCCATGATTCTTTTGGGGGAAGCCATGGCTGCTTAAAGTGGTCTGATACTGCTTGGAATGAACAGTGGCGGCATTTTTTCGTCTCCGCCAAGCTAAGCAGTTGGCTCCTTACCTCTCTTGCCCTGACCTAGCCACTGTGATCCACACGACGGTCACCTCCAGACTGGATTATTGTAACTCACTCTACATGGGGCTGCCTTTGAGACTGACCCAGAAACTCCAGCGGGTGCAGAATGCCGCAGCGAAACTCCTTACGGGGTCTTCGCTGCGAGATCACATTCACCCGGTGCTATACCAGCTGCACTGGCTCCCGGTGGAGTGCAGGATCAGGTCCAAAGTGCTGGTTTTAACCTTTAAATCCCTATACAGCCTAGGACCCTCATACCTATGGGACCGCCTCTCCTGGTATGTCCCATGGAAGACCTTACGGTCTTCATCAAAAACATCCTGGAGGTCCCGGGCCACAGAGAGGTTAGGCTGGCCTCAACCAGGGCCAGGGCTTTTTCGGCTGTGGCTCCTATCTGGTGGAACGCTCTGTCACAAGAGACTAGGGCCCTGCGGGACTTGACATCTTTCCGCAGGGCCTGCAAGACAGAGCTGTTCCACCAGGCCTTTGGCCAAGGCACAGCCTGACTCCCTCCTTTGGTAATTCTTCACAGAACTCTAGCCCAATGGTTGCCATCAATTTGATTTGAACTGATTTTATAATGAATTGATTTTAGAATGCTATATTATTTTATTGTTGTTAGCCGCTCTGAGCCCAGTTTCGGCTGGGGAGGGTGGGATATAAATAATTTTTTTTTTTTTATTTTATTATTATTATTATTATTATTATCAGTGCAGATGCAGCCTTGGAGAGGCCAAGGATTGGACCTCCTGCATACAGGGCTGTGTGCTGTCAATTACTGGAAATCAAACATCAGCCCTCCAGGTTCACGCCTGTGCAGGTTCTTACCAGCAGCCCCCGCAGCCTGAACTTGCCCTCTTCATCCGTCACGGTGTCTTCTCCATACACTCCGCACTCTCCCTGCCCAACGGCTTCCACTGAAATGCCTTGCTCCGGTTCACCATTTAGAGAAGAAACGGTACCGTAGCAGCTGAATAAAAGAGAATGAAAGAGTGCTTAGTTTCCGTGGGGAGGAGGCTGGGAGGAACGCGAACTCTATGGGGGGGGGGGGAGAAACATTTGGCAGGGGAGGGAGGGAGTGGGGAGTTTGCAAGGGAGCTTGGGCATCTGTGCAGGCCATACGCAAAGCCTGCAGTCGACCCCATGCAAGGCAAAATTTGCCCAATGGCATTTTTAAAATAGAGGGGCATCTCACGTCTACCAACCTGTATGCCGTCCTGTAACCAACTATTGTGATCTTTAGGTTTTGCCCTTCCTGCACTTCGATCATTTGAGACGAGGGCTCAAAGCGGAATTCCTTCATCATGGGCTTGAAATAGTACTGCCCTGGGCTCTGCAAGAGGCATCAAACAAGGGGCCGTTATTTCACTCTAGTAATAAGAGGCGTGTTGCCTCTGAGCAGGAGGGGAGGCAGCGTAATTTAATGGCCTAGCGGTCTTTTTCGAAGAGCAGCTTATGCAGAAGCCGAGACAAAGCACCGCGGCACTTTCCCCCCCTTTGTCTTCTGGGCTTGCAGGAGACGATTCGCTTCCGGCCAAGCCTTATGAACTAAGCCCTGGGAGGACGCGCTGGGATTTCGAGATCAAAGCCAGCATGTAGCGAAAGAGAAATGTGTCCTTGCCTGGCTCCGGCAAGCGTTGAGTGCCCAGGAGATTAGAGGTTTATAGAACAGCAAGGCTAAAGACTGATCTTTCAAACTCCTACAAGCTATTTCATATACAGGAGTTCATTCAGACACTCACAGGGAACAAGCTCTCCCTCATCGCTCATGGGTACATCATCTATGAGGTACCGTATTTTTCGCTCTATAAGACGCACCAGACCACAAGACACACCTAGTTTTTGGAGGAGGAAAACAAGGGAAAAAAAATATTCTGAATCTCAGAAGCCAGAACTGCAAGAGGGATCGCTGCGCAGTGAAAGCAGCAATCCCTCTTGCTGTTCTGGCTTCTGGGATAGCTGCACAGCCTGCATTCGCTCCATAAGACGCACACACATTTCCCCTTACTTTTTAGGAGGGAAAAAGTGAGTCTTATAGAGCAAAAAATACGGTATATCTGTGAGGTTCGAATAATCTACCTGGCATAAGGCAGCTTCCTATAGGATGCAGGAAGCTAAGAAAGTGGATCGGACCATTAAGAACAAAAGAGCCTGCTGGATCAGGCCAATGACCCATCTGGTCCAGAATCCTATTCCCACAGATGCCTATGTGAAGTCCACAAGCAGGACCTCTCCCCTCTTCCAGCAACTGTTATTCAGAAGCATTTCTGCCTTCGACAGTGGAGGCAGAACACAGCCTGCTCCTCCAGGAATTTGTCTCATCCTCTTTCAAAAGCCACCCATGTTGGTGACCATCTCTGCCTTTCGTGGGAGCAAAGTCAACAGTTTGAATATGCGCCGAGTGATGAAGTCCTTTTTTTTTACCCGTTCAGAATCTTCTCAAGTCCAGTTTCACTGGACATCATTCCTGTGTTATGAGGGAGAAAAAACTTTTCTCCAGACGCTTTCTCTATGCTGTGCATAATTTCACACACTTCTATCCTGTCGCCCCTCACTTGCCTTTTCTCAAAACCAGTGGTTTTCAAGCTTTTTTTTTCCTGGGCCAGAATAAAAATTTGCTTGTACCACACCAAACTTTGTACTGATAAGGAATACGTTGCAAAACAAAAAGAAACAACTCCTGGCAGTGTGTGATTTATAACATACAACACAACTGCTTTATAACATAATCATGGGACATCCAGAACACACAAAGCAGTGCAACTACAGAAGAACACAAATCATTTCCAAAATATTATTATAAACAAGCCTCTTACATGTGTACCTTACATGGATACGAATTAAATGAGAGGGATGAGCTGGTCTGGCTTTTACCAGGTATATACCATTTATACTGGGTCTAATTTGAGACAAACAAACTCTCATCTCCCCATCAACACAAATAAGCTTTTCTCTTCCCTGATCCTTCATATTTGTCAGAGTTGAAAACTCTTGTTCACAAAAATGTGTCACCGAGAAATGTAGAAGAATAGACAAAGCTCTTGAAGAGAGGAAAGATACTATACTATACTACAACGACCCATTTGAATGTTTCTTTGATTGTCCTTGAATCTTCCTGCCTTGAATCTTCCTGAAGTCCTGTGTGATGTCAGCTGTCGGGAGCCAAGGACATAGGTACAAAGGAATGAGAGGGAGCCGTTCAGCACTGAAAGCAAACCCCACTGGGACTGACTGCACTAAGGAGTTCCCCACTGGAAACTCCCTGGTGCAGCCACAGAAGTCCCCGACACAGAGCCCCGCTTCATCCATCTGCAGGTGTGGTTTGGGTTCAAACCACACATGTAAGGACTTCAAAAGAGGCTCGCTTTGAAGCCACTTTAAGCCAGGCACAGGCAAACTCGGCCCTCCAGATGCTTTGGGACTACAACTCCCATCATCCCTAGCTAACAGGACCAGTGGTCAGGGATGGTGGGAATTGTGGTCCCAAAACATCTGGATGGCCAAGTTTGCCTATGCCTGCTTTAAGCTCTCATCAAAGTTGGCCCACAGGAGGTGGAGCACAGTTCCCTGGTCTATGTATAAATAATAACATCATCATCATCATCATCATCAGGCCTCTAATGATTTTTCAGAGAGCAGATCCAAAAGAACAGTTGTGGAAGTAACCCTACCAAGTTGGGGAAAGTCAGCATTCCGTTGTCCTGAGTCAGGAGGTTTGAGCGAAAGACGCCTCCACTGAGGGACAGGAGGACTCCTGCAAGGGGATGGTCATCTTCTGATTTAATCTGTTTAAAATGGAAAAAAGAAAAGCGATGCAATACCACGTACCCAATCAGCAGCTGAACAACACAGTTCAAAGAGCATAGGTGTGTTACCCTAAGATAAATGGAGAGCCACCAAGTGGAGAGATGTATTCACCTCTTTGGCAATGGCTGGGAGAAATCTTTGGCCTCCCATAAAATTTGGCACTGTGTGTGCCTCATTGTCCTCAAGCAACGTTTCCCCCTTCCGCCCTCTGCCCATGTAAATTCTCTAGAGAAGGAACAACTCTGCTGAGGTTCCAGAGGACACGGAGGACGTTACCTCAAAAGTGACTCCGGCAAGAGCGAAAGCTTTGAAGTCCCCAATGGTCCCTTCCACGGCACTCAACACAAAGCCTTCTTTCTGAGCGGTGACAGTGTATTCCAGATCACTGTGAAGAGGCCCCACGCTGCAAAAATAAAGGGACTGTAAGAACATAGGAGCCTGTTGGATCAATCCAAAGACCCACCTAGTCTGGCATCCTAGTCTTGGTATCCGTCCAGACACCTGTAGGAAACCGCCAAGCAGGACCAGAACACAAGAGTACAAGAGGGAAACAGTGGCATGGGCAGGAATTTACCAGCCACAACACTGTCCGAAGGCCTCTGGTTTAAAGGGAATCCCAAGGCAGTCAAATGATCACGGTAACCCTTTACAGAACTGGTCTATTTCTCCTACAAAGAGCCTCCGCTTCCAACTCTTTGCCCGGGGCCATATGTTCAAAAGCCCTGCTTTGCAGATCTGGGCAGGTTAACCCTAGAAGATGTCAGGTGGGATTTGGGGGGGACAGGGAATCTGCCCTTGTATGGGAATGACCTCCCTGCTCATCCTCTGAGAAGCAACAACAACAACAAACAGTCCTGAGGATCAAGGGACCCTTAGAAACTGTGCAAAAGGAGGACAACCAGCCAAACTGCAGACATGCTCTCTGGTAAGAGCAGATGTACCTGGAGTTGGCCTCTGGACCCAAACCCCTGGGAACTGGCCGTAAGGGCTTACCTGTATGAACCTTTGTCGTCTGTGAAAACCGTGATGAGTGGCGACGGCGCTCCCTTTTCGCTAATGACGATCTCGACACCCTCCAGCTCGGGATGGATTTGCCCTTCCAGGAACAAGCCTGCTTTGCCGTGTATTTCTATCAGTTTTCCGGGGCAGCTCTCTTAAATTGAGGAGGAGAAGGAAAAGAGAGAGGAAAGTTAGGGATTTATGGAAACTTTCTAACTCCCTCCCAGGAGGAGATCATTTCATCCTCTTATTATCTTCTGTGAGATGGTGAGCAGCTTTTTAAAATTATTTCTTTCTGTTTAGGAAGGCCTCTGAACCATAAATGGCCACATGCTTTTTCGATTATCATTGCCAAAGCTGAATTACTGTTACTTCTAACGGTTGCTGTATTTTGACCTTTTCCCTCTGATCTGCTAGATCAGGCCAAAGGTCCATCTCATAGAATCGGAAGGGACTTGCCTAGGGTCACCTAGAACCAACTCCCTGCATTGCAGGAATCACAGCTAGAGGATCCCTGGCAGATGGCCACCCAACTTCTGTTTAAAAGCCTCCAATGAAGGAGAGGAAGTCCATCCACTGTTGAAGAGTTCTTTCCAGCAGAAAATTCTTCCTAATGCTTATTTGGAATCTCCTTTCTCGCAACTTTAATCCACTGGTTCAGGTCCTGCTCTGTGGATGTCGCGAATTCTCCGCGGCGCTTTAGCAGAAACGCTCAGAGTTCCAGGTTCTTCAGTGAAGTGCAGTATATTTATTGTGAGCTATATATATACAAATATATACAATAATCTACAGGGACGCGGGTGGCGCTGTGGGTTAAACCACAGAGTCTAGGACTTGCCGATCAGAAGGTCGGTCGGCGGTTCAAATCACCGTGACGGGGTCAGCTCCCGTTGCTCGGTCCCTGCTCCTGCCAACCTAGCAGTTCGAAAGCACGTCAAAGTGCAAGTAGATAAATAGGTACCGCTCTGGCGGCATTTCCGTACGCTGCTCTGGTCTGCCAGAAGCGGCTTAGTCATGCTGGCCACATGATCCAGAAGCTGTATGCCGGCTCCCTTGGCCAGTAAAGCGAGATGAGCGCCGCAACCCCAGAGTCGGCCACGACTGGACCTAATGGTCAGGGGTCCCTTTACCTTTACCTTTACTTTATAATACACGAGTGGTTCATACAGTCAAACAGGGTACCTGGCTGCACCTTAAGGCAAATAGAACGACCTTTCTCTCTCTCTTACTGCTGGACAGGTTTCCCCTTTAAACCGATGACAGCCAATCAACTGACAGCACATTACTGCTGAGTCTTTCTGACTCAGCACTTCCATAGAAAGTTTTGCAGGCTGGTTGCATCAGCCAGTTGCCTCAGCTAGCAAACTCAAGCCTGCAGACTTACTATCCCACACAGAATTCTGTGAATTCCGACAGTGGAGAAGCAGGTCCACTGTCCTGTTCTCACAGTGGCCAAGCAGATGCCCCTGGGGAGCCAATGGAAGCCTGCTGTTTTAGTGTTTTATCTCTGCTTTGCTGCATTAACGGCACTGGCCCCTTCCTTTTACAGCCTCCTAGTCCAACACTCCCTGATTCAGCCGCTGTCCCAGGCTTAGTCGCTCGACCCGCGGGGCTGTGCAGATCCACCAGCAACTTCCCAGCGCTGAGCTACAGCCAAGATTTACCTCCACTGACAACCGTTTCTATTGAAGGCGGGTAGAAAAGGAGCTCTTTTGAGGATGGCGTCACTGTGATTTTCTCCCCAGACCTGGAAAAAGAACCATAAAAGAACATGGGAGCTGGAACTGTACGGTTGAGTCCAAACAGCTGTCTCAAGATGGACAATGCTAAAGGACGGGTAACCTTTCTCATCCTGAGGGTTGCATTCCCTCCTGGGCGGGGCCAGAAGGAAAAGGGGGTGGAGCAACAAACACAAATTTAAACTTTATGCAATAGCCTGGTTTTTGCACACGTTCAAACACCCCTCTCTGACCTCCATCCCAGAAAGCAAGAGGCACAATCAGAATTCAAGGGCAAATCCAGAAAGCCTGCCTGCCTTGGGAATGGGGCCACCACAAAAGAGGCGACGCCAAAGGGTGTCGTCCCTTTGGGGGTGACACTTCGGGAGGGAGGAATGAGGGCATGGACCTTGTGGTAAGGTTAATGTTTTTAAGGGGAACAGGGATGTTTCAAATGCTTCTTTGATTGCCGAGTGTATTTTTATAGGTCGTATACACTAGTATTGTTAATCGTTTTAATTATTTTTATTATGTATTTTGAGTTTTCTACATTGTAAGTTTATGTTGTCAGCCACCCCGAGACCTACAGCTACAAATAAAGTGGTATACAAATTTAATAAATAAATAAATAAAACACTTGGGTCAGGGAGGGGTGAGACCTAGCAAGAGTGCCAAGGGCCAAACAGACAGACCTGAAGCTCAACATTTGGCCCCTGAGGCCTGAGATTCCCAACCCCGTGTGCTGAAGCCTGAAGAGACAGCAGTTCAAACTTTCCTCAAAAGCTTCTATAACAACAAGAAAAAAGGACTTCTCTGGGCAGAAGACGAACGCACCTCGCCCAGTAGGAAAACTCGTAGTGGAACGGCCCTTGTAGTTCCTCCACCATTTCCTGTACTGGAGGCTCAGATCCTTCCTCTTCCAGGCCTTTCTTCTCCCTCTCCTGCCTGCGGGCCTCAATCTCGGCCAGCTGCTGCTCCCGACGCAGCTCCTGCTGAGATTTCAGGGGGCCAAGCACCAGGTCGGGTTCGCTATCGATCGAGGATCTGAGAAAACAAAACAAGAGAATGAATCATCTGAATGCAAAACTGGCAGGGGAAATGACCACCAAGGGGAAGATATGAAAGGGCCCCTTCATTTCGTTCATTGGGGGCATAAAACAGGAACAGGGAACCTGCAACCCTCCAAACGTTGCTGGACTACAGCTCCCATCATTTCTGACCACTGGACATGCAGGCTGTGGTCTACTGGATCTGTAGTCCGGAAACACCTGGCCATGGGTTCTCCATCACTGGGACAGAGGATCCTTTTGGATGGCCTGGGGCACGTTCAGGCTCAGCACCTGGCTGAGGCCCATTTCTGCCCAAGAGACTGGGTGGCTGCCAGCACTCCATAATATGCAGTACTGAGCTAGGCAGACCAGCAGTCTGATCCACAGCATACAATTTTAAAGCATTCTTATGCCATTTTCAACAGTCATGGAGAATCCCCAGGACTTTAACAAAGTACAGCTCCCAGGATTCTCCACAATGGTTTACAGTTGCGTAAGAATGCTTCAAATGCATAGTGTGGGTGTGGCCTAGGATATCTCCCTTAATATTCCTATAGCTTCTGAGATGCCTCGGTTCTCAAACTTAATCCGTTCTGGGAGTCCGTTCAACTCCCCAAACTGTTCGAAAACCAAGGCGTGGCTTCCGATTGACGCAGGAGCTTCCTGCACTCAAGCAGAAGCAACAGAGGATGTTCAGCTTCCAAAAAACGTTCACAAACCGGAACACTTACTTCCGAGTTTGCGGCGTTTGGGAGCCAATTTGTTCAGCAACTAAGCCATTTGAGAACCAAGGTACAACTGTAGTTCACAAGTTGTGCAAGGTTGAAGCGCATGATGACTACCACCCTCAAAGAGGGCACTCTAGCGCTGTAGGCCCTGAAATATGAAACAGTCATTGTGCTCTCTAGAGCAGTAGAGTCTTAGAATCATAGAACTATACAGTTGGAAGGGACCATCAGGGTCATCTAGTCCAACCCCCTGCAATGCAGGAATCTTTTTTGCCCAACATGGGGCTTAAACCCACGGCCCTGAGATTAAGAGTCTCAGGGCGCCACTTCTAACCCAAACACACATTTGGGGATCCATTTCCTGCTCTTGCCATATATCCGCATGTGGTAGGTTGTGCTCTGTATACTAGGCTGGGACCCACCAGTTGAAGACTAGTGCTTTAGAGCTCCGTCATGAACAGACAGTGGGCATATCCTTTCAAGCTCTAGAAACATTAGGCGCACAACTGTTTCAACTCAGGGATGTCCCATAGAATAAAGGATACGTGGACCTTTTGGAAACTTCTACACGTGTAAAAAGAAATACCCTTCTCCTAAGCATCTGCAACCCACTAGCCACACAAGACAACAAACGTTTGTTAAAACTTGGTAATTCAAGGGTAGTCTTTGCAACCCCAAAGTTCTTACTTTATGGTAACCATCACATCCATCAATTTATCGGCTGTTATAGTTCCAAGGACGTGGTGACGGATCGCAGTCAGCGTCAGTATACTCGGAGCAGACCTGGAACCAAAAAGAGGGAGAGGGCACTTAAAATCGATCCCAACAACCACCTTTTGCTTTCCATTCCACTCTATGAAAGGGATAGGATTTTCAGCCATTTGCATTTGGCTTTGGGTTGTAAAACGGTTGAGGTTTACTTAAAGACTCTCATGCATAGCTGGGTCAACTTATAACTATTCTAAGTTCACTCCCATCTTTGTGATATAGCAGCCTCTGGAGGTGGAAAGATGGCCACAATCTATGGCTTGTCATTTAAGATATCACAACAACCTCTAAATGGCTCAGCACCACCTCTCCCCTTATAAACCAACCTGGGTTCTGCAATCAGAGGCCCTTCTTCATGTGTCTCCTCCATGAGAGGTCCAGAGGGTGACAACATGAGAACAGGCCTTTTAATGCAGTGGCCCTGTTTGTGGAATGCTCTCTTCAGGGAGGTTCACCTGGTGCCTTCATTCCATATCTTTAGGAACTAGGCGAAAATATTCCTCTTCAACCAAGGCTTTGGGACAATTAATCTTCGACAGATTTTTAAATGTGTTTATGGGAAGGAGTGGTATTGTTTCGTTGTTTTCATTTCAACTATTTATTTGTGCTTTTACCGTCTATTTTTTTTCTTGTGACCTGCCCTGAGATCTTATAATGAAGCGTGGTATAGAAGTCGAAGAAGGAAAATTTCCACAAGTGTGTTGTGGTGCAATGTCTGAACTGGGGTCACAGGAAGAGAGATTCATTAATGCAAACCGCAGGGGTGAGCAGAACCCATTTGGGGACCACACTGACGAACATCCCTCTAATCATATTGGCTAAACATTCCCTCTAGTGCCAATCATGTCACTGTCTTATATGCCTTGTTTTAATCTTTTACAGTGGAAGTTTTCAGAGAAATCAACCTGTCAAATATGACAATTTGAAATGGCATATTTATAAAGCATGTTCCTAGGATCTTTCCCTCCCCCCGAAAAAAGTGGATGAGTTTACCCATGTGTGGGCTACATGAATATTGGTCTGATCAACATTCTTAAAAGTCAGTGTAATGTACTCCCTCTACTGGTGGCAAAAAAGAAAAGCTGCCATCAAATTAAGATTACAGGTGAAGCTGTAATGGTCTTTTCCTGACAACCCTCTCCAGGCTGCGGTCATCCCTGCTGCTTGCGCACCTTTTTCTTCCACACTTTTCCCTTCCGCATAACTTTCCATTAATGTGCTTTGAAACAGCACTTTGGGAACATCCAACTTCTTCTGCAATTACCTTTTGCGGCTTTCCCCTCCTTATGGAGGGTCTCAATGATAGCTTTCTGCACAACTGTCAGGTCAGCAGCCCTCCCCATGATTGTGCTTCCTACTGAACCAGACTGAGAGACCATTTAAAGGCTCAGGAACCCATTGCAGGTGTTATGGATTGAATAGCTACTGCACCTTTTCACAATAATCTAATTTTCTGAGATTGTTAATTTGGGGTTTTCATCAGCTGTATGCCATAATCATCACAATTATAACAAATAAAGGCTTGCCATACCTTGTGTTGCATGTCATGAGTCTATCTCATATATTAGTTTTACCTTTAAGTTCAATTACTGAAATAAATGAACTTTTCCACGATATTCTAATTTTTTGAGTTTCACCTGTACATTTAAATAACATTTAAGTGGCCTTTAGATGCTCTAGCAGTGGCATGAGAGCTACTTGCCCACACGACACAGTGCTGCTATAACACAGACTCATAGAACTGTAGAGTTAGAAGGGACCCTGAGGGTCATCTAGTCCAACCCCCCGCAATGCAGGAATCTCAACTTAAACCATCCACGACATATGGCCATCCAACCCCTGCTTAGAAATCTCCCACGGAAGGAGAGTCTACCACGTCTCGTGGGAGTCTGTTTCGCTGTCAAACAGCTCTTAGTGTCAGAAAGTTCTTCCTGATGTTTCATCAGAATCTCCTTTTTCGTAAGCTGAATCCATCGGTTCGGGTCTTAGCCTCTGGAGAAGGAGAAAACAAGCTTGCTCCATCCTCCATGTGACAGCCCTTGGGCCATTTGAAAACAGCTATCATAATGTGGCATGACCTACAATTTGGATCTCACTGCCTACTGACATCAGGCAGGCAAGTAGGACCAAGCTTGGCCTGCGGGCCAAAAGTTCCCCACCACTGCTATAGACAATACTGCACTGAATGACCTGACTTTAACAAGGCAGCTTCCTAGACTCCAAACAGCCAGCTCTTTAGCATGCAAGTGTCACCCAGCTAGGATCAAGGAAGACTGTCAGGTGCTAAGGACCTGCTTGCCTGGCTCCAACCAGGCAGTTAAGTGCTCATTCTTTAAAGAGCACGACAGCCGCACTGTGCGATGAACCCATGAAAAAGCGGCTCCACCACAGCTTCTAGAGGCCCCGGAAACAGCTTCACATATGTGAAGCCTCCTTCTAGTTTATCACATTTATCCATTGCAAATATTGCCGGTGAACACTTCCGCAAAGGTTACCAGCCAGCTGCTACTTCATGCTTACGTATCATAGGTGTAGTATTCGTGCTCAAAACGGTGGCAGGAACGGGGGGTGACTTCGTACACACCTGAAAATATCAAAGCGAGACACAGTTGCAATCCTGATTTCAGATTCTGAAGGTTCCCATACTTCAAAACTGTATCACGCTAGCCTTTTCGTCAGCTCCTGAACCTGCCTCGCTTGAAGCATTTTGCTGGCAACCTGAAACCTGCTGCCTAAACAAGAGGCTTGCCTAACCGAAGTTACAACCTCACTAATTCTCTATCTGAGTGCAGATTGCATAGGTAGATAGGCACTCCTCCTACATTCCATGGCCTCCCACCTGGTGCGCCCCCTACAGGACTGGTGAGGAATTCCAGGATGCACTTGGCTCCTCAAACTCAGGAGAAGGCACCCCAGGAAGGTTCTGGTTCTTGGTCTACTCCAACCTCAAAATAACAACCCTGCAAGGGAGCCTAGCCCAAAACAGCGATTGGCCAACAGTCATCCTGTGAACTTGGGGTTTCCCAGTCAATGTCCAACACGCTAACCATCTTTTGCAGCTTACCTGCCTATGGCTATCTGTTGATCCTACAATGTTGGATATTAGGCTAGGCGCTCCTGCTCTTTGGAGAATGGGGTAAACCAATGCACCTTCCTGTATTTGTGGACTCACCTTGCAGTGGGGTGCAGCTTTGGGGGCAGTTATGGGAGCTGCACTTCAAAATTTACCACTATCTGTTGGGAACTCACGCACAAACACATACACACAAGACCATTCATTTCCAACGAGACACTTACCCGGCTTGGAGAGGCAGAATCTGTTCACGCCTTTGGACAGGTTATAAATGCCAACATTCTCAGGTCCATTTCCATCCTGATAAAACTCCTGATGACAAAAAATCCAAAAAGTCTATTAGCAGGTATTGAATCCCAATCTTTGAAGTTTCCAAGTCAGTTTTCAAACAACTACAGCAGTTTTCAATTCTGCCTCCAAAATTAAGTGGGAAAGGCAGTAAAGGCAAAGGACCCCTGGACAGTTAAGTCCAGTCAAAGGTGACTATGGGGTTGTGGCGCTCATCTCGCTTTCAGGCTGAGGGAGTCGGCGTTTGTCCACAGACAGCTTTCTGGGTCACGTGGCCAGCATGACTAAACCGCTTCTGGCACAATGGAACACCTTGATGGAAACCAGAGTATACAGAAATGCCGTCTACCTTCCCACAGCAGCAGTACCTATTTATCTACTTTCAAACTACAGTGGTACCTCCGGTTAAGTACTTAATTCATTCTGGAGGTCCGTTCTTAACCTGAAACTGTTCTTAACCTGAAGCACCACTTTAGCTAATGGGGCCTCCTGCTGCCGCTGCACTGCCAGAGCACGATTTCTGTTCTCATCCTGAGGTAAAGTTCTTAACCCGAGGTACTATTTCTGGGTTAGCGGAGTATGTAACCTGAAGTGTATGTAACCTGAAGTGTATGTAACCTGAAGCGTATGTAACCCGAGGTACCACTGTACTAGGTTGGCAGGAGCTGAGACAGAGCAATGGGAGCTTACCCCATCGTGGGGATTCAAACCGCCGACTTTCTGATCTGCAAGCCCAAGAGGCTCAGTGGTTTAGGCCACAGCGCAACCAGCATCCCCCCCAGCAGTATAGAAATATATTACTTAAATCATTAATTTGATACTTATGGGCAGCGGCCAGGTTGGTGATTACCAGATTTTGGAAAGGACTGGAATGGACTGGAAGGAGCAACTCTTATGGTCAATACTGAGTCTGACTGTCTATAAGGCAGTTGCCTATGATTATATATTGTGGGGCAGTTCAGGCCAAAGAGAACGCATATAAGCTGTGATCTCACCAAAGTGATCGCATGGGAAAGAGAACAGCGCAGCATATAGCCGGTCTGGCGGAACTCAATCCCTGACGCATCTTCTTCCAAAACCTCAAGTTCCAAGGATTTATTCTTCCAGCACCAGTCTTCACGGATGATGCTCACTTAAAAGAGAAAAGACAGACCAGTAAGGGGGAGGTGTCACGCCTGATGCTTAAAACGCAAGCAGTTAGACAAGCACAGAAGTCATCCGAACATTTTGTAAGCATTAGCGTTTAAAAATAAGTCCGGATATGGAAGAACTGGGCATATTCAGCCAACGTGGCGCCCTCCAGATGTGGCAGGAACAGCCATTCCCATCATCCCTGACCATTGGCCATGCTGGCTGGGGCTGATGGGAGCTGGAGCCCATAAAAAATGGAGGGCACCACGTTGGCTAGCCCTGTTTGAAAAGGAAGTCTGCAAGACGTAAGGAACTTATGTGCTTTCACCTGTGCATTCCCCACATTTCTCTCTCTCTCTCTCTCTTTGGAATAAGAAGTACACAACAGGGATTGTACACATCAGACACAGAAACTAGGAGAAACTTCAGCGTGCAAGAGAACATGGGAACGTTTCTTTTTAATAGAGTATTTCCTTCTGTTGTTTTTATAAGCAATTGTATTAAAATGATTTTTTGGGGGAAAATAACATTATGCTGCCCGGTTAAGGCATCTTTTTAAACGATTAACAGTGTGGTGGCAGTGGTTTATTTATTTAATGGCATCTAGCATATTAAATTGAATAAACACTGAAGGCTGAACTTCAGTGGAGACATATCTTGTCCAAAACGTGGGGCATTGTTTAGGGATTTTTGTTGGGGTCAAGAATAAATTTTGGGAGATTTTAATTCTGCTGTCCTATTGATATTATTTTTTCACAGCTTTGTTTTTAGTTCTTATGTCTTACGTGGAGGTGGTTTAGTTTTGTTGTGTACATTTTGACATGCTTTTATTTATGGCTTATGACTGCTGTTATATATTTTTTAAATTATGAAATAAATGTTTTCATGTTGGAAGCTGCCTTGAGCATGGTTTTAACTCTGGAAAGGCAGCACAGAAATAAATGATGATGATGAAAAGTGGACCATAAATATGAATGAGTAGCAAATTCTGGCACAATTTGAAACAGTGAAAAGGCAATAAACACCCCTGTGCAACCAGACTCCCTCTCTCCACATGCCCTCTCTTGGCCCCCCCAAAATCTGCTCCAGAGGTTTTTGGGGTAATTAGGGAAGGCACGTAAGAAGATTAAGTTCCATTACACAGGTGGAAATCTTTGCACTAGCAGACGACTTTGCCGCATACAAACTAGAAGCACTGCATTGTCCTTACTTTTATACTTTCCAGGAAGCACATTTTCAAACAAGAAAGTCACTGAGTTAGACTTTGCTGCAAGTTGAAGGCTACGCTTCTCCCCCTGCCGGTTCACAGACTGGAGTGTCACTGTCAATTCGCCACAAGCATCTGGGGGAAGACAAAAAGAGGGAAATGTGCAGATTTCAGATTGCCATGTTTAGTCAGCAGCCTCCTTAGGACTTTTGGGAGGGGGTGTGTGTGTCAGAGATTCCTAGAAATGGGAGCGGGGGATAGAGCCTTGATTCAGATGTTAGCCTCTTGATGAGAGACAGCACTCATTTGAGAACAAACCTGGATCTACCAGCAAGCAGACACTCAACAAGAATTTGCAGCCAATCACATGGTTGCATCCAGCAAAGTTCTCCTCCGAAATCGGCTATTCCCACCAGATTATATGAGCAACCTAAGTCAACTATTTCCACCCGTCAGTGCAAATCTTACCCAAACAAGTGACTTTCCCCGAAATGGAGGCCAGAAACTGTGAGAAAGTCACGTCCAGCACCGGTTTGGAGGCAACCGTCACAGGAAATATCTTGGGTTTCAAAGCAAGGCCAGCTCTGGCTTCTGCCTCGGGAACAATCACCTACAGCAAAGAAAATGACGCTGAGAATTACTTCCTTGTGTGAAATGGAGCAAGACAGATAAAAGACAACAGCTGCACCCCATTCGCTGAGCAGCAAAGGAGCAAGAAACTGGAAATATGCAAGGAGGTCACTGAGTATGCTTGCCAAGGCTGATGGGAGTTGTAGGCCGCACTTCCCTCAGGCCGACCTTCTGGGGCTCACATACCAGTGGTGGGTGGAGCAATGAATGTCAATTTTCCCTTTGTGCAATAGCCTAGTTCAGAGTTTCCCAAACTTGGGTCTCCGGCTGTTTTTGGACTACGACTCCCATCATCCCTGGCTAGCAGGACCAGGGGTCAGAGATGATGGGAACTGTAGCCCCAAAACAGCCGGAGACCCAAGTTTAGGAAACCCTGATCTATTTTCTACACACCCACACCCACTCCTTTGCCCTCCAAGAGGCAAGAGAGAAGCATTATCAGCGTTCAAGGACACATTCCAGCCAGGGAAAAACTGGGGGTACAAAGCAGGGAGAGTAAAGGGTTCCAAGAGCCAGGTAGAGAAGACTTGAGGGCCACATGTGGTCCCTGGGCCTAAGGTCTCCCACTGCTTTGAGAAACAGAAATCTGCTCCCAGGCTTCCAGATTTGATTGCTTTTACGAGTTATTTCTTTTCTTAAGAGGTACTAGTTATTCTGACCTGGATGACATAGGCACCCGATTTTGCCTTGAAGCAGAAAGCACCGCGAGTGTCCGTTTCCGTAGTAACCATCAAGGTTTTGTCCTTGTCTTGAGGCAACATCGTCACCTTGTATTTGTTGATCTGCTTGATAGAGTCAGGAAAGCGGGTTACTGATATCTGGCCACAGACACTGAACCTATTGGGGAAAGAAGGGCATTGCCAATGGTCAGGAACAATTGGAATTGTCAGGAAATCTAAAAGGCCCCAGGGTTCCCAACTCCGATATAACGACACCATTGTTGTTGTTGACAATTATACACTGTACCGCCTTTAACTTCCAAGGATCTCAAGGCAGACGGTTCTCCTCCTCCCCATTTCACCCTCACAACAACCCTGTGAGGTAGGTTGGTCCGAGAGCGAAGTGACTGGCCCAAGGAGAGCTTCATGGCTGACTGGGGACTCAAACCCTGGCCTCCCAGGTCCGAGTCCAACACTCTAGCCATTACACCACACTTGCTCCAGTGTTGGATAGAGTGTTGGATCAGGACCTGGGAAAGCAGAGTTCAAAGCTATGAAGTTCACCGGGTAGCCTTTAGCCAGTCACTTATTCTCTGCCTAAGCTACCTCAAAGGGTTCCTGTGAGGATAAAACGGGGAGAACTCTGTAGGCCACCATGAATGGCTTGGAGGAAATGTCATTCATTCATTCATTCAAAGTCTCTAAGGTCTCTAAGGAGTCTCTAAGGTGCTACTGGACAATTTTTTTTATTTATTTCGACTGCGTCAGACCAACATGGCTACCTACCTGAATCTAGATTCATTCATTCATAAATAAATAAGCAAGCCGCACCATTGGTCCATCTTGCTGAGGATTGTCTACTCTGACTGGTAGCAACTCTACAGGAGGTCAGAAGATCTTCCCTAGGCCTACCTGGAGATGCTGGGGCTGGAACTGGGGACCTCCTGCACGTGAGGCAGCTGCTCTGCCACTGAGTTACAACCCCTCCCTGGTGTATGGTAGTGTCCTGTGCTCCTATCCCAAGGCCTCTTGGCTCTGCTCTGAAAAACCCCAAGCCCGCCCTTGCTGTCTTGCTCGGCTTCCTACTCAGACACTCACTCTGTTGTGATGATGTCGGCCAGCTGGGGAGTATTGGGGGCAATTTTCACCGTAATGGTATCGAAGAAGAGGTGCTCTTTCTGGGCTTGAATGGTATATGTTCCGGTGGTTATGTTTTCAAGTCGGAAAGAGCCGTCAGACTTGGTAGTAACTGTGGACAAATTAAAAATGGACAGATTGTGTTTGAATTCAGCTCGGCCAAAAGCATCAAATAGGTAGGACGCCAGAGCAAAAGAAGAAGCACATACCTTTAATCTGGTTATTCAGCGTCACAGTAGCATCTGAAACGCCTTCCCCTTCTGGGCTGTTCAAAACCCTCCCTGTGACTGAGAAGCCCATGACATGGAAAATGGGCTGAAAGGGAGGAAGTAGGAGAGATCAACGGCTGAATAACAAAATTTTTATTTTTATTAGATTCAGGTAGGTAGCCATGTTGGTCTGATGCAGTAGAAATATATTTAAAAAATTGTCCAGTGGCACCTTAGAGACCAACTAAGTTTGTTCTTGGTGCACACGAAAGCTCATACCAAGAACAAACTTAGTTGGTCTCTAAGGTGCCACTGGACAATTTTTCAATTTTTTAAAAATATATTTTTATTATTATTTAAAGATTTTATTGAGGTAAATCAAATCAATACAATAAAAATAACAGAAGTACTGTATATCTGAGAAGGATTTAGCATTAGGTTTGTAAAGTACTTAAAACCATTAGGAAAACAAAAATTATACATTATACTACGGAGAGGGAGTCCCGTGTGTCCATTTTTTCGTACATAAGATAAAATCCCACCAAACAGCACAGAATCTTTCAGGGTCCTCCAAGCCTTTGGAAACACGTGATTGAGAAGTTATTTTTTCAGCTAATGCTAAACTGTACATATTCTTATACCAAAGCAAAAGTCGCAAATCCTACAAGGTTCTCCACTGGGGGGGCAACTGAGGTTCTGGCAATTGCCAGCATCCTCATCAAGAGTTTCTGAGAGCTGAAACTTTCCAATTGATCATCCCATAGATTCAGTTTTTTTAAAAAAAAAGCTGCAGGGAAGTTGGAATGGGATGTTTGAGTATTTTGGTCATTTCTTGACAAACCACTATCCGGAATTTGAATGCCAATGAGTAGTTTTACCACGGGTGAAAAAGGGTGGAATTAGAATGCATCATACTGGAACTGTTTTTCCTCCCTCCTACCCCATTTGAAATAGTTCTGAATTGCTGGATTATTTCAGGTTAAGATACATCCATCCGTACGATGTGCGTTACCTAAATTTATCCAAAGTGCAAAAAGGGTAATTCGAGAAGAGCTCACCTCAATTTTCAAACTGTCATGCTCCACCGTAAAGTCCAATCTAGATGGAGCAACATCAAACATAATTCTCTCGCCTCGGTAAAAGGGGACCTGAGAAGAATGCAGAGCCCCAGGTTAAGCAACGTGTTTCTCCAAAAGACAAATCTAGACAAAATCCAATCCATCACAGTGGGAGGTGTTTCTCTAGCAATGGTGACTGTTGAATCTAGGGGCCCTCCAGGCAATCGGCTGCATCCAACGTTAGCCATAACCAGAGTAAAGAAATTAACGGGCATGATGAGCTTAGGCCATTCATTTCAATGAGTATACTCTGAGTAATACTTAGTTGGATACAGCCCAATGTAATAATATGTATCAACCTGAAGGGGGAGAGGGACGCGGGTGGCACTGTGGGTTAAACCACAGAGCCTAGGACTTGCCGATCAGAAGGTCGGCGGTTCGAATCCCCGCGACGGGGTGAGCTCCCGTTTTTCGGTCCCTGCTCCTGCCAACCTAGCAGTTCGAAAGCACGCCGAAGTGCAAGTAGATAAATAGGTACCGCTCTGGCGGGAAGCTAAACGGCGTTTCCGTGCGCTGCTCTGGTTCGCCAGAAGCGGCTTAGTCATGCTGGCCACATGACCCAGAAGCTGTACGCCGGCTCCCTCGGCCAATAAAGCGAGATGAGCGCCGCAACCCCAGAGTCGGCCACGACTAGACCTAATGGTCAGGGGTCCCTTTACCTTTACCTTAAGGGGGAGCACCATGTACATCTTGAGCTCACGGGAGAAAAAGTTGGATATAAATGCAACAAATAAATCTGTCGCTCTCTCTCTCACACACATACAAAATATGTTTGGAAAAAGTTTATTTTATTTTTTTCAAGCCTACTTGCTGTTTGCAGTGGGGAGATGAGGGGGTGTGTGTGGCTGCAGAGTGCAAGTGTTGTTGTCAACACACACACACCAGTTTCTATGACCTCCAACTGCACCCATGGGCCCCAAGAAGGCGGATGACCCCTGCTTGTAGCCTTCACTTTTGAGGAAATCATTATTCAGAAAGGCCGGGGAGCTCTCTCATTACTCACCACAGTGTATTTCCCACTCGGCAAAGACAGAAAAGTAAATGAGCCGTCCTCTTTGGAGATGACATTGCACAGATAGGCGAGAGAATCATCCCTGGCAGGAAAGCCGTCAACTGGAGAGGTGCTGCAGCCCATGATGTCCTGTACAAAAGAAGGCAGACAATCCTCTATACCGAGAACAAGGAACCCCAAGAAGCACAGAATTTCCCAATGCATAAATGGGAGCTCTGTGGCTGCCAAAGCTTCCCCATTCATCTGGAGAGGCACTCACACGATGATATTTCCTCTTCATGTAAACAAACAGGGAATTTGGCTCACTGAGCAGCAGACAAAGCAGATGCTTCATATGCAAAAACCAGGACTGTGCACATGGAACTCAGGTACAGAATCGCTCCCTCCCCTTCCCAAGACGCAAGAGAAACTCACACCGCCCATCGTCTAATTACTTTGGAGCATTGGCCGTTCCCCACAAACCAGATGGATGGGAGCAGTGTTCAAGCTTGGATCCCTAGAAGTTGTTGGCATACTTCTCCTACCATCCCTTATGGTTGGTAAAACTTTAGAAATGTGGTCCTCCATCTGTACTCTGAAGGCACCATCTGTTTCAGCTTTTAAATACCTATTGAAAACTTTTCAATTCTGTAAGATTTATGCAGGCAAGTAAGAATACCTCTTTCCATAAAGGTTAGCTGATTTCTAATTTTAACTTTATTAATAGGGATTTTATTGTATGGAAGTGTTTTGGCTTTTTTGCGTTTTAATGGAGATACAGTGGTACCTCGGATTAAGAACGTAATTCGTTCTGGAGGTCTGTTCTTAACCTGAAACTGTTCTTAACCTGAAGCACCACTTTAGCTAATGGGGCCTCCCGCTGCCGCTGTGCCGCCGCCGCCGCACAATTTCTGTTCTCATCCTGAAGCAAAGTTCTTAACCCGAGGTAATATTTCTGGGTTAGCGGAGTCTGTAACCTGAAGAGTATATAACCTGAAGCGTATGTAACCCGAGGTACCACTGTATATAAATACTTTTTATGAATAAAATGAATTAAGCGACACAGTCCCTTTCTTCCACAGCCTGACTCTACCACTATCTCATTCTGTGAAGACCAGGCTCATTTAAGTGCAGTTAGGCACATTTGTCAAAAACAGTACGAGGGGGTAAAAAAACAAGACCAATATCACATCTCCACAGATGTCAAAAACATTCCGAGTTGTATCCAATGTTAGTCCTACTCAAGGTAAACCCATTGAAATTAATGGGAATGACTAACTTGGGTTCATTAGTTTCAATAGGTCTACGGGAGGGGTGGATAGTTGGCTACAACCCTCTCTTTTGCATGATGTACAACTGACCTCCTTGGTTACTGACGACGAGAAAAGGAGGAACATGACCCCTTTCATGGGCTCCCCATCACTCCGGACGGATCCTGAAACGTTGTAACCAGCAACAACGAGAGGGCCAGAGGCATAAGCATTGGAATTGGTCACTCTTACAGTTGTGCTGGCCTGAAATATAGAAAAATGTGAACGGTTGGTCTCACAATTCCACAAAAAGAGTTAACATACACTTTTGGAGGCTTTTTTTTTGTAATTTCTGTAAGTATAAAACCATTTTGACCATTGAAAGATCCTTCTTGTTCTGAGAAAGTCAGAGCCTTAAAGTCACTTCACCAGCGTATGGGGCAGATTTGTGTGCAAGCTCGACGCTTCCATTTACAGCAGCACTCACCTCTTTCAGCATCCAGGTTGGATGGGAAGCAAAGATTTCGTATTCCCCAGGAAGGACTTTGAAAAAGGCATACCTGTAGAAAAGGAAAGCTGGTTCACAAACAGAATAGCTCTGGCTAACAGTGTGTGCCGTACGATGATGATATTTGTACCCCACCCACCATGTGCTTCACCACTGAGCTATGGTCCCGTCCTTCTTTTTCAAACAATCCCTGCCAGACTGTAAGAGAGGAATCGGAAGCAAAACCTTTCACGCAGTCGCTCAGGCCCTACATATTTAACTGTCCAAAAACCACCTCTGGTATACAAGCAACACACTCTATTTATGTAGGCATTACCTTGCTCTCCCAGCCAGATTCTTCTCTTTTAGTTACTGTGCTGTTTTTAACGGGGTTGTTTTATTGCGCATGCTATTTATGGATTTCTGTATTTTAACACTTGCGCAGTTGGATTTTTATGCTCGTAAATTGCTTTTATACTCGTGAGCCCTAAGTGCTGTATGTAAATAACCTATACTCTGTAAACTAATGCTCCACATATGCAATCCCACTGGCACAATGGGACTGCCATTTCCTCTCCTCCCACCTGTGTGCTCCCCAAAGATGCTCCAGGGAGCCCCTCAACTCTCCAGAGTTTATTTTGAGGGTGGGCGTGGCAGGGTGGGCTGGAGAGGAAGTGGAAAAACTGCTGCACACCCAAAAATCTGCTGCGCCACTGAAGCTACAGCATGAGATACAGCCCTGCGGCAACAAGTCAGACTCACTTTCCGCCCGGCTGAGTGGTCGTGGCTTGTATGCTCGCCTCCGAACCCGGATTCCGCAGTGCAACAAGAACCCCGGCAGGACCCAGTGTCTGACCTTTGCTGAGAACCTGGAAAGAAGGGGACAGAGCAGCTCTTCAGCTTGCAGGGAAGAAAGCACAGAGAACCTGCTTCCCCATCACCTCCTCCAAAAGGAGGCAGCAATGGTCAAACAGCAAGGGCCTTTTACCTTCCCATTTACGGAGAAGCCTGTAAACACAAAGTTGATGTCTCCTCCTTTAGTGCAAATGTCATTGATGCCGTCCACATGGATGTCCACGCTTGTGGGCTCTGGTGGGGAGGGAATGAAAGGGAAAGCATTAAACGGAGGAAAAATGATGTCAATGTCTTCTGCGTCTGCTATACATGAAGCATCATTCCTGAAACCATATCTGCCCCAAACATTTTAAAGCACTATGATGCCATTTTAACAGCTGCAGCTTTCAGCAAAGAATCCTGGGAAGTGTAGTCTATTAAGGGTGCAAGAGTTGTTAGGAGAAGAGCATTTCCCTTGCAGAGAAGAGGGATTGGTTGTTAAACCAATCAATGCAGTTCTGTAAAAACAGGGACCTCATAACAAACCTCCGTACCCTTAAACAATAGTTCCCAAGATTCTCTGGGGGAATCCATGACTGCTAAAAATGGTATAAGGGTGGTTAAATGTATGGAGTGGATGCACAGTGGTGAAACATGAGGCGGGTGTGGCCTTGGTTGCTTCGGACATCATGTGAAGATGATATCATTTTGCCAAAGTTTCCCTGACCCATGAGATTGGACCTTGCTATTTCTGAATTCCTCCACCATGTAGCTAGAAGACAGAAAGAGGCCCATTTGATGACATTTGGAACAGTTTTATTGCATTTGTTAACATCAGTTCATCAGATCAAAGACCCCCACAGACCTATGGTCGGGTTTGGAGGGCCTTATGTGGATTATTTTGAACACTTCTGGTCAATAGATTTATAAGTTGCAAGTGATTCCTAGTCTTAGTAATGAGAAAGGGGAGACAATATCAGGCAAACAGGTTTAGCATCATTTTTGGAATGCTGTGATCCAAAGAGCTGTTTGGTTTACCTGTTTTATTGGTTGTTTTCATTATACTTGCAGGGGGAGGGATTAAAAACTGAATTCCTGTTTTTACCTGCTCCTGGGCTGTTTTACTGTTGTTATGATACTGTGGGTTTTTAAGGATTTTTTTTATACAGCTCAGGTTTTTGGTTTGGTTTTTTTGTAAAATTAAGTAGCTTAGAAAGACTTTCAGTAAATAGATAATAAAATCAAGGCAGCATTCCCCCCCCCCCAAAGAGACAGGATCACAGCACATTTTTCACCATGCAAGGCCCAGCATATCCTACATAGAGCCCTGTTCTTATCTCTATAGCTTTTGACTTTTTATCACCACAGAACAGGTGTGAGGAATGCTTGGGGCTCCGGTTGCAAAACTACAACTCTCTTCAGTCCCAGCAAGCACAGTCAAGGACCAGGGATAGTGGGGAGCTATAGTTCAGCCACAACTGAAGGACCAAAGGTTCCCTATGCCACCTATAGAAGCAAATGCCACTGGAAATGAACTTTTGAAAACCTCAGTTTCAGTCCAGTGCAATCCTATACTGTCCTTTTCAGTGAGTTATTCCCAGGACTTATTCCCAGATAAGAATGCATATGACTGCAGTGTTACAGCACAGTTCTGTACATTGGGTCAGCAAATCTTTTTTTCAGACACCATGCCAAAAGTGAGCAGAGCAAAACATACACACCAAAATGATCTAAAACCAACATTTGGAACAATTCATATCCCACCCCATCAAAATACAAACAAACAAACAGGTACATACATACCAAAACTCCACCCTAGGGGAGGTTCAATTTTAAGGACAAAATCCCCCTACAAAAGAAATCATGAACATTTTTTGCAATTACAATAAAAATGCAACAGCTTTTTAAAGAAAACCCAGCAGTTGACTATCTTCTATCTTAAGGGGTATCCAATAAATCCTATGCACTAGGTGGAGTACTTTCTTTTATTTGTCCTGAAGCTTTTAACGTTCAACTTCCTTAGATGTCCACAAGTTCTGAATGTTATGAGAGAGGCAGAACCTTTTCTCCATCCATCTTCTCTGTGCCAAGAATAATGTTATAATCTGTTATTGTGTCATCTCTTACTAACCTTTTTTCTAAACTTACAAGTCCCCAAAGCTCCAACCTTTCCTCTTAGTGGCGTTACTCCATCCCCTTGATAATTGCGGTCGCCCTTTCTGGAAACTTTTCCAATTCTGCAATATCCCTTTCCAGGTGAAGTTACCCGAACTGTACACAGTACAGTATGCCCTCAACTTACGTACATTTAACTTTTGCGCAATTAGCTGTACACGCAGGGTGGAAAAATAAACTCAAAATTCAAGAAAGACCTACGCTAGGGGTCACTAGCCTGGAACCGGTAGCCCCTCCCTCACCCAGCGCTAAAATTAGGCTTGAAAACTTGCCACTGTAGGGGGGCCACTAGGGGGCGCATCGGAAGATGGCTGACAATAACATCTCTCCGACCCACATGAGGTAATTTGGAGGCTATGATGGGGGTAATTAGCCTCCTTAACCCCTCCAGGATTGTGGGGGGGACGGCCCTTGCCTGCTGTGCCCTATACCACCCCGAATTTGTGGGGATGGGGGCACTAGGCACAAAGCCCTCCTGTGGGATTCCGGCACTCCTCGAAGCCGTCTCTGATCCGCGCCACTAGTTTGCAAGAATCTTCAAAAGAAACAATTTGGACGAGATAAATTGCACATACTTCAAGGAAAGAGGGGAGTAAAGACTGCTGACAGAAGAGATCTCTGATAAAACAAGACAAGAATAAGATATGAGAAGATACGTCAAGATACGGTACGGCAAATGACTGAGGGGGAGGGGGAAAACTCTCTTTTATTTCTCTATGTGATTAAACAAGAATCCCCTCCCTAAAGAGTCAGAAATGTCGTTTTAAGGACTTAAGTTGTGGATTTAAGGCTGTGTGGAGATAAATTTTCGAACCAAAGCAATGTTCCAAGACGAAGCTGGAAATTTAAGAGTTTTGGAATGACGCAGTTAAAAATGCCGTCGCCATTTTGGGAGGCACTGTCGGAGCTCTTGAGTCTGGGAGGAGAAGAAACAGAGTTGTTTACATATCGTGTTCCAACTCCTCGGTGGGATTTAAGAGTGACAACTGCCTAATTTATGATGGAAAGAGCGATGTTATCTACGAAGGAGATGATTTATGGAAACCATCTGGACTTAGATTGGAAGAACGGGAAATTCACACAGGATTATTATATTTGCTTATCGGCTTAAGGAGACTAACAGAAGAGATCGTAAAGGAAAAAGAAAAATTATATGAACAAGATATGATGTGGAAACACCAAGATAAGATTGGATAGAACTATGAACTCTGTTTGGACTGATTAGGACTGATTTGGACATTAATGCAGTAATAAGAAGATGATTTGAATCCCCCTTTGGATCTTGAAGTATGGGTTCCCCCAACAAAATTTAAAAATTTGGCTTTGTAATTTGGAATTTATGTGATGTGATTTAATTTGATGTGATTGGCCAGTTAATAAAAATTATTAAAAAAAAAAAAAAAAAAAAAGAAAACTTGCCACTGTAGCCTGTAGAACAGACAGCAGCAGTGTGTGGTTGACAGCGGTGTGGAGTGGGGTGATGGTGTTCCCGGTTTCTCCAATTTGCAAATTTACCCACAGGTGCAAAAAGGTTAGCGACCTCTGGCTGTTACAGTTCAGGTACCATATGGTTGCTTACCTTATCATACAGAGGAATCATGAAGTAACCATTATTTGGAGCACAGTCTGTTTGGTATTTCAAGGTTCCATGCTTGGTGTACAATTTAATCTATAAGTTAAAAGCAAAAAACCCCACAATGGAATATGGTAATTCTGCTACAGCAATTATTTATTATTTTAAACTCATATCCCTCACTTTTCTTTATATTAAATACACTCAAAAGCTTTTTGGGAAAAAAAATACAGAGCACACAATGACTTGGTTTGCATGACACATTAAAACACAATTAAGCTTAAAAATATGGTTTCAAAGCAAAAACACCATATGCTGGTGAGCAGGAAGAAAACTAAGTGCTTCATGTCTGTCCCCCCCACTCCTCCTCCTGCTCCACTCCAGGAAGGAAAGCCATGGTTTGGCTCAGCATTATGTCCAAACATAGGCTCATGGTTCGGCTCCTCCAAACAAAACACAACCAGTATGCTAAGAAGAAACCTTGGATACAACTCTCAGTTTGTTCAGAGGGAGACAAAACACAAGCCCAGGTTTGGCTGTAACACTAAGCCAAAGCAAAGCTTAGTTCCCAGTAGCAGAGCAGGAGCATGGAAGTGCAAAACAGCCATTTTATCCCTCGTATGTTGCACCTTCACCTTTAAGCTACAGTTACGTTTTTAACTATGGTTTAAAGCAGGGGTAGGGAACCTGTGGTCCTCCAGATGTTATTGGATGCCAACTCCCATCAGTCTCATCCAGAACAGCCAATGGTCAGGGATGATAAGAATTGTAGTCCAGCAACATCTGAAGGCCACAGGTGTCCCACCCTACTTTACACTAAAGGCTAAAGCAGCCTTGCAAATAAGCCCACAAATGTTACTGGCCTGCAAAAAAATAAAATACTAGCCTGTCTGATCACCCCAGAGGAGAAGCCACTATCTGAAAGACGCACAATCACACCCCGCACTGAACCCTGAAGTAACCTGAAGGCATCACTCAATACGTCACAAAAAGAGTGCAATGGGGGTGGGGGCACTTATACGCACTCTGTCAACATGGGGGGGGGGCAGGAACAGGAACCCCCACACAAAATGGCTGTAAACTGTAGAACTTCTCGCGAGTGGACTGGCAAAGGCACACAACCTGCTTTGCGCTTCAGCGCTGGTCACAGAACAGGCTTTCCCTCTTCTGTAGCAGGATAGTGCAGGGTGAATGCAAGACACCTTCAGGTTGTCAGTATTTCATAAGAGGAGCTTAACTGCATAATGGAAACTTAGGTTTGTGCAACTAAGGCGTTAAAGAGATCGTGGTGCAATAAATCCACTCTATGCATGCGGTGAGCGTTTCCTACAGCTACATAAGTGCCATGCACTAAAAAGTACAAGGTAAGGAACTTGATAGGAGCACCTACTTTGGAACTCGCTGCCTATTGAGATTGTGCAAGGGGCCTTTGCTGAACTCTCTTCGGAGCCTCCAAAAAACATACCTTATTGGAAAGTCGATGTGATTTTAACCCACTTAAGAGTTTTAAACATGTTTGCTTGCTTTAAACTAGGGTTGTGCGTTTTCCTTGATGCTGCTGCTTTATCTTTCCGTAAGGCGCTTTGAGGGGTTTGGGAGGTGGGTGTTTGTTTTTCACAATCAATGTAGGAATTTTATGAATTAAGTAGTATGAATTTTATGAATTAAGTAGGGTAAGTAAAATGAGAAAGAGGCCCTTGATCCATTTCTTCTTCTTCTTCCTCTCAGTCCCCCAGGAGCTGCTTCACCTGCCCGCCCCCCCCCCCCGTTTCAAATGCGAGACACAGAGCGGGCGAAGCCGGAGGCGCAGCGCTCACCTCGATCAGGGAATAGTTGATCTCCACGTCGGACTTGACGAAGCCCCCGCAGCCCACCACGATATCCTCGGAGCCCCGCGCCGCGTCCCACAAGCGGCAGCCCCACAGGAGCCACCAGAGCGCCGCCGGCGCCCAGCCCCGCGGCATCGCCGCTCCCTCGCCCCCCTCAGCCCCGCCGCGCCGAGCAGCCTCCGAAGGTCGACGCCGAGTCAGGAAGAGAGACGGCGCATGTGCCGGATGCGCTCTATGGTCTCCTCTTCCCTGCCGGAAGCAAGCGCGTGCGAGAGGCGAAAGGGTTATCCCTGCTCCCCCTGGCGGCTGGGAGGGGAGTTGCGACTCTCAGGGTTGGGTTAGCAAGGCGCTCCGAACGGCTTTTTTTGGGGGGGGGGGGAGGACGCAGTGCTTTCAGAATGAGCGACGTCTGAGCTTGAAGAACCATTTCCTGACGTAGAACGTGACGGGAGCCGGCGTGACGTAGAGCAGGCACCCTCAAACTCGGCCCTCCAGATGTTTTTTGGGACTACAACTCCCATCATCCCTAGCTAACAGGACCAGTGGTCGGGGATGATGGGAATTGTAGTCTCAAAAAAAACATATAGCGGGCTGAGTTTGGGGGTGCCTGACGTAGAGGGTTGGGATAGGACCCGGGTTCGAATCCCCCTTCGGCCATGACCTTGGGGACTGGGCAGTTCACTGCCTCTCTCAACGTAACCTACCTCACAGGGTTGCTGTGTGGGATTAAAATGAGGAGGGGGAGAACCATGTACAGCTCCTTGGAGGAAAATGGTGGGACAAAATGCAGTGGATAAAAATACGGTGGTGCCCCGCAAGACGAATGCCTCGCAAGACGGAAAACCCGCTAGACGAAAGGGTTTTCCGTTTTGGAGGTGCTTCGCAAAACGAATTTCCTATGTGCTTGCTTCGCAAGATGAAAATGTCTTGCGAGTTCCTGCGGGGGTTTTTTCCTCCCCCCCCCCCTTTTTCCCAAGCCGCTAAACCGCTTACCAGCTGATGGCTAAGCCGCTTATCAGCTGATCCGCTAAGCCCGCTAAGCCGCTAATACTGTAGCGCTAATCCGCTAAACCGCTAATGGGCTTGCTTCGCAAGACGAAAAAACCCGCAAGACGAAGAAACTCGCGGAACGGATTCTTTTCGTCTTGCGAGGCACCACTGTAAGTCCCCCATCTCACCCTCCTTGGCTTCATTTCAATAGAGGAGGAGGGAGACGGGGCCTCTGGAGTTGCACTAGAACAGAAGTGTGGCTTAGTGGTTAGAGTGTCAGACTGGGAGGCCAGAGTTCGAATTCCCACTAAGTCATGAAGCTCACAGGTGACCCAGGGCCGGTCGCCGTCTAGCCTACCTCACAGGGTTGTTGTGAGAATGAAATGAAGTCTGTGGGGAACTGTGTGTGCCCACCTTGAGCTCCTTTGGAGGAAAAGTAGGATATAACCCTGGGAGCTTTAAGTGTTGTGGGAGTTGTAACTTTGTGAGGGGCAAACTACAGTTCCCAGGAGTCCTTGAGGAAAGCCATTTGCTTTTAAATGTATAGTGCTTTATGCAGCCTTGGTTAGGATTGTGCTGTTATTTCTGAAGGAAGGATTGTGCAGTTGAGCTACACTCTTAAGCGCTCTAATGTTTAACCTCAGTATGGAACTTACTTCTGAGTAAACCTGGTTGGGACAGAGCTGCAAGGCTCTGCTGACTTGATAAGTTCCCATTGATATGCAATGAGGCTTAACTCCTCAGCAAACCTGCTTAAGAAAACTGGTAAAGAAATTATTATTGATTGATTTCTGTTCATTTTATTTATTTGTCATAAAATTTATAAACTGCTTGATGGTAAAAAACAACAACAACCCAACAACTCAAAGCACTTTACAGAAAGATGAAACAATGAAATTATCAGTAGAAAAAAAAAGTTTGAAAACAACTACTGTACTTAAAACTTTCAAACAAGATTTAAATCAAAGATGAACTAAAAACTCAGTTTAATGTCAACATTATACATGCCTGGATAGGCTTGCCTAAACAAAAATGTTTTTAGCATTGCATCACAAAGAGTAACTGACTGATGTCAACAGGCAGGGAGTTCCAAAGTTTGCATGCTGAAGAAGACAGAAGTGGCCATGGTATTCCTGAGGTGGATTACTTAAGCAATAAAATCACACACCACAAAGCTGAGCAGGTGGCATGAAGCCCATTGCACTTGCTGTTGCTAAATCAGGGGCTGCTTTGCAGCTTGGGAGAATCATTTACCAGTTTTCGGTTTATTCAGTTATTTTATAACAAACCTGCTGCCCGAGCCCCGCTGAACTTTACTACAGCAGCCTCAGAAAACCCCTTTTGCTTGTAGCAGGAATCCAGCTCACTTTCTGCCCTTCTGCGTTGAGAGGGATGGTTTAGGGTTGCCAGACATACATGCATTAAAATGTTTCTCTGGCGCTCCAGTACAATTACCCAGACATGCTAAAAGATCATCTCACCCCTTACCTACCCAAACTGTCCCAATGTAGTGCAGGAGAGGACACCCTGCAGAAGGCGTCCATTCTCTGCACCCTATTGGAATTGGGCCTTTTACACAGCATTCATTCAAAGCACATCCCACCCCCACAACAAAAAGAAATCTGGGAATTGTAAATCTGCTAAGGCTGCTGGGAATTTCTATGAGGGGTAAACTACAGTTCCCATGATTCTTTGGCAGGGTGTGCTTTAAATGTCTGGCATGCTAGCAGCCCAAACACACCTACCCTTTGGAACTCCCTCCCACATATTAATATGCCTTTCTTCTATTGTCTTTTTGGAGCCTGCTAAAGCCGTTCCTCTTTCATAGAATCATAGACTTGTAGGGTTGGAAGAGTCCTCAAGAAGCCTCCTAAATTATTTATCCCGGTTTAGATTTGCTTTGCATTTGAATTGATATTGCAGTTTGAGGTGCTGTTGCTCTAAACGGTTTCTTATATTTAAAATTGTGGCTTTAAAATGTTTTCATATGTGCAGTTATTCTAATTGTTTATATATGTAACTGTTTTATGTGTTACAGTAATTATGTTGTACATTGCTTCAGGATGCCCCACAGGAAGCAGTTCAAAAATGAAATTAATAATAATAATCTCCCATTTTCTCCATTTGGGCATATTTAAAATCACCCCCCCCTTTTTTTTTAAACAAAAAAACCTGTACAGTATCTGCTGAAGGCATGCCCTTGGCAAAACAGGTCCATGCTAGAGAGGCTAGTTGAATCCCCGCCCCTTGAAAGAGGCAGTTCTCAAGTCAAAGGGGGCAGGAATTGTGGAAAAGAGACTAGACAGCAGACTGGAGCAGCTGCGGAAGATCAGGAGTGGCTGCTGGGAAGGCAACAAGCAGGAACCATGAGCGGAGTGAGCTGGCTGTGCAGATCCAAGGAGGATCAGTTTGCAGAGCTGTGGGTGAGTGTCAGCCACATGTCTCAGCTGGGCAAAGTTTTCTGGGTGAGCTGCAACAAGAGAGAAAGTAGATCTGGTGGCCTCTTTGCTCCATAGCGTTTACAGCTCCTGCTCGCTGTCCCTCTTGCACAACTAAGCAATGCACACCCACTTGTACACAGAGAGGTAAGGGGCCATGCCACGTGTTTTCCTGGTGTGGTAGGGCGAATGGGTCACTCTCCCACCAACCTCATTTCTCCCCTCCCCTCGTTCTATCTTCCAGTGAGGGGGGGTGGCTGTCAGCTTTCTCCTCCTAAGACTCTCTCCTCACTGTGCACACATCACCTTCATCATAATAATACATTTTATTTATACCCCACCCTCCCCAGCCAGAGCCGGGCTCCGGGCAGCTAACCCCAATAAAATCACAGTAAAAGCATAATGGGGGGGAAAGAGAGTAGGGGGGAAAACCAATTTAAAATACAGGTTAAAATTCAATTTAAAATGCAGCCTCATTTTAAAGTAGCCAATAAATCAAGACCATAAGGAGAGGGAAACATAAGGGTCAGACCGAGTCCAAACCAAAGGCCAGGCGGAACAGCTCTGTCTTGCAGGCCCTGCGGAAAGATGTCAAGTCCCACAGGGCCCTAGTCTCTTGTGACAGAGCGTTCCACCAAGTCGGGGCCAGTACTGAAAAGGCCCTGGCCCTGTACTTGGCTGTCCACACATGAGCTTGGCACACACCCATAGCTACCCCATAGTTTCTTGAGGAATACTGCTCTCTGATGCGTTGCCCCTCAGGCCTGCTTGCATCTGATACGAAAAGGCAAGCTGCCTTCGGTTCCGCAATGAAGCTGAGGTGTGTGCGCTTGAGAAAGCTGTTGCACATGTGCAGATGACAGCTTCCTGAATGGGAATCAAGGGGCATGAGAGTTGCAAGCGCATGGAATCTAAACATGTAACATGCATCCGGTGAAGATATCCTCAGCCCCTCTCTGGCGTGTACAGCAATGTGCAAAGTCAACTTGAAACACAGCCAGGGGTGTGAGTATGTGCATTTTAAGCCACAAATGTATACAAAGCCCCGGTTGCAGTGCTGCCCCTTGTAGACCTCAGCAGGGAGGAGGATGGGGACAAAACTAGATTTAGATGGCTCCGCCTCTTATTGGCTGTGGCCCCGCCTACTGTTGGGCCTCCCCACCTTCCACCCAGCCAGCCGCAGTGGGGCACTAGCCACCACTGTTTTCATCTCTCTTTAATGCTAAGTTCCTGATTTCTCCCCTAAATTCATTCTGGAGGCAGGCTCAATGAGCAAGAAGCCAGGCTAGTCAACGGTCCTGTTAAACTTTCCTTACTGATCTGTCAGTATCTGTGTTCCGTTAAGAAACTTTGGACTTCTGTGGCAATTAGAACACACACACACATCCAAATGTGCTAATCTTTTCTCATAGACTGCAGCTGAAATTATTCCCTTTTGCACCTTAATATTTGAAAATTAGGGCATGAGATGGAGTCAGTACTGCTTTAAAATGACGGTACAATTTTATCTGTTTATTTATTTAACAGTTAAATCCTCTAAACATCTATTCAGATGTAAGTCCCAGAGGCAAAAGAAGGTGGAACATCAAATGTAAATTCTGCCTTTGCACAGTCGGCTTTTTTTCGACACAAGCAAGAGGCATGAACAGAGTTCAAGGACACATTCCAGCCAGGCAAAAACACTCAGGATACAAAGCTGGGTTAATTTTGAAAAAAGTTTACAGTGCATTTATTTATTTGGAACAGCCATACACTCCCCTTCACGGTGTCTACATATCTTATCACAGCTAGACAGTTACCTCAGTAAAACAACAATAATCACATCTAAAATAAACAATCAAGCTAGCTAAAACATTGCAATGCTGGCTGTTCCCTCTTAAGGGCATGCCCCTGAGCATGTGCAAAGCGCTTTTCTGTTACTGCATTCAGTATACATAGAAATGGCTTTGGTGCAAGTCTAATTTCCAAGCATTTTGAACTGGGAATCAGATTATAAAAGTACCCTAGTTCAGTGGCAGAGCACATGCCTTGCATATAAAAGGTCCCAGGTTCAGTTTTATTTCTTTTTAAAAAAATAATAAAGGGTGCCCTCACCTTCTTATAGCTCTGCCTGACAACCATGCCCACTTTTTACTCTGATACCACCTGCTGCCAGTATGCAGCCCTCAAGACTGAAAGTGGTCCTCAGCAGAACACGGGTTGTCCCTCCCTGCTTTAAAACTTTAGCATTCATGTTCTTCTGTCGTTGCAGGATTGGAACCAGACATGGCTTACAGCTACCCCACGCTTTACTTCATGTTTTGAGAGTACCGTGCTGATTTGGATTCCATGTGTCTACCTTTGGGTCTCTTTCCCTGTCTACTACCTCTATCTTAGGAAAAACTGCAGAGGTTACATCAGGATGTCGGCTATCTTCAAAGCAAAAATGGTAAGGCTCTCCGGACTGTCATCATTTTGCAGGAGGTTTACAATCACGTACTGGAAATTTAGGTGTGGATTACATGACCCCGTCATCGTAGTTTAATGAATCCACTTTTTAAAAAACCAACCAAGGGCCTTTTTGTGGTTAGGAAAGTGGGGGGGAATGCACTGAAAAGTGTGCAACAAATGAAGGATTTGTGGGGAAACGTATTTTAAAATGCACAAGGAAATTAGGATGAATTCAGGATGCTCGTTGTCATATAACCTACCTGTCAGAGGCGGTTGCCATGCTGCATGGGGCGCCAAAATAATGCTTTAGAATAGAGAGCGAGAGGCGCCGAATTTTAGCACCACGTGGGGCACCACTGAAATTTGAGAGCCCAAAGTTCACCAAATCAGAACAAATGCTTTATTATTATCAACAACTACAACCCACCCTTCACCTTAAGGTCTCAGGGCGGGTTAGAATCATTAAAACACAATATTAAACACAATTCGAAACAACGTACAATCACAGAAATAAGACAGGTCCTAAAAGTCTACACCTCAGCTATCAAAAGCCAGATAAAAGAGGTATCTCTTCAGCACTCACTACAGAATGAAGACACACTTCTGTGGGCAGAGAGTCACAATGGGGCTGCCACAGAGAAGGCCCCAGGACACTCATCAAGCTTTTGAGGGCGGTGAAACTACCAATAGGGCCCTATCTGTCGATCATAACACCCACGCCCCCGGAGTCTGTTGGGGAAGAGGTATTTGGGGCATGCTGGAGGAGACTCTTGAGAGTCCTGGGGACTGCAAGAAGATCAAACCTATCCATTCTGAAGGAAATCAGCCCTGAGTGCTCACTGGAAGGACAGATCCTGAAGCTGAGGCTCCAATACTTTGGCCGCCTCATGAGAAGAGAAGACTCCCTGGAAAAGACCCTGATGTTGGGAAAGATTAAGGGCACAAGGAGAAGGGGACAACAGAGGACAAGATGGTTGGACAGTGTTCTCGAAGCTACCAGCATGAGTTTGACCAAACTGCGGGAGGCAGTGGAAGACAGGAGTGCCTGGCATGCTCTGGTCCATGGGGTCATGAAGAGTCGGACACGACTAAACGACTAAACAACAACAACACTAATGTGAGCACCTTGAACTGGGCCTGGAAATGAACTGACAACCAATGCAGATGTTTTAGAATGAGTTATGGGAGACATGAAGGGAACCCCAGCCGGTTTGAACCAATGGAAGTTTCACAGTATATTCAAAGGCAGCCCCACTAAATAAGACTGGACATAGTTGAACCTTGTGTAAGCTATGTGCAAGCAAATCAAGACAAATACTCTGTGAACCTGTCACCCGGAGGCACACTTACGCCTCTGTTTCCTCAGGGTTTTACTCAAACTAAGTTTTAGTCATTGGATCAATTGAAATGAATGAACCTAAATGAGTTCAATACGTCTGCTCTGAGTAGAAGTTAAAATCCTTCATGACTAGAAAGAAACAGGTGAGATGTTGATGCCTTGTTTTGCCCCTTTCACACCCACTCTTTCCTTTGAGTCTGCTGTTCTAATTGAGGCATTCTCCCTGTTTCCAGGTTCTTGGCTTTGCTTTGCTCTTGCTGTGTCTGTCAACTGCCTTCTACATCCTTTGGGAAGCAACCCAAGGAATTCCTCGTGCACCGGGATTTATCATTGCTCCTCCTTTGCAAGTGGTCACAACGGTAACGCTTATTATTATTATTAAGTAGTGGGTGGACATAGCAGACGACACAGAGATTTCTCTAAGTAGTTCTTTATAAGTAAGCTGGAACTGAACTGAACAGCAAGCAGCTCAGCCAGCCTGCTTTTATAGGCGGCCGGCTGTCAATATTGTAACAACAACAGCCCAGGGTTTCCTGCCTAAATAAACTTACGTGGACCTGAGTGAAAACTACCGTATTTTTCACCCTATAGGACGCACTTTTTCCCCTCCAAAAATGAAGGGGAAATGTGTGTGAGTCCTATGGGGCGAATGCAGGCTCCTTGGCTTCAGCGATAACAATGCAAAGCCTCCGAAGCCTGCGCTCCGGAGGCTTCACGTTGCTTTCACTGAAGCCAGGAGAGTCTGCTCTTTGAGGCTGGCGGGGGGGGAAGCAGCGCTTCCCCCCATCGCCAGCCCCAGAGGATCGGGGGGCAGCGGGAAGGCGCACGACGCCTTCGCGCTACTCTCCGACCTGCTTTGGAGGCTGGCGGTGGGGGAAAGCAGCGCTTCCCCCCACCGCCAGCCCCACAAGCTGGTCGAAAAGCCCGCAGGAGCTGTGCGCTCTTTAAAGGCTGCGCGGATTCTGCGGGCTTTTCTATGAGGTGGGGGAATTCCCCCACCTCCCGCAGAAGCCGTGCGCTCTTTAAAGAGTGGGCCGCTCTTGGGGGCTTTTCCCCAAGGAGGGAGAAGGGAATGACTGGCCGAGTCCGTCCCTTCTCCCTCCTGTGGGCTTTTGCAGGAGATGGGGAATCCCCCCACCTCCCGCAAAAGCACGCAGAAGCTGCGCACTCTTTAAAGGGTGCGCGGCTTCTGCTGGCTTTTCTACAAGGGGGGGGGGAATTCCCCCACCTTGTAGAAAAGCCCATAAGAGCCGCACACCCTTTAAAGAGTGCGCCGCTCTTGGGGGCTTTTCCCCGAGGAGGGACAAGGGACTGACTGGCCGTTTCAGTCCCTTCTCCCTCCTGGTCGAAAAGCTCGCAGGAGTCGCGCACGGCTCCTGTGGGCTTTTGCGGGAGGTGGGGGAATTCCGCCACCTCCCGCAAAAGCAGGGAGAAGCTCTTGGAGTAGTGCACAGGCTGCGCGCAGCCTGTCCGCTGCTCCCAGAGCTGTGGGGGGGGGAATCATATTTTTTTTCCTTGATTTCCCCCCCCCCCCGAAAACTAGGTGCGCCCTATGGGCCGGTGCCCCCTATAGTGCGAAAAATACGGTATATACACAATACTCCCTGGTGGCCAGGGTGAGAACTTTAATACATAACAATTTTCTCTTGTGTTTTTCACATTGCACCTCTTTTTTTAAAAAACAACAAACCAAAACTTCCTGATCCTCTTCAAAATCAGTGCGCACATGAGAAAGGAATTGGTCATGCTTCAGCTGGAGGAGACTGAAGGGAGAGGGAGCAGAGCTCTTCAAATACCTGAAGGAATGCCACATAGAAGTGTGCAGAAGGTTGTAGCTCAGTGGTAGAGCACCTGCTTTGCATCCAGAGGGTCTCAGGTTCAATCACAGGGAGACACACCTGCCTGCAAGGCAGATGCTGTACCACAAAGCCATGGCCCTACCTTGAAAAAAGAAAGTTTTTTTTTTAATTCCCCAGTGAATATTCCAAGTGTTGGGCATGATCCAGAATAACACAAGTAAAGGGTTAAAACACCTCCAGCCCCAAAGTACCCCATACCTTCCCCGCTAGGGTCCCGATTAAGATCTGGAGACCCATTTGGTCCAATTGTGTGACCATTTCTTACAAACGGGATTGTGTTTTAGCAGGACTTTTAGCTTTTTACAATGAAAACATTGTAAAAAAAAAAATGCTGTGTCTTGCCGGGAAGACTCGGACTTTTAAGTCTGTTTCATGCTTTTATTCTTTTAGGTGTTACTTCCCCCCCCACCCCACCCCAATTTGCACAAATTTGTTTTACCATGTTTGAAAAGACGGGCATGTTACCAGCTGCCAGTGATATTGGGCATTTTAAGGGTTGTTTATATTGGATGTACTTTGCATTTGGGTCTAAAGCAATTTCTGTTGACGTTACCCTGTGTTACTCTCATGCTGTTCAACGTTTTTGTCATGTTGATTTGATGGCTAGATAGAAATAAATTTGAACCTAGTAGGACCATGTTTTTAAAATGTTTTATATGAAGCATCTTGTTTTCCTGCCTCTTTTTTTTTTTTTTTCAAAAAAAAAGGTCCTGGTGATATTTCTAACCCAGATGGAAAGACTGAAAGGTGTGCAGTCTTCGGGCGTTTTGCTGATGTATTGGTTACTCTTCTTCTTCTCTTCTATCGTTCCCTTTAGCTCCAAAATACAACATGGCGTGGCAGGTGTAAGTCCATAATTATAAGTTTATAATTGCTTACTCATAGTGGCTATATACAGTGGACCCTCGGGTTGCGTTACCTTTGGGTAACGTAACTTTCAGGTTGCAAACACATGCGCAGAAGCACTCTGTTCGCCTTGCACGTGCGCAGAAGAGGGGCCTCTATTTAAGTAATTTTTGGGGTGTGCACGGACCCCCGGAATGAATTAATTTCGTATCTAGAGGGTCCACTGGGTCTGAGGCACTAGGCCTCTGAGGCCACATTTATACCATACATTTAAAGCACCATGCTACCACTTTGAACAGCCATGCCATCCCCCAAAGAATTCTGGGAGCTGTAGTGTGTTAAGGGTGCTGAGAGTTGTTAGGAGACTCCTGTTGCTCTTATACCTCAACCAGGGAGGGCATTCCACAAACTAGGAACTGCCACTGAAAAGGCCCTGTCATGGGTCAATGCCAACCCGGTAACCTCCAATGGTGGCACCACCAATGAGGCCATGCTTTCTGATTGTAGGCTCTGAGATGCTGGATGTTAGAGAAGACACCCTTTTCGGTGCTTGAATCCCAAGACACTTAAGGCTTTATATGCTACTATTAACACCTTGGGTTTGGCCCAGTATCTCATCATGTGGCACGAGAGTCTCCTCGCTTTCTCAAGAAAGCTAATACAGTGGTACCACAGTTTTCGTACATCTCGGAAGCCGAATATTTCGGTTTTAGAATGCTGAAAACCCAGAAGTAAATGCTTCCATTTTTGAATGTATCTCGGAAGTCAAACAGCTTCTGCTGTATTTTTCTCATTTTTCTCAGTTAAAATTGCAGACCGCTCATTGCGCCTTGGTTGTCAGATGTTTCGGAAGTTGAATGGTCTTCCGGAACAGATTACGTCCAACATCCGAGCTACCGCTGTATCTCCTGACTTCCTTCTAATAGTGTGATTTTATTTATGGACAGTTTCCATGTATCCCCCTACTTCTGTGATAGTTTTATCCTGTATAAACCACTTGGTTGCTCTTGTTTCTGGTGAGAAGCTAATGCTGCCTCTAGGACATGGTCTCCTAGATATGCATAATGACAAGCAATTCTTCTTTATTTTTGCAGGGACTCAGAGAAGAACCCTTCCATCGTGTTATCTCATACGTTCGTTTCACCTTGGTCATATTGGAACTGATCCTCTGTTGCTTTGTAGACCACCCTCCTTTCTTCTCCAAAGTTGGCAATGATGCCGTAAGCATTTCCGCTTTTAATTTATAGAGCCTCAAAGATGCCAGGTATCAAGTCTCTTTTTAAGGCTTCTAGCCCTTGTTCCCACAGGGAAAAGAGTTGATACATTCTCCAAAAACCAAAAGGTCATATGTAGGTCTACTCAGACGTAAATTCCACTTAGTTCAATGGGATTTACTTCCAGGTAAGTATGCATATGATTCCAGCTTAAAAGAATGGAAAATAAGGTATGAATTGAGAAGCAGACTTTGTTTTATACACACAGACAGATAACACACATATATGTATTCAGCTATAATGGCCCCAAAGTGCATATATGAACTATTTTAAAGAAAGGTTTTTGACATTTCACATTGGATGGTCATTTCTCAACAGACCTCTGCACAGAGGTGCGGTGGGGGTGGGCCGCCCCAGGTGTCATCCCGAGGGGGTGACAAAATCCCCCCAGGGCGGATCGCCGCACCCCCTGGGCAGATCAGTTGCCTGAGTGGCTAGCTCCACCACTGCCTCTGCAGTAAGCACCACATGTTCAATGGCATTAATCTGGCACCTGAGAGATTTGGGGAAATGACATATAGATTATCCTCATTCATAATTCAAACCAGCTCTCTGAGAACTTCATGTGAGGTCCTTGGAGTCAAATAAATTGTGTGGATGAGCAACAATGTACATGTAACTGCTGATAGCTTCCCTCACACAGTTTTGAATCATGTGCACTGTTTTGCAAGCAATCTCCCCTAATGCAGTGCATTCTTGTATGTTATTTTCACTAATAACTTCATTTCTGTGACTTTTTACCCCTACAATATGAATTTTGGTAAACATTATTTGCTCCGAGAATTGCATTCCAAAATTTGGATAGGTGTGAATTTCTAAAGATAGCTGTGTTTTGCTTCCCACATTGTTTTGGGAAAGTACAGATTAGGCTTTAAATGTCTACCAAATTGAATTTCTCCTCCATCCCTAGTTAGGACCCTTTATGCTGTCGCTAGTGACGAACATTTTTGAACCAGAAACCATTGCAGATCCCAGTTAGGTATCTTCGTCCCACTGCACCAAATATTGTATACATATGTATGTAGACCTGAAAGCTGTCCTTCCCCCCCCCTTTTGAACATTTGCAGAACCCGTGTCCTGAAGCTGGGGCCTCTTTTGCTTCCAAAATCACATTTTGGTGGTTTGCTGGGTAAGAAAATAAGCAACGTTGCATCATGTGGCTAACGTAATTACCAGTCTGGCTCACAATGCCAGGGGTCACCAAGGCATCTTGTGACAAATATTTGTGCACTCTGTGAAGAAGGTCTTTCTTTTGTCTGTCCTTAACTGTCAGGAAGCTAATTTGCCAAATTTTCTTCCAGAAAGTTTACCAGGTCATATCAGTCTTCATAATATATATCAGGGAGCCCCAACCTTGTGGGCACATTTAGATTTTTGAGTGAGTGCCATGAGAGCCACTTAGGCTGGTCACTTATCTTCCCGCTACGTACCCCAATCATCAACTGCCCCCTCTGAAAAGGAGAGAATGGAAATATTTCATGCACACTCACACTTCCAAGGGATCAGGGTAAAAAAGTCAGACCCAGCAGAATTAATGTGAGCCATGAAAAGCACATAGAACTAAAACAGGAAGTGTGGAGGAGTGTCTGATGGTGGTTGCTTGTGAGTAACCAGGCAGGACTCCGACCTGTCTTTTACAGGTTTTATTGTGCAAACTATTCACAGTACAGATCTACAAAGTTCATGTCCGTCTCAGTCACTTGCAGAATCCAGGAGTGGCCCCTTCCAGCTTCTCCCCCAACATAAGAACTTTGGCACCCCAAGCCTCCTCCTCCCCTCCTTGCGTTTCACCCCTCTGTGCAAGCTGGGCGACGGAAGTGGCATGCATCCCTCCTGGCCAGCCTGGCGAGCTGAGGCGCCGGGGCTCTCAGCAGCATCCTCGAGCCCTTTCCTCGCTTGGCTGGCCCCTTCCCTCTCTTCTCCACTGGAGGTGTGGCTTTCCCCACCAATGGAAGAGGAACTGCTCCTTAGGAGTTTCAGAGGCTCTCTGTATCCCAACGGCCCCTCTGCTTCCCTCCCCTGTTCCAATGGCAGTCCCCTGACAATGTACATTTCAGGAACAAAGAACAGCCCTAAGTGCAACCTGTAACCTAACCCTTCCATTTTTCTTTGTCAATGACACCATTGCCAATGTCACCAAAGGAGGAAACCAACTATAAGGCCTGGTAGCCTAAAAGCAGGAGTGGCCAGCATGGAACTCGCAGGTCACTCTTGCCCACCACGCTCTCTCAAAATTCCAAATGTGTGCACTGGTGGAAAAAAACAATGTTGAATGACCACCCCTACCCCCCGGACTAGATAATCTATTCCACTCAATTGATTGGGAACACCCTCTGTTTCATAGGTTGCTCTGGAAGGGATATCGGCAGCCATTACGAGCAGAAGACCTGTGGTCACTTGCGAGAGAAAATTCCTCTGAAGATATCGTTACCAAGATTGAAGATGCATGGAATGAGCATTGTGCAAGAGCCAAACAGTAAGTGCCTTTTGTGTGTATGCATAAGAACAACTACCAAGGAAGGAAGGAAGGAAGGAAGGAAGGAAGGAAGGAAGCTGCTAGTCCTTCACGTTTCCAGAAGAGCAGGTATCTTCATAGGAGGGATCTGGCTGGCTTCTCTTGAGAACAGGACATTGTGGCTCTCTGGAAGTTGTTAGGTTACAATTCCTATCAGCCCTGACCATTGGCCATGCTGGCTGCGGGGCTGGTGGGAATTGGAGGGCAACAGGTTTCCCATCCCTAATGTAGATGACCCCTGAGTCTGAACGAGCAAGGACAGGTTTTCTGGGTTATTGGGTGTCAGGCAGCAGCTATAGACATTCAGTTCACATTTTCAAGACAGCCTTACCCAATTCACACTTTCTTTCTTTTCCCCCCCGAATAATTTTTATTAGTTTTCCAACATAGATTTGTACAAAAT